ATTATTATTTATCATTTTGGGATTCCAAGGATTCCATGGTTCTTGTCAGAGCTGGAAAAACACCGCTTAGGCCGGTGGATTTTGGCATGAAAACCGCCATAGGGGATGTCCGCTTTCCCGTGGCCATGTTTGACGACTGGAGGGTTTTGTTTGTTTGGGAGGAAACCACAAATCTATTGGCTTTTTGTTCAAACTCAATTACTTAAGACCTGCATGTCAAGAGGCCCTGAAAAGACACTGATGTAGTGGACGTGCACATTCTAAATTTTAAATGCTCTATCTAACCAACGTATGCAGCATAGTGGGTCACGACGCAAAATCTTGACTCCCTTGTTTGGGCAAGGTTTTTCCCCCAAGAAGATGGTTTTTCTCTTGGTCACCAGCCGTCTTGGCACAGTATTGGGGCATCTGATATTGCACTCGCAAGCCGCCTGACCAAGTTTCATCCCTCTGGTGGTTTCAACAGTGTTTCAACGCGTTTCATCCAATCCATTGATCCAAGCTATGCATTTTCAGAGAAATATCATTGGTTTTGATGTTCACATGTTTTCACCCGCAAATATAGGGGTAACACTTTGGACAACCAGTAAAGGCTAGCGAAAATCACCTGCCAACAGAGGTGGGTGATGGCACCGTGGACGCTCAGAAGTATCGAAAATTGGCAGCACAACGTGCATTGATGTGGGAACCATATCTGAAGCAACTCGGCACAGTTGTGGTCATTTCAAACCTTCCTTGAAATTCTCGCAACAAAAATGGGAGGATCGCCAATGACTTAATGACCAAGACTTAGATTTGAGGAGTCAACTTTGTTCATGCTTGTTCTGAATGCTTCTGAGTCTTTCTGGTGTGGTCGTGTATCCGCTTTGAGTTGTTATTTTTGAGTTGAATCAAAGGTCGCTTAGAATTTCTTAATTTTGTTAAACCATTCACGAATGACTGTGCTTTGCCGCATTTTCTAGTAGAGGTTATTGGATACCAAGCATGTGGTATAAAAGTCCAGATGTACTGAAGCCTGGGGAGTGCCCTTTGTTGTATCCACTTGAAGTTGGTGGATTCGAGACGTTCTTCCATGCATACGGAGATGATTTGGGATGACAGTCTCTAATGACCAATGACTGCATGTGACTACAGTGGATTAATTTATTTTTACAAGGGTTTCAAACCACCAGACAGATTTATCTCTTCAAACTCTAACCGCAGGGTTAACTTTCACTACAAAATATTACCAACATAGGTAGAAAAGCCATGGCTTTCCAAGGGTTTTCGCCATGGGTTTTCGCGTTTTTCCCATATCTGTCTTCATTTTCGGAGAGTAACTACAGCCACAATGGTCATCCATCCGATATCTAAGTCACTATAGCGACACTGTGGGGCAGTGGTACCGTTCCGTGGTGGGCAAGTGCCTCAACATCTTGGGAACACCTGGAAATAGCGACTACTTTGAGGCCGAAAATGCCGGGGAAAAACATCTGGGACATTTGCAGGGAAGATGCATATATAGAATGTATATATATATGTATATATGATGTATAACACCATATAATATAATACCATATATATATACACATACATACACGTATATATATATATATATATATACACATACACGTATATATATATATACACATACATACATATGATTGTACATATATATATATATACATATGATTATATATATATATATATGTACAATATTTATTATATGGGTCAAATTGGTCAAATATCAAATCGTCCCAAAATTGGATCGCTTTACAGAAGTTATACAGCTATACGCATCCTCAAAAGCTGAATGTGAACAGCAGGGTTTCGAACCACATCTAGATCTTGCAATCCTCACACTTCGAAGTGATGTTAGTTCTAAGGAAAACATACGAAAACCATGCCAATCATTGGCAGGGAAAACCAGAGAAAAATGCAAGTTCTTCTTCGTTCAGTTTATAGCAATCCAAAATGGTCATGTTGGAAGCCTGGAAATTCTGTGAAAAGCTGCTCTTATGGTGCAGTGATACTGCATAGTTCAGGTAGCTTTGCAAAGATGGTGCTACATAGTTGAGATCTTGTGCATTTGGTTTTCGAACTCTTTGGAATCAAGGTTCAGTGGTGAATGACAATCTCCAACTTAGAGGCTTGCAGGCAGTACGTACCTTTTGGGTATCGCTTCATGCAAGCCTCCGTAGATGTTGGATTCCATCAACGAAATTGGCGGACATACATGGCCGCCGTCTTTTTTTTCCCAAACAGTATGTCCACACTGAGGGGTTCTTACGGTAGGTGTAAAGGCCGGGGTTAGATCAGGGTGCTCCATCTGGGTTGCTCGTTTCGACTGCGCCGGCTCGCACAAAAGTTCCCCTTGTGAGATGTCCATGTGCGTTTTCGACTGCGCAGGCTCGCACAAAGTGAGCGTCCCTTTTTGCTCGTCTCCGAACGTTTACTTTTAGCTTCGCGCGGTGCTCGTTTTTGAGCTACGTCCATTTTCGTGGCAGGCGTGGCACTATCGGGACATTTTGAGGTCTGGAACGTCATTTTGCATGTGTACAGGTGCAGGACATCGGACACTTTTTCATCCATGTGGCAGGCATCTTATGGCATTTTATCTGGCATATCTTCTGGCATTCTATCTGACATTCTATGATTCTATCTGGCATATCTTCTGGCATTCTATCTGGCCGTTGAGGTCCAGCGGTGCGCACTGAGCTGGGAAGGTCCCAGGTTGAGGTCCAGTGAGCTGGGAAGGTCCCAGGTTGAGGTCCAGTGGTGCACACTGAGCTGGGCAGGTCCCAGGTTGAGGTCCAGCGGTGCACACTGAGCTGGGAAGGTCCCAGGTTGAGGTCCAGCGGTGCACACTGAGCTGGGAAGGTCCCACTGAGCTGGGCAGGTTGAGGTCCAGCGGTGCACACTGAGCTGGGCAGGTCCCAGGTTGAGGTCCAGCGGTGCACACTGAGCTGGGAAGGTCCCAGGTTGAGGTCCAGCGGTGCACACTGAGCTGGGCAGGTCCCAGGTTGAGGTCCAGCGGTGCCCACTGAGCTCGGAAGTTGGCGAAGAGCTTGGCGAAGAGTTGGCAAGGCGGAAGTGGACGTGGAAGTGGAAGAGGAGGGGGAGGAGGCGGACGAGGAGGCGGAGGAGGACGAGGAGGAGGAAGAGGAGAGCTAGTCGAGGAGGAGGAGGAGGAGAAGAACAACTCTGATAAAATCTATCAACCCTCACCTGGCAGGTGGGGAAATACAACAACAAATACAACAACGAATACGACAACGAATACAACAACCACCACCACCACCACCACAACAACAACAACCACAACAACAACAACAACAACAACAACAACAACAACAACAACAACAACCACAACAACCACAACAACCACAACAACCACAACAACAACCACCACAACCACCACCACAAAAACAACCAGCACAACCACAACAACCACAACAACAACAACAACAACATCATCAACAACAACAACTGCTGCTGATGCTGCTGCTGCACTGCTACTGCTACTACTACTGCTACAGCTACAACTGCAACTAAACCTACAACTCCGTAGACAACGACGAATACAACTACGAATGCAACTACGAACGCAACTGCGAATACAATACAACTACCAATACAACAACGAATACAACAACCAATACAACAAAAAATACAACAAAAAATTCAACAACGAATGCAACAACCAATACAACAGCGAATACAACAACGAATACAACAAAGAATACAACAACGAATACAACATCGAATGCAACAACAGCAACAACAACAACGGACACAACAACGAATATAACAACGAATTCAACAAAGAATACAACAACGAGTACAACATCGAATGCAACAACCAATACAACAACGGATACAACAACGAATATAACAACGAATTCAACAAAGAATGCAACAACACATACAACAACGGATACAACAACGAATACAACAACAAATACAACAACGCATACAACAACAAATACAACAACACATGCAACAACAAATGCAACAACAAATACAACAACAAATACAACAACAAATACAACAACAAATACAACAACAAATACAACAACAAATACAACAACAAATACAACAACAAATACAAGAACAAATACAAGAACAAATACAAGAACAAATACAAGAACAAATACAAGAACAAATACAAAAACAAATACAAGAACAAATACAACAACAAATACAACAACAAATACAACAACAAATACAACAACAAATACAACAACAAATACAACAACAAATACAACAACAACAACAACAACGATGACGACGACAACGACGACGATGACGACAACAACAACAACAACAACAGCAACAACAACAACACCACTATTCTACAGTACAACTAGCACTACGCTACACTACATCTCACTACATCGAGCAGTTGTGGGTGAGGTGACCACTGCACCAAAAAACACAGTTCCAACCACCTTTTGTTCCATCAGTGGGTTCGCTCTGCACTCCATGCGACGCAGCAACCAAACCTTTTGCCTGCTGCAAGAAACCAAATTTCAGTTTTTTAGGAAGATAAGGCACCCAGGAATCCAATGCCGCTGCCTATTATCATATGTTCGATTTTAATTTTCACTTCAACTGATTTTCCGGGCCCCCTCTTCGGACAAATCCGACTGATGGTGATCTCATTATGTTTCCCTTGCTGGTAATTACCCATGTATGTTCACACTGCCAAACCATCCTCAAGCCCCCTCACTTTTACCAAATCCGGAGGCAGTCACACCCGAAGTGGTCAAGGAATCTGGGGATGGAAACAGGGCAAACGAAACTTTGATGTTAAAAACAAAAATGTTTGTATACAATCTTTGTGATGTGATCCCTACAGAATTCAAACGGATGTGCACCAATTCAATTGGATTATTATAGATGTTTATGCCCACCATACCACTAAGCATAGCCACTTGCCGACTACTTCTATTGCCATGATGTGTGCACCCTAAGGGCTGTGATAATGTATCATACCAGAGAGGTCACAGCAACCCTTGAAATGGTCAGACACAAATCACCATTTCAGGTGGTCACTTTCTTTGTGAATTTCCAGGAAGTTGCTCTGTCAGCTGTTACCAGTTGGTTCATATACCCGTCCTGCGGAGGAGATGTGGGACTATACTCCCAGTTTCGAAGACTCGGAGAGGAGTTTCTTAAAGGCCATACAGGACCAAGCAGCCAGAAATGTTCGCAAATGCTGGGGAACAACCATGGAAGAGTCAGGCAAAGGACAAAATATGGACAAAATTGGTGAAATTGAAATGATGAAAAGGTTTCACAATGTGTTTCGCACCAAACAAAATGGAAACTTGATAAACTTAATAGTCGAATAGCACGTTTTGGACGTTTTCTATAGATGTTTTGAATGCTTGGCCCTTCCAAAAAAAACGCCTACAGGGGTGATCCAGATGGATGCCCCAGGGCCGATAGTTTGATCGTCCAGAAGTTTCTTTCGCGCATTTACAATAATTACATGCTGGTGAAGTGTGAGAATTAATGTTTACTATTGTTTACTCAACTCGGAAATCCAAGTGACTCAGTTATACTCGGTTTACTTCTGGTTTACTGATGTCTTATCACTCTTAATCATTGAGACAGTTGACTTCGTGGTAACGGAGCCGTCCTATCCGTGGATTTGCTGATGATTTGGCATTGTTCAATGGGAAATCCACTAGGATTGGGGAATCGATTAAGGGAATAATTCGGAATAATGGAGATCTTGATAGAATCTATAGGAATATTGGGGAATCTCTAGGGAATATAGGGAATATAGGGAATCTATAGGGAATATAGGGAATCTAGAGGAATATTGGGGAATCTATAGGAAATCCACGACTTTTTCCGGGGAATCCAAGATCTTGATAGAAATGCTGGCTGAGTAAGCCGTGCTTGGATCGACGAGTGACTATTTCTTTGCATGGGCATATAGGCTACGCTAGCAAAAATGATTCGGGATTCTTTTGCAGGGTATTGGATGATTTTGGCGTGAAAATAGCAGTTCACTGATTGAAGTCACCACGCTCAGGATTAAGTAGATGAACGTAGCCAGATAGTCTATTCTCTTCCCACTTGAGTGGCAGGACTCATTCCGCACTTACAAGAAAGTTGAAGGAAAATCAGAACGCACGGACCTCAGAAGACAACATTGATGATGATGATGATGATGATGATCATCATCATCATCATCAACAACAACAGCAACAGCAATAGTTTCACGATGGTTAATGTCAATGTGCTCTTGATCATGTTCATCATGAATACCCAGATCATCATGATCAACATGATAATCCTGATCAGCATTTTCATCATAGTCATCATGCTTATGAGAATCATCATGATGACTGATAATGGTCATGACGTTCACGATGATTGTGATGATTGATAATAACCGTTGAATGGTCACCGTCGTAGGTTGTAGATGCAAAAATGGGTTTGTCTGAAAATAGGGTATATTCCCAATGAAATAGCCATTTAATAGGGATAATGATCAGCAAAACCATTGGCTTTAGGGGTTTTCCCTATTTTCAGACAAACCCAAATGATTCGTCCAACAGGAGCATTTTAACATGACAATGATAACCGTCCAACCCGCAATCAGGCGGCGGTGAACAACTGTTTTTTTTTGGTGGTCCTTTTTTGGTGGTTTTACAGGAGTTAAATTTCAAGGCGACTGGAGTATCATTGCAATCAACTTTGAAGTATATGCATTGTCATATACTGCAATATACTGCTGTATGATATTTGATTGATATATCGTACCTCTCCAACTTTCTGGAATTTATTGTAATCCATTGTAATATCACTTCACGATCGCTCCATCATCTCTCTGTGCAATATCATGAGATTTACTTGCCAGCCATAGTATCGCATACTTCCTAATTTGATCAGAAATTTGTTGGTTTTCTCGTAGAAAAAGACCCCTCTTCGAGATCTGTTTCGGTGCTCCAAACGATCGCTGCAAAACCCCATTCGGTCGGCACCGAGGTGTGAAACCTAAAGCGATGTTTTGCTCCAAATTTGTCTCTGCAGTTCCTTGGAGATGGAGACATCTATTGACATTTTTTATTGTGGTTTCACGCAAAGAAAAAAACACGCCCTGGTATCCCCTGGTAAATTTTCACATAGACTCTGACATAGACCCTGCAAATAACATCAAATAACTCTAATTTTTAGAACTCATCTTCATTTCCAAGCCCTATCTGTGAGAGTCTATGTTAATTTACTGGATGATATTTTGCGAATGTCCAATCAGTATACCCACAATAGTGAACCATCCTCACTAATCAACAATTTGGGGATATTTGGGGATATGATTAAAAAATATCATCAAATTCATCCAAAGTTTGGGTGATGGCATCGTGGATGGGATCGTTTTTTTTTTTCTCGGTTTCCTGTTGGTTGAATCTGCACCCGTTTTGAACGCCGGCCCCTGGGTTTTTTAAGGTTCCACAACGATGTCTTGCCCTAGTCCTGGGTTGCTTTTTAAACATGGCCTGTTTGGTTGGGTAATTTGTTGGGATTTATACTAATAATTTACTGGGGACAAGCCATAGGATTGGGAAAGGGTTTTCAACCAACTCGTATTTCATAAGATGAGAGAGGGATGGGATGATTCATTGAATCGATGGGATAGGGATGGGATGATTCAACGATGATCGTACCAAGATGATTCATTGAATCATGGTCATGATCCCGAGTTGAGCCTCATGATGGAATCGATGGTCGGACCATAGCCCACCATTTTTGGAATGCAACTCCCTGATGACATCATGAATCAGAAAAATCCTCATAGCACATCTTGGGAATGAAAAACATGGCATCCATCGGCATCCCGAATTCGCCATTCTTGCCATGATTCCATCATTTCCTGCTTCTCGGATCTTCAATCTGGCGAAACCCAGATTTGGTCTTCGACCATCGGCAACCCTACGAATGATCCGAATGCCACGGTGCGAAGCCGGGATTTGAAGATCATGTTGCCCTTCAATCCAGGCGGCCGCGCTCGATGGAACTGGGGGATGATCATCCCATCATGGGTTCTTGGATGCCCCTGTTCAGGATATCCATATGCCATGGTGGGATTACTAGAAGGCCCATATATATGCCATGTCTTGACAGATGGAAAATGGGGATTTAATCTGATTTAATATGGTTTAATGCCATGAAACGTCGGGGTTCAATGATTGTAAGCCAAACACTGTTGCATTTCAGCCTAGGGCTCGTTGATGCTCGTTGCAAGGAGATCCAACCACTTCCCCAGTCAGGTGACCCAACAGGAAGGGCTGGTTTACCCTAGGGTAAACTAAGAAAGATGTAAAGAAATCACCATTTTTATAGGTAAATCCGCCATACATGGACCATTTTCATCCATTTTCCACATTTATTTTATAGTTTACCCTAGGGTTTTGTAAGGGTTGGCGCCATGAAGAAAGCCTCCGACAGGATCCTGCTCCCCTTGGACTATCGTACAGTGGATCGTGAGCAAATCTGGATGCTCGGGAAATGGGAAATGGGAATGAGCCGCTCGAGCGGGGACAAAACGAACCATCAACAAAAACGGGATTCCATGGGAGTTCATGGGAATACAATGGAACTATATTTAATGGTATAATATTATATATATATATATTATATTATATTATAATTGTATATATATATATGACATATATATATATACACTGTAAAACATCTAAGGTATATACACCCCCCTAAATGGCAAATGTGTCTTGCAAAAATGAGGTTTTTGTGCATCAAATCTGTGGGTTGGCAAAAAAAAACAGGGGGTTCATCAGCAATTGATGGAGGATTTGTTCGGGATTTGAATACAGCAGGTGGGATACAAGTCGTGGGTATAGCAACTCTTATGAGTTTGGTGGCTGGTTTGGTCTTTTATGTTCGCAAGCATCTGACTGAGATTGGGGCCCCAGCGACGGGTATATTTTTTCAGGGGGGTGGTTCGGTGGCTCAACTAGCGACGACAAGAAGGACCTGGGGATGATATGGGTGTGTCTGGAAATGGGGTATTTTCCGCGCCCAATGGCCATGGAACCACGTTAACCATGAAATTTCATGGTATGCTCTTTTCAGATAGGCCCATATTTGTTGACAGACAAAAATGCCATGGCATCGGATGGTCAAAAAATTGGGGCCATCTACAGATCCTTTGCGATCAGAAAGTGCCTGAGCTAAGGGTTGGAGTTGTTTGTTCCTAAGGGTTATCTAAGATAAGCCATGCTTAGCCAGTCCGCAGATTCTCTGAAAAAATCAGCGCTTTCAGCAGGCCATGGGGGTTTTCCGCTATCAATGGAGAGTTTCATCGGAAAATCATCGAACGAAATGGGGGATTTTCCACAACATGGTTGACTCTTACCGGAGGGTAAGACATTTGGACCAGAAGTCCCACAGTTCAACGAGTGGATGAGAAAAAACTCACACAGCGAATCGCGGCATAACACTGAGATGACAAGTTTCGCGCCCTTAAGCCCGCACTTTACTTTAGACTTCCTGAAATTTAGAGAAAGAGGTGCTTTGTCAACATAACCCCCATTAGCCACAGTTATATTTCCCATAATCATCCATAAACCATCATAAACCCTTCTTCTAGTTATAAACCAACTGAGCTATCGTCTGGTGGCCACCTGATAGCATATCCCCAGCACCCAAGCACATGGCCACCGATGACCAAGGACGCAAGTCCTGGAAAAGTTGTGTGGGAGACTTGGCGCCCGGCAAGTTCAACCCTTGCGATATTGACAATTATTGATGGGACTCAAAAACTGGGAGAAACTGCAGGGAAGTGTTGAATGGAGATTGGGATGTTGGGATGTTGGGATGTTGGGATGTTGGGATGTTGGTTGTTTTCACATCTCACCGGATGTTTTTATTTACGAATTCGGAGTTCAAGGGGGTTCCAATTGGTTTCAATGGCTTTTGCAGCAGTTTCCAACATATTGCTGGATATCCCGACTTTCACCGCTCGGCACAGACCAATTATGTGGCGCAAAAGCCGCTGCGGCGGGGCATTGCGGTGGGAAAGCCTTCCCCTAGGGGGATAATGACAGGTATGTATAAAATAAATATATAAACATACATATATATATATACCATCATCATCATCATCATCATCACCATCATCATCATCATCACCATCATCATCATCATATATATATATATATATATGCGCATATATTCTCTATGTATGTTCTTTTTTTTAAAAAAATACTTTACTTCGTGTGATCCCCACCATGACATTTATACATTTTCTTACTGGCAAATCTTCTGGCATTCTATCTGACATATCTTCGGACATTCTATTTGACATTCTATCTGGCATATCTTCTGGCATATGATCTGGCATATCTTCTGACATATCTTCTGGCATTCTATCTGGCAAATCTTCTGGCATTCTATCTGGCATATCTTCTGGCACTCTATCTGAAATATCTTCTGGCATTCTATCTGGCATATCTTCCGGCATATATTCTGACATATCTTCTGGCATTCTATCTGATATATATCTTCTGGCATATATTCTGACATATCTATCTGGCATATCTTCTGGCATATCTATCTGGCATTCTATCTGGCATATCTTCTGGCATATTATCTGGCATTCTTCTGGCATATCTTCTGGCATATCTTCTGACATTCTTTCTGACATTCTTTCTAACTTTCTTCTGCACATTCTTTGTCCCATATCTTCCTAACATGAGGTCCGGCAGGGAACACTTGGCGTGGATACTCGCGGTTGAGGTCCGGCAGGGAACACTTGGCGTGGATACTGGGCGTGGATGGTCGTGGTTGAGGTCCGGCAGGGCAGGGAACACTGATGGTCGTGGTTGAGGTCCGGCAGGGGTCGTGGTTGAGGTCCGGCAGGGAACATTGGGCGTGGATGGTCGTGGTTGAGGTCCGGCAAGGAACACTGGGCGTGGATGGTCGTGGTTGAGGTCCGGCAGAGAACACTGTGGATCGCGGGTCGCAGTTGAGCAAGGACGACGAGGACGACGAGGACGACGAGGAGGACGAGGAGGAGGAGGAGAGGAGGACGAGGCAGGAGGAGGCGGAGGAGGAGGAGAAGGAGGAGGAGGAGGAGAAGGAGGAGGAGGCAACTGACATAAAATCTAACAACCCTCACCTGGCAGGTGGGGAATAATCATGATATACGTGTGTAGCTAGTTTTACACCCAGAAAGTTAAAACATATACACGCAGTACACATACATGTTTGCAGTTACATACCTATTTCCGCGCCTAGGTTGAATCAGATGCTGTGTATTTGTATGCGTGTGTATATAAAATACATATATGCACATGTGTGTATATATATATACAAAACTTATGCATGGATACATATCTGGGTAAATTATAACGACCTCACTGTTCTCCCTCACTGGAATCATGGTTAATAAGGGAAATCATCCCCAAATGGCCCAACAATTCAGGTTAGTGAAATATTATAATTTACCCAGACACATATAATATATACACACGTCATATGTATCATATGCATATCATGTCCATCCTCATGGTGCAGGTTCCAGAAACAAGGCAATGGAAAATGTTGTCCCAATGTTGATCCGTTGTGCCAGTGTCAATGGCCTTGGGTCCCAGTTTAATATAGTTTAATGATGGTTAATGATGGTTAATGATGGTTAATGATGGTTAATGACTCATTGGTTCAGCCATGTTTTGTTTCCAAATCCTCATCGAATACATATATGATGATCCTCATTCTTGAAGACAAGCGCACTAGTCGAAGTTGGGAACAAGCGCAATATTCTTGCACAGGTCCAAGGGTCATGTCAGACAGCTCCAAAGTTTGATCATTTCCAGCAGTCAACCATTCTGAATATGAGTGGATTATCATAAGTTTCTCTATCGAATTGACCATTTGAGGGTATACCCCATTTTCAGACACACCCAAAGCATATACTGTTAATTATATACATTGATTCCCATGGCTTCCGTGTTCCCATGATATCCCCAGTAGTATCTCATGGCGATTGGATGCGAATGGGGCACCAGGCGTTCAGCGGCCTGGAAATGCACCTGCTCAGGCTGGCGCTGAATCAGCTGTGTGTCCTGACTGTGATGACTTGTAACATATATTTATGGGGGTTTCCTAAAATGGGGATACCCCAATAGCTGGATGGTTTATAGTGGACGATCCTAAATGGATGATTACTGCTACGCAAGCTATACAGGAGATGTAAGAACCACAGGATATCCTGATGGTGATTCATGCAGACTCCAGGTTTGGATATTACTGAATTACTGTAGATTAGCTCTCAGTTTTCCCCTTGACTTCCTGAAGTGCTTGACCGTGAGCCAGTATGCTTGTTGAATGTTACATGTCATCGCATAATTTCTGCGACCCGCTCCCTGGCAACTGGATTTGTTGGCCTTGGCACAGCAAGTTGATGCAAGTCCATGTGAGATCTCACATTTCTTGGTGTCGTAATTTATGGTAGCTACAATCGAAGCCCCATCAAGACCAGAATCAAGCATCATCAAGCCGGATTGAACTAGTGTCAGTAAAGCCATAGGGTCCATCATCCCCCAAATTTGCCATAAACGCCATAAACGGGTTGTATACACCCAAACTGGGGCCACGATCAGCGACACAACCGCGCATCACATGGTTGGTCTTGGGAGCTTGTTCTGCTCAAAATGTGTGGATGTTAGGCCCACAATCAATTCAAGAAACTGGTGCCCTCTGGTTATTTAACCGTTTGCTTTGGAAAATGACAATTTTAAACCATCATCTATCATCATATATCATCTAAAATGGGCCATGGCTTCCATAGCTAGCTTAAATAACCAAAGGGTACATTTGAATACATTTAAATACATTTAAGCTTTTTCACGAATGCTTCAATCACCGCAGATTTGCCAAGCGCTCAAAGTGAGACATTTTTGCTTCAACAGTCCTCCGGACTTGAGGGTTCGAGGGTTCTGATGCATAAATCATTTAAACATGGCTTCTTGAGGCTGGCTGCAGACCATAGCGTAGATCCTACAAAGTCTCTGCAAGCTGCAGAACTTGAAGATGGAGACCACCTGACAGCTATTGCCATACAGCCAAAACTAGCGGCAACAGACCGACGGACCGATCTTTTGCGTTGTTTTGCTCTGGAGGTGACCGGGTCACGTGCGGGGGAATCCATTTTTGGGTGGTGACAGTTCCAAAGGCAAAGATCAGCTCAAGGGCGCCCAGATGGTTCGGGCGCTCCTCGGGTGGTGACAGCTCTGAAGTCCAAGCTCAGCTCAAAGGTGTCCACCAGGTTCAAGCGAAGTTTTTCACCGAGTTTTGAATTGCCAAGGTGAAGAAAAATTGGCTAAATGGGGTTGGGTATATTCAGTGTCCAATGCCCAAATCATCAAACTATGGGTGGTAAATGGTGGTAAAATATTATAAACCTTGCTTTACTTAGATGGGCCATCGACTTAGTGAATTAGTCTAGTAATCAGTCAGCTAATCCCATGGCTCAGGTGCGGCAAAACCTCTGGCAACATGCAAGCGAGGTGGGGCTTTTTCCTCTCGGCCATCTGGAGATGAGATTCACATTATACTGCAGGAATCAAAATGCTACAAAAAGATCTGATGAGTTATCAGGGATGATGACGATGATGATTTCTGATGAGGACACTACACCTGATATTCGTAAGTTATGATAAGATTACCTGATAAGTCGAAGGCCATTTCGAGTGGCCTGTATTGATCCAGACCGAATTTCAGGGTAATTTGATGTAATTTGTAATGGATTAGTTTTCCCTAGACAGGATCCACTTCGAAAATGTGGTTGGAAGCACGCAAGAAAAACAACTTTTGTCCTGGCGGTGTAAGTTTACATTTATTCGTTTCTGTTTTGTGATTTATTGATTTGATACAAGGTCTACCACCCCGTCTTGCAGTCCGTTTCCCCTATTTTGATTTATTTTGATTTATCGATTTTGGGTTTCAACGAAAAGAAACCATCCTCCAGGCCTCTTCGGCTTGTCGCTTGGAATCTCTCGTGAGCTTGCTACTGCGGGTGCGCGCTCTGGGAGAGGGCGGACCGGCGGCAACGCTGGGACGATTTCTGATCATAGATTCGACTTTGTGGATCTTTTTAATCTTTTGGGAGTACTATAGTTATATATATATATAGACGGGGAAAACATCTCCATACTTCTCAGCGAGCCACCAAGATCTTCAGCTAGTTCTATGGTGAGGAGGGAGCTGATCTTCCGCAGGGTCCATGGTGATCTTTGGCTCAGTGATCATCCAGAAAAAAAGCAACTTATGAGATCGATATTGGATCAACCAAGACTCATGATTTACCAGTGGGTGAGATGACGTCATGACGTGATGTTTGCCGAACTTGGTTGATGCCCACAAATCTCAAACATCTTGTGGCTTCCATCGGTTGACATCCGCATGCTGCGTGATCATTTCAAGACGTGGGCCCCTGAAGATTCTGAGGCTTTCGCACCATGATTTTTCGGCAGAATTTGACCATTGTTGAATCCGTGAAATCGCTGAAACCTGTGGGTCCAGTGATGGATGGACTTTCAGTCCCGACACAAGGTGGAAAAAAAAAAAGGTCCATGACGTAGCCTTCAACGGGAAACATTTGTTTGTTATCCCAACTTCTCAACTGAAAACAGCCACACACATCTTTCGGAACCTCAATAGATGGAAAATAGATAGAAAAGGCCATGACTTGGACCTGGCGAGACAGCGGGCTGCTGGCTGCGGGTGCTGTTGGTCGCTTGGTCGATGCACAACGGGTCAAGCGTGTCAACCACTCTTCAACTTTGGATTTGTGTTTTTTTCCCACCGTTTCTAAATACAAGGTTGGTATTTTGACCGTGTGGCATCAGGCAATGCTGGGGCTGGGGGCGGCTGGGGGATTTATCTGGCCTAATTTTTTGATACTTCTCGGACAAAGGGCGTTGGGTAGATTGTGCAGTTCTTTTGGGAGCTTAAAATGAGGAGGTATACATCAACAATACCCAGTTCATTATATTATCAATTTCATTCAATTTCATATATTATATTATTATTATAATATTATTATATTATAATATATATATATACATATCTTTGTGAGGTATATAAAATAGGCCATGATTTATGCTTCTTTCCATGCATAGGTGATAGGTGAGTGGGACTTGGTGAGTCGCTGCTTCTGATCCCTTGGATGATTGATCGAATGGCTATGATTTGCCTGAAATTTTAGGGGAAAACCACCAATTTCCCATGGATTATCATGACTTATCATGGATGATCATCATTTCCCCGGTTTAATTTGCCCTTTGAGGGTATACGGTATACTCCATTTTCAGATACAGCCATTTGTACAGCATCCCTTGGGTGATCAGTTTTTTCTCGATCTCGCCAACTTTTTTCGATCACATTGCAGAATTTCTTATGAACCATACGGTAGCATATTTTTGTTAAGATTTTTTAAATTGTCGATCTAAAGGTCCATTTGCAGACAGAGGAATTTGGATCAACTGCCATATGAATTGATCATGGCAAAAAAATGGTGCTTTTGCGGAAGCAAAACCATCAACTTCTTTCTTTACTGCTGGGTGGTCCTCACTGAGGTGTAGAGTTCAGTTATGTCTGGTTTATAGACCGCCATAAAATCGGCCATTAAAAATAGGGAAAATGATCATAAACCATGAAATTGGGGTGTATCCCAGTTTCAGACAAAACCAGAAAAAACTACAGTTGCAATCCCATACGTTTACTGAACCAAACCAACTTAGCTATCGTTAACGTGGCCCCACTGGTAACTCGACATAGCTTGTAAAAATCACCAATAAATGGGTCTAAATATGCCATCCAAAGACTTGATGTTGTCAACAGTATGGCCAAATTCAAATTAATTTCACACTATTTATGGCCAAATAACATAAAAAAAACAGGTTTAGCCATGATTCATACCCTCTGGGTAATGACTAACAGTTTTCTATTGAACATGGCCCATAGAAATAGATTATATCATATTATATCCCTGTTAAACATTGTGATTTCAATAGCTACTGGTTGGTGGTTTGGATCATTTTATATGTTTCCATATATTCGGAATGTCATCATCCCATTTGACTGTCATATTCTGCAGGGTAGGTATACCACCAACCAGGCTATGTCAAATTACCAGAGGGTAACTCCCTATAAATGGTGGTAAAAAAAACATTATTAACCATTATATAACCATTATTGACCACTATTAACCATTATTAACCGTTAATTACCAGAGGGGTAGTGATCGGCCATGATTTAGTACCGTCTCCAAGGTGGTGCCGCCGCGACCCTCTTGGCGATGGCTCGCGCACGGAGCCCTCTTCGGGACGCCGCTGGCGCTGGCGGCGCGGGCGCTCCGCCCGCGCCGGTGGAGGTGATGAAAGCGGAGGAACGAAAGGTGCGGGGTGAGTTCAATGGATTGTTTTTTGACTTACATGATTTAGCAAATAAGTTAATTAACCAACCATCAACCATTAACCATTAACCATCAACCATCAACCATTAACCATTAACCATCAACCATCAACCATTAACCATTTGGAACCATTAACCATTAAGCATTTGGATGGGAATGATTCTTTTTCAAACGGTTCATGGTTCCCAAGATATTGAATCAAAGCAAGGTGCCATAAGGTGCCACTATGTGCCGGGTGGATTTTAATGGGTTGAATGGACTTAAACCAACAACAAAAACTCACAAAAGAACTCATTGATGATGATTGAATATATTGTTTTTTAATGGATGATTGAAAAAATGATGAGTTGATGATTCCACAGATGAGGTGATGAGTTGCTTCATGTTTTGTTGGTGAACCGTGTTTTCTTATTTTTAATCTTGTGTTTGTTCTGTTTTGATCCTACATTTTGGTTTCTGGTTGTTTCCCGACCTCCAAGACTCAGGCGTTGCTTCTACAACAGCTGGCAGGACACTTGAAGGGCACCACGGATACTTGGATGAGCATCATGGTGGCGAGCTGGGTATTATGGATTGACGCCACTGCAGCTACGGTGAAACCCAACCATCGAAGCATCCTGGTTTTATCGCTTAGGGATGACTCAAAGTACAACTAGCTTTTCGGCAATCATTTGGCGATTGGATCAGCATCTAAAATCGCATTGAGCCCAGAGAAAGCAACCCTTGAGTGGCCAGAAGTCAAGTGGTTTAGAATGGTTTAGAATGGTTTAGAATATTTTAGAATGGTTTAGAATGGTTTAGAATGGTTTAGAATATTTTAGAATGGTTTAGAATGGTTTAGAATGGTTTAGAATAGCAAAATATATAGATAGCACCTTTTCCAATCTTGCATATCACGTGGCTTTGACCGGACTCCTTCCCCCCGTTTCATGACTTTTCCTATCGAAGATTGACGAGTTCTGATTCTGATCCTGTGACCTCCACCCTTAGTTCGATCATTGGGGGGTCATAGCAACTTGGATAATGGTTGCATCACCCATAGGTTCCATGTATGGTATATATATATATATGCTAACATTGGGGGTATATATTGATGGGATCCATGTTACCATATATAGCATACATGGATCCTATGGGTCATGGATTTGGAACACCAAGAGAATATCGAAATCAAACCTAGCTGGCTTCCCGTGAGCATCTATGGATCATGATCGTGCGGAATTGCGACGACAATCAGCAAGTGACAACTCACGGTCATTTTTTCATATGTTTTTTTTTCCCTATATAGATCAAGTGGGTTTCATGAAACTGTTCCAAGGCGTTCCATTGTTTTTTGTCATCTCCCCAAATGCTCATGACGAAACTTCATCCAGACAAATTCACGTCCTTAATTGGCTGAATCAAAGATAGTTCCAAGGTTCCATGGTTTGAACCCATTTTTCTTCCAACATTCATAGACTTGGATGATGGGAAATTTTACAGGAACCCCCTATATATTTATATATGTTTGATGGTAAAAACACCATGGTTTCCGGTTTCGATTTTCCCAACAACACCAATCCATTGAGACATGTTTTTAGATTTTTCCCAAGTGATGAACATGTTCAGTTTATCATAGAATTGGATGATGGGACAATTTACTGGTTTAAGCCCTATGTTTGATGGTATTTTAACCATGGTTTCCGGTTTCGATTTTCCCCAACAAACCAATCCAGTGAGTTGATATTTTTCATATGGCAGTGTGTCAAAACCAATAGTACCCCTTTTTGGTTCACATCAAAATAGCTGGGATTCATGGATGTTCATCCCCCTAAAAATGGTATTTTCATAGGTATTGATCTGCTATGATTTCCCAGGTTATGGCCATGATTTACCTGGGCGATCAGCTGGGGCTCTACAAGCAGATGGCCAGTCGCGGGAGCACCTGGACGGCCTCCAGGTGAGGTGAAATCATCATTGAAATAGATTGAAACCATTCTAAATATCAATAGATATCTATATAAATATCATTCTGTATCTATAAAAATTCTATAAATATCTATAACTATCTATAAATATCTATAAATCATTCTGTACAAAACCATCCTAAAATATCATAAAAATATTGTAAAACATCTATAAATATCTGTTGTTTTAATTATTGATGAGGTTAGGGTTTGCCACATGAGAGTATGATATTGTATGTGTGTTTCTTTTCAGAATGGTGATCCATAATATCAGTGTTTCATCACATTTACAGTCATGATGAACTCCAATAAACCATAGATTCACATCTTATTTTGATAGTAAGTATGGGGTTTTCCATGGTTTTTCCAAGGTTTTCCATGGTTTTTCCATTGTTTTTCCATGGTTTTTCCAAGGTTTTCCAAGGTTTTCCATGGTTTTTCCAAGGTTTTCCATGGTTTTTCCATGGTTTTTCCATGGTTTTTCCAAGGTTTTCCAAGGTTTTCCATGGTTTTTCCAAGGTTTTCCATTGTTTTTCCAAGGTTTTCCATGGTTTTTCCCTGCGTTTCCATGGTTTTCCACCTCCATTGAACATCCAGTCGCTACTCCAAGTGTTTCTTTTTCAGGCTGGCCAAAGCTGCTGGAGGCCTTCAAGCGCGCTTGGTGCAGGAGTGGTTGGCCCAACAAGCGGCTGCTGGCCTGGTGGATTTTGATCCCAAGAAGGGGAGACTTGGCCGAAAAAAAACCACCAGAAATGAGCCGTGAACCATGAGGAGTTGATCGAATTTTGCTCATGTTGATTGATGAAAAAAGAACAGATAGAAGGTCAAATGAACGACCCTTTGTTTCTTGGGGAATCGGAATAAGTATTGGTATGACCTTTTTTGTGGCTTCTCGGAGAAGGGCACTGCAATATCCAGTGGTTTCAACCCAAACGGGTTGCCTGTTTTGACCCCCCAAAGAGTTGTCAAGAAAAAGTCACCCGAGTGAAGGTGTGATTGAGACATTTCACCCTGCGAATGAGGGAAGGGTGTGAGGCACATTGCATTCTGTGATCTGATACCTACATATACCTACTATGGTTGACTGATTTTTGAATCATTTCACCACGGCATCAACATGGGACTGATCTCTGTGATGGTTGCAGAAGTTTTTGGTTTCGCCTGGGATGATTGGGGCCCCAGTAATCCCAAGTTTTTGACTCGTGAAGAAGTGATGGGGAAGCCATGTCTGGTGCTGGTTGGTGGTTCCAGATATGGGTATGGGTCAAAATTAAAGACCTGGGGGACCACAGATGGCTCAGTCTATTTTACAGTAGTATATTAACATGTATTAACCATATATTAACATGTATTAACCATATATTAACATGTATTAACCATATATTAACATGTATTAACCATATATTAACATGTATTAACCATCCAATTCTTGTGGCAGCCTGGCTTTAGACCCCATAGCCATAGACGTTTTGATGATCCCCAAATATCCGATTTCTTGGGGATGTCATGGATGATCATGTACCTATCTGGAATCGAATCGTGGTGAACCACAGAAAATAACTGAGGTGCACATCCAAGTCATCCAAGTAGGAGAAAATGTGATGCACTGGTGCACCCCTTCCACGATCGTTGACTTCAGGACCTTTTCCCTGTCCTCTGCATGCGTCCCGCTCTTGGCAGAGCCGTTGAGTGGCAGTTTTTTCGCACCCTATGCCACGCTGATGTTGGCAACTTGCCTCAGGGATCTCAGGGGTCTCACGGGTCCATGATGGGAACTTCCATTTTTTATCACCTTTTCCGGGGTGTTTCATGATGTTTCAAAAACAACTTTGGATGGTTTGTGGCTCTTCTTGGTCCAGTTAAAGCATGTTAAACCTGGCAGCCCTGGATTTGAAGGCCTGCTGGAAGCGCATTCCAACCATGATGGATGCCTTTAGAGGCGATGGATGGCTGTTGGAGGACCTCCTGAATACAATGTGGGCCCCCAAAACAGCTGGAGAGTTGGCTATGATGATATATAACTGATATATATATATATATATGTAATTATATGATATTGTATAATTCGATTTTGATGGGCCTTTGAACTATGATTGGATAGGCATTTGAAACCAACTTGCAACTAGGGCATTGTATGCTATCATGCCGAGAGCCTCAAGATAGCAGAGACAAGAGAGGGCAGCAGAGACGCATCCATTTCAGGTCTCACCTCAAAAACATAACATCAAAATGGTGGGTAAATTGCTGGTTCACGAAAATTTAGTAATGTTTATACAGTAGAGGAAATAGAAGGAACTATGAACTACATAATCCATTCGCATCCCCAAAAAACCTCATTCGTTGTTAGTTCAAGTGAGATCCAGTGAGAACTGGTACAATTTCAGTGCATAAGCACATTTTTTGTTTCGAAGGGAACATTTTGACAAACCAGTGGACGGTTGGTAAAATAAAATACCAATATTTGATGGTTAGATAAGCATTTAGACCTCATGGTTGGATCGCCATGGATGTTCATGGATAAATCACAATTTCAAGTCTAAATCAACACTAGTTCATGGTTGAAAAACACACATATTAAATCGCAATTCAAGTCATCAAATCCCGATGTGTTCATAGTTATATGTTATTTGGTTGGTGGTTTGGAACATTTCTTATTTTTCCCATCATATTGGGAATGTCATCATCCCAACTGTTACTCACTCACATTTTTCAGAGGGGTAGGTCAACCACCAACCAGTGAATCCATTATTATCAATGATTCACCATTATTCACCATGATTAACCTCTGGTAAACTAACATAGCTATGGAAAATGACCCATTTATAGATGGTTTACCTATTAACAATGGTGATTTTCTATAGCTATGTTAGTTTACCAGAGGGTAACCTGGTTAATTTTAACTTCACGGTGAAGTTCCCGGTTTCGCCAGGCCAATGCCTGGCTCCCAGCTATGACGAAGCGGGTGAGGACTTGGCAGATGCCATGGCCAGGCTGCATGTGCCCGAGGTGAAGTTCAACTTCATCCCCAAGGCAGCTGGAAGTGTAGATGAAACCATGTTAGGCAGCAATGTTTATATTCCCCAGGGGTTTAAGCCATCCCCAAGGGGTTTAACTATGAAACCATGGTTTATATAACATTAACCATGGTTTAACTATGTTGTTTATATAACATTGTTGTTTACATGGCTTAATATTGGTTTATATCCATCAATATTATGGTTAATATATGGTTTATATCCACCAATACTAATTGATTAACATGGCTGAAACATATCAACATTCATCAAGAATTTGGGACTAGAATGGAACATCGACTTGATCATGGCTATAACATGCTATGGCTGAAAAAAAACGGGATGCCCCAAAGCTGCAGATGGGGCTTTCGTAAGTCCAACTGGGATAGCTCCACCAGATTCAGGGCGATAGCCCCAAGGAGATGGGTGATGGCATCGATTCTATAAAATTAAAAGCAACAATCTGGGAAAGCTGTAGCACTGGAAAAGCATTTCCTCTGGAAGTGTATGAACCAACATACTGTACATGTTTTTCTAGAGGATCTTGGGTTAATCCTGGCCAACCTTTGATAGAATTGACAATAGTAAAACTGTATAACTGATAACAGAATATGGCAGGTGAACTATCTCGAAAGATTTATTGAACCAAAGATGGGAAAACCATAGAGTGCCCAAAAGCGCAGTGGTTTTTAGAAAATCCGAAAAGATGTAACAACAAATCAGTATAAATGTGTGGTTTAGAACAGCATTTTCCCAGTATTTGATGACTCTTTTGGCATACACCGCATGCAATCCATATCTCTGAAAAATGGAAGGTGTGAAGCACACCATTTTTCGCGGATATGATGGGATATCACCGGGTATAATGACCTAATTATATCCTACAATATGATATCCAAGAAAAGAGACACAGGCCATAGACTCCATAGACATGCAGATACTCAATGATACTCATAGACATGTAACTTCCTGGCCATTAAGTTTCCTACAAAGATATTTTATGACACCTACCATCCTACATGGTGAACAAACGTAGCTACTGAAAATGGCCATAGACATAGTTGATTTAGCCAGCTATAAAATGGTGATTTTCCATTGCTATGTTGGTTTACCAGAGGGTAATAATCCTACGATCCTACCATATCTTTGTTGCTTCGTCTCTTCCCATGTCCATGCTGCTTCTGTCGGTGAGTCGGTGATGCCCATCTTGCCGAAGCCGGCGCTTCGTTTTAGTTTCCCCAAGCGACGTCAAGCGACGATGGTGCTACGTTATAACTTATAGCCTCTGGAAATGACGAACAGTTTGCGAACTTGAAAATGGCCATATATAAGATTTATAGTGGATTTTCCCAGCTATAAAATGGTGATTTTCCATAGTTATGTTAGTTTACCAGAGGGTAATCCAGCCAATACCTCTACTATGATGTTTGTATATATATATATTGTATATAGAGTATGCTATAATTAATATGTAAATAATTATGCACACATACATAGATTTTTTTCACATCACCATTGCACCATAACCATAAGATATTTCTTCATATATGGGTATGGATCAATACCTATAGATACATTTTTAATGGGATGAACATCCATAAATCCCAGCTATTTTGGATGTTCACTAGGTACCAGGCTTTTGACTCATAGCCATATCTCTTCCATTTGGGGAGATCGAACTGAGGTGCTTCCCTTGATCCAAGACGGTTCGCTGCTGCAGCGCCTGAACTCCGAGAATCTGCTGTGTGCGGATGTGGGCGCCAGTGGCGCGGTATCTTCGATGAAAAAACCTGGGAAGTGGATAGTGATGCCAGGCATCCTGGAGAATATGGAACATGTTCCACAGTACTAAAATGGGAAGATCTTTGAAGATTCTATATTTCTATCAAATTCTATCATTATCTATCTACTTTTAGAACGACATAGATACAGGCACACATATATATATATAATTATAGGTATGTATACGTGGACATGTCCTGCATCATTGTATACAATATGTATATATATATATACACATACATTGTATAGATACTGTACATAGCTGTATACTGAGACCTATAATCAATAAGAACATCAGCTGCTCGGGTACGACTGTGGATGAATTGGTATCATCGTTTTTTTTTTGATGGCGGCCAGTCTGGAGTTGGCTCGGCCATTCACAGCTTCAACTTCCATACAACTTACCCTCTGGTAAACTAACATAACTATGGAAAATCACCATTTTTTATGGCTAAATCAACTATAAATAGGCCATTTTTCATAGCTATGTTAGTTTACCAGAGGGTAATGATAGAACATGGTTAGATGATGATATCATTCTTGTATATATCATGTTTGTATAAACTGATCCGAAGAACATATCTTACTACAGTAACATGATTTTTATACACATTGTTCCTTTTTGTGTTTTGCCTCCGCATCGAAGCCAATCAATGTCCTGTGTTCAGGGCTGCTCATTTTAATGGTCGTATTTCGAAAAAAAATCGTGGGCTGGGCTTGGTAAGTGTGCCTATTGTAAACAAACATAGGGATGGAAAACCATAATGTTTAAAGGTAAATCAACTATAAATCGGCCATTTTCAATAGCAAACTGTTAAATTACCAGGTAATTGGTTGGCCATTGATGTTCGGCGCTCGAGGACTGCACCATGGAAATGGCCCTGCAGTTCCCGAAAGCGACGTTTCACGCATACGAGGCCGCTGTTGATGCCATCGGTTGCGATCAAGACAATTCTATGCATGCAGTAAACTTACTGGTGCTTAGTAAGGAATGGATGGGAATGGGGGTTGCTGGGATCATTATTCATATAGTTATTGTGGATCATTCCCGAAAATTCCGTACTAAGCACCAGTGAGTAAACGATAGTAAACGTGTTGTTTTTGATGAAGGACACTTTCGTGTAGTGCCGGTTCAAATTTGGAAAGCGATATGGGGGTTCCCAAATGATACTTGTAGCCATAGCAATAACTATTCGACAAATAAAAAAGGATTTTTAGTGGTCTACGGCACGCGGTGGCCCAATCAATCCAAAACACCAGAATCCAAATGAATGTGGAAATGGATGGAGATGGATTGCCAAATCAACGGCTATTTGATGACATACCAAAACCATGGTGGAACTACACCATTTTTCATATGGTTTTCATATGTTTTCATTTCATACTGGGGATAGAACCCCAATTTATGGATGAAACATACCATCTCACCAACACTTAGACCGAGTGAAATTGGGGAAGACTACGAGCTCGAGCCCAAAAAGCAGACGCATGCAGGCGCGATTCTCAGGGTCAACCCGTTATTGGTCGTTGGACCTCTAAAAAATATCTTTGAAATCATTGATCTTCCCAGATTTTCCATGGGTCAATAGATTCATATAGATTCTAATACACCAATTTTCATCCATTTTCCATATGGTGGTTTCCCAGAATGGGGAATACCCCCCATTCATCATCAATTTACAGAATTTCTAGATGGATTTTCCATGAAATAAACATAAATCAACCATCCAACTGTTGGGGATACCCCCATTTATGGAACCCCAAACCCCCATATCCATCATGAAATATATAGCAGCAGGTAGCCGACCCCGCCTTGGATCGTGCCCGAGAAAACGTCAAGCGACGAGGCGCGGATGCCGCTGGGCCTAAGAATCAGCATGGTTTTGATCGGATTTATCGAATGAAATCACACGGTTTTTATGGTCAAATCCCATAAAATCACAATTGTTCATGGTTACATCCCATGAAACAAGTAGTTTAAGATACTTTCTGTCACTTTATGTCACTGTTCTGAATTTCTTTTGGAAGGAGCTTACGGATTATTCATCCAATCCGTGGCAGGGCTACAGAACTTGAAGATCATCGACGCCAAGATCCATCCCCTTGGCAAGGCGATCAGCAGTGGCCAGGTGGGGGCAAAAAAGAGTCAACGAGTCCACTGGTTTTGCGAAGAGATGGGTGAGTTTTTGCAAAACCTGACCATTATTATATTACATATATATATATACATAGATAATCATATATATATATATCATATATATATATATATCATATATATATATATATACATAGATAATCATATATATATATCATATATATATATATATATCATGTATATATATAATGTACACATATATATATATATATACATATACATATATATATATATATGTGATGAGAAATAACGATGATATTATGATATACGATGATAATGATCTCACTATTGATGATATATGATACTATTTCATAATAGTAATATCAATATATATATATATATCAATAACAATAAGATTGATACTTCTATTCTCATGATATCTGGAATATTTTATGTAAATTACATACAATACAAGGTGGTGCCCCAGTTCGTTAGCTAAGTTGGTGAACATAACTCCCATTTCACTATGGTTTATGGCAGATATAACGAACTAGTATTCATGGGGCGAATCTAAACCAACAAACATCACTGGGGGGCACCATCCTGCATGAGTGGGCATGGCTGCATCATGGCTTCAGCGGCATGAGTCACCAGGTGAAACAACGCTATGACTTTGTCATGTGCTACGATGTGCCCTGGCCACAGAACCTCTAATCTTGGGGAAGCCTAGGGTAAACATACAAAAAAGATGCAGAAAAGCCATGCTTTTTCCAGAAATTGATGATCTACAAATGTTTTTCCACATCTATGTTAGTTTACCCTAGAGTATCCTATTTTCAGGCAAAGCTATGTCAAAGATGTTGGATGTTGGACGACAAATGGGGAGGTCTAGTTTCACAATGCATCATTAAATTTTCACCGCAAGACTGGAATTGAACCAATAAGCGAAGGGATTTCTCCCACAGGAGCATGGGAGTTTAGCCACAACAATGGGGATTCGAAGCAACCAAATCCAACAGTCCAAAAGAGGATTCAAGCAGCAAAGAACTGGGATGACGAAGAAACCAATCCATGGGTTTTCCAATCAACTGGACCATGGGCAAACCATGTCATATTCATATCTGGATTCATCTTTCCAGAACTTGAGATCCGTTTCCAGGCTATGAAAGTAGACCTTGACATGTTGGACTTTGAGACTTCTCCAAGTTTTGTCACCACAGATGGTGGTGTACTGCTGGTCTGTTATTTCATCCGTGGTAAGTTGCTTTTGAAGGTCGGAACTTATTGCTGTCCAAAATCTTCAAGGATCAACTGACCCGAAGGGTCAGTTGATCCTATCACCCCCAAGGAAGCGGCACGCCATTGCTCAACATGGGAACATCTACAGGAACACCTTATATCTCAGGGTAGAAACTCTGGTTTCCCATATTTGTTCCCCCGAAAAAATTGGGTAACTTGGAATTTCTGATCACCATACCCAGTGTTGAATCCATTGGTATGAGAAGCACCGCCAGGTGCTACACGACTTGGCTCATCCTGAACAATTGATCGAAGAAGTCAGGGAGGCAGTTCCAGTGACAATCAGAGAGATGATTTCAAATTATTGCAACTTGTCCCAGCTGTGTGATACCAATCAGGGATATCTTATATAACTACGATATAACGTATATCATCTAAATCTCATAAATCTAAGATGTATGTATATATATATATACATACACATATTTATATTAGATCTACTAGTACTAGTAGAAATATATGTATACACATATTTATTAGATCCAGAATCTGGTAAACTAACAAAACTAACTATGTGGAACATCACCTTATTTTTAATGGGAAAAGTCAACTATAAATAGCTAATGTTAGTTTGCCAGAGGGTAGAATCTCATCAGATCTACTCCCATCCTGTGCTCTCTGCGTCTGACGGGTACAGGTCTTAGCGCCCGGTGGAGTTTGGGTCATTGTGGATATCGCCTCCAACGGCCGGAGACGGGTCCTGGGATGTCCTGGGAGAAAACCAATGATTCATGGTGGATGAAATCATAGGAATTCATGGTAATTCATGGATCTTAATTGATATTCATGGTGATTAATTCATGGTGAGTAATGGATATAAATAATTACCCTCTGGTAATCTAACTTGCTATGGAAAATGGACCATAGAAATAGATGATTTACCTACTAGAAATGGTCATTTTCCGGCTATGTTAGTTTACCGGATGGTAATGGATATTAATGGATATTAGTGGATATTAATGGATATTCATGGATATTAATGCATATTAATGGATATTAATGGGAAGAATAATGGTTATGAATAGGGCAATAGGGATTTCAGCAACATTGGGGAAATGGTGGTTGGTGACTCATAGGGATGTAAAAAGATGTTACTATGGGATTTCATGGGGAAATAGTGGTTCAGAATTGTGAATCAGTGATAATAATGGATACTTAATGGGATATCGAATGTGATGCACCCTCTGTCAATCAAACATGTTTTTTCTGGAAAATCCACCATTTATAGTCATTTAGTTCGATGGTTTTCCCAGCGATAAACCTCCATTTAGTCTTAGGGATTTCCCAGCTAGCCACGTTTGATTATCAGAGAGTAACTGATGTAACAACTAGCAGACAAAACGGATTTAGGCAACACAATTGGGGACTGAACCAGCAACAATTGGTGATAAAACTAGCATGGATGGGCTTGAACTGAGAAACAAACATGACCGATACAGCAGGATTCAACTGGTTTAAAACCCACAAAAACTTGGGTTTGACGAACATGCGTCAGCCGTCGGCTTCAATGACTATCAACCACCATCAATTGCCGATAAATTTCCATGCAAAATGCAGAACAGACATGGGTTAGTCTAAAAATGGGAAATAGACCCAGGAAACATGCCATCCCATTTTACTGGGGAAACTGATGCTTTGCATTGCTTTGCTGGTCACGATGGTCACCACATGTCACCACGATGGTCAGGCGAGATGGCCGAAAACGTGCGAAATCATCAGAAGGCTGCGACCTACTACGGCCTCTCGTCTGAGCTGGAAGCCATGGCCCATGGAGCTCGATGATTCTGTGGCAAAGGTGATTTTCTGTGGCAAATCGTGGAAAATTACCAGAGGGAAGCAAAATGGGTTTTGTTTCAATGCTATTTTGTTCCAATAAAGATCGGGAGATGGTATTACATACCTATAGTTATAGTTGTAATTACATAGTTAAAGGTATCTAGAAATAAGGTGTTTTGTGGCTTATCTAAGCTCAAGCATATTGGCTTATCTGACTTGTCGCGCAACAGGAAAAGGGAGTGGCCATCGTGCGGAAATTGGGGAACATGATATTCTATCTATTATAGTATCTATATTATAATATCATTTGACATGTACATATATATATGTATAATGTAAGTTAATGCTAATACATCTAATCCCCCAGAACATCATTTAGTATATAGAACATATCTCATTTACCTATCATTAATATCATTTAATTTATACATATATAATGTAACTGAACTGTTATATATATATATGTCTGTATAATGCAATAGTTAATGATAGTACATCTAATCCTTTAGAATATATTTTACCATTAGATGTATATATATATTAAAACATTACCCCCATAGGTAAATTACATATTTGATAGATACCATTAGATGAGATGTAATCTATCATTAATCATTTGTCTATCATTAATATCATTTAATTTATACATATATAATGTAACTGAATTGTTAATAACAAATAACTGAACTGTTAATGTTAATGTATATATTGAAACAATATATATATCGACAATATAGAACCATTTAATAACAATAGAACATGACTGGGGTATATTGATGCGATCCATGTTACCATATATATCCATATATGGCAGCACCATGGATCCCATGGGATATAATCCATATATATATATATATATTATACAATAGGATTATTCTATAAATATACTATCACTACTATACTACCATTTAATAACAATAGAACATACCCTCTGGTAATTTAACGTAGCTATTGAAAATGGCCATTGAATTGCCATTGATTTACAGAACTTAAAGATGGTAATTTTCCATAGCTATGTAAACGTTTACCAGAGGGTAACATTTTCAATTATAGGATTATTCTATAAATATACTATCACTACTATAAGTTACTATACTACCATTTAATAACAATAGAACATCAATTTTTCAACATCTCATCCCCAGATCGCCTCGAGGCATTTCGGTCTGCGTCTGTCTGCCCAGCGGCCTCTCCGCGGACGGCGGAAGGGGCCTGGGCACCTTGGGCTTTCCGCCGGAGGTCGCGGAGCCCATGTTCCGCGGCGCGGGGGCCCGAAACGGTCGCGGCTTGGGACCTGGGGATGGCCCGTTTAGATGGTGGGTTTGAGCCATGGAATCCATGGAATCCATGGGAGAAAAGCATGGTGATTTCCATGGGGATTGGAGATATTTCATGAAACATGATGGATGTTGATGGTTTTTTTGCATGGTTGATTCAATGGTTGATGAGGTATTTCATGATTCGCGATGGTCAACTAGCAACATGTGATGTTTTTTTTTTAGGGGAATATTTCATGGTAGGTTGAACATGGTTGAACCAACCATATTTTGTTATACTATTGGGAAGTTAAAACCTGGTAATGATTGATTGATGGGAACAAAACTTCGATTTCATGGGATTCAAAAATTGGGATTTAATTATTGGGGTGAGATTCAACCAATAAAAACCATGGTGACTCAATGGGATTCAGGTTTTTCAATGGGATTTAACCATGAACAACAGGGATTGAATGGGATTTGCCGGGGTTTCATCCGAATATATACTGTAACGGGTTTACCCTTGGTGATGGGCGATTAATGGGATATATCACCAAAAATAGTGGGGGTATGAATGATGGCATGGGATAGATTGGAAATACAATATGGGATACAATAGGATACAAGGGGAATATGCCATTCGGTGCCATCAAACATGGATGGGAATGCGAAGTCTCCAATGAACATGGAGGTTTTGATAGGAAAATCATAGAACCAAATACGGGATTCTCCAGCATGCCATATTTTATGGAGATGGCAACATTGGTATACATACATTGGTATCCACACAAGATAGAGTCTAGTAATTCGTCACTATTTTAGATTCGGATTTGATCGAATTCTATTTTTTTTTTGGGGGGGGGTGTGGCTATAAACGTGGGTGATGAGTTAGAACATAATGGTCAACTATTTGGTTGAATGGCAACATTGTGCAACTAGGGATCTGGTTAATTACTGTTGGTTGAAGCTCATGTTTTCCCAACTCTTCCCCTGAAATCCCCATTGGGATCGCCCAGTGGAGGCTGACAGGGAACATGTTTGGAAACGCTTGAGATATAAGACATGGCTGGTTGAAATCAACATCCATCAATCAACAGAAAAAAAAAAAAACAGCAATTGGATGTACAATTCTATCAAGATTGATATGGGTATGGATCAATACCTACCATTTTTAGGGGGATGAACATCCATAAATCCCAGCTATTTTGATGTGAACTACAGGGGTACAAGGTTTTGACACACTGCCGATATCAAACCAGGACATCGGTGCCGCCTTCGTTCCGCGGACGGCCCGAGGCAACGGCTTTTCCAAGATTCGCTCCTTCCAGATGCCCAGCTTGGTGATGACCTCAGAGAAGCTTCACCAGCCATCCCTGCCATGCCGGATTCGGTTTATGGATGTTTATGGCATTGGGCTTTACCCCTGGGATATATCAAGGGATATGCCATCTGGAGAATCCCTTATTGGGATTTTGTTGATGATATGTTTATTATGACACCCTAAGGATTAAACATAGAACACGGTTGCTATTGATGCTTTCCGGTCACTGTACGGTTTCGTTTCCAGGGTCTTTGGGCATGGGTCGAAAATTTCGAAGCACTGGAAAGCATGGGAATATTCACCACCAGCCAGCATGGTTGAGTGGGTCAAGACATCCCAAGCCCCAATTCTTCCCCTTTGCTTATTCGACTACAGAAAATGGCCCACTTCTTTCCCATTCCAATGCCAATTTAAGTGGGGGATTTGCCATTGTCAGGTGTGATTACCTGACTGTATATCTCATGATATCTCCATTCAATCCCATGAAAAAATCTCTGTTGATGGTCAAATCCTCATTTTTGATCCCCCAGTTTTCATGGTGAATCCCCATTTTTTTCATGGTAGAACCCCCCATGAAATCCCTACACTGTTGATGGTCAAATCATGTCAAATCCCCACTCGAACCTTGAAGAACTTGGCCCGCTGCGGCCAAGGAGAAGAACCAAGTCTACGAAGTGCAGATTTGAGCGACTGAATGGCATGGAGGAAAGGGTGGTCGAGGTGAGAATTCAATGTCATATTACATGATTTGTATCTATGAATATCTATGATAACATATATATATATATAATATCTACAATCTATGATTTACATCTATAATCTATGATTTACAACATCTATGATGTGCTTCCCCATTTAGGATATTAATACACAAGTGGATATTGTATTTGCATCAATTTGCATATCTTTGACTTGCAGGTGTGTTCAACATTGACTTTCATGCCCATGTCATCATCAACGAGACTCTACACAACGGAGCGCATCCTTGTCGTGACCCAGGTAGACTATGCAGTGAACCAAACAGCTTCAGCTGATCATTCAAGAACTGCTTCCTGCGTTTGCCAGGACAGCGGCAGCCGCAGAAGTTTGCTGAGATGTCCCAGTCTCATTTCCTGCAGGAAGAAGCAGAAAAGACACGTCGCGGCCCTGATTGAATTGTCGGCCAAAGGTGTTTGTGTGTGTGGATGGTCCAGCACTAGAGAATGCCCAATGCATCAACTAGTGGATACACGATGCATCATGATCCACTAGAGGTAAAAACAACAAACTTGACCTCAGTCAAAGTCGAACGTCCTGCCAACCTCCTGAACCTCCTGAAATATCTGGTCATATCTGGTCCAAACGAATCAGGCCTCATCGCAAGTGTTGCAGGTGGCCCAAACACCCAATGGTGTTGCGCTGCTGGTGGAGCGGCGGGTCTTTGTTCTGATGGTCAGGATCCTGGAAGACGGAGAATTTTACAAATCATCGATGGGGATTTCCTGGGATTTTCATGGAGATATAGTGGGATCGATATAGTGGGATCATGTGGGATATATATATATATACTGTATGTAATATATGTATAAATATATACATAATTATATAAATATATATATAACAACAACTGTTTGGGTGTGCCTACACACATGGTGGATTCAACCCCAACATATGGGATTTCGATAGAGAAATGCCTCTTGGGTTCTTGGAGATCATGTAGAGCAGCTACACAAGAAACAGGATGATTGATCCTCATCCATCGACACCTGGGGCGGTTCTGCTGCTGGTTTCCTGTTATAACCCCAAGTGGTTGCCAGAGCCACGCATAGAACTTTGATTGCAGGGAAGCAAAGAGCCAAAGCTGGGTGTTTTGCAAGGAAAAGTCCACGTCAGCAAAAAAACATTAAAAGAAACAACAATCCCATAGGATCCATGGTGCTGGTAATGCTAACATTTGGGGTATATTGATGGGATCCATGTTACCATATATAGCAGCACCGTTAGGATCCGTCATGGGAATGAAACACCCCATAGTCGACCATTTGCAACTGCTACTTGAATCTCGCCAGATCTGCTCAAAGCTGAGGCTTACTGCCCCTTGTTGCGACACTTCGTGCCGGCCTCACGATTTCTCTCCATAGATATGCCTGAAAGCGACATCGAAAGAATACCCTCTGGTAATGACTAACATAGCTATTGAAAATGGCCATAGACATAGTGGATTTTCCCATTAAAAATGGTGATTTTCCATAGTTATGTTAGTTCACCAGAGGGTAGTCGAGGTACAATGCTGTTTGAACTCCAACGTTGTCTCCGCTGCATGGATCATTTTTCCAAGGTGCTGAACACCGAGTCAGCATATGTGGTGCCCAGGGGCCTAGCTGCGCCTAGCTGCTATGCCTTCCTGCAACTGATCCAGACAATTTCTCGTGTCAAGCCATCGGCAATCAGTGTGTACGACATACCATCAATAGATGTTTTACAGATTCAAGGTATATACTATACTATATAATATATATATATATGAATATATATATATAATGAATATGTATATATATGAATATGTATATATATAATGAATATATATATATGAATACATGTATGTAGATACATGTGTACACACGACTATATGAAATATAATATATGATAATTTATATGTATACAGACATGCCGTGCTCCCCAAGTCATGATATTTGCCCTTTGTGCAGTTCGCCTCGCTTCCGCCGAGCTCAAGGCCTTCCAATGCAGCCGACAACGCTTCGATGGTTTTGGCATCTCAGCGGAGTTTGTTCCATCCAGTGAAGTGGATGATTTCATGGAGGATCGTCAGACAGAACCACCATTAGACCATTGACCGTACCCTCTGGTAATTTAACACAACTATGGAAAATCCCAATTTTTAATGGGAAAATCCACTATAAATGGCCATGTTCAATTGCTATGTTAGTTCACCAGAGGGTAGATCAGATCAGTGAACAATGTCATTGGGGGCGAATTTGGATGACTAGTTCCGTGGCCTTGCCACCAGCTTTGAAGGTTAACCCCCCGATGTCTTCTTGGTGAACCCAATGTTTGAATGTTAAGCGATGTTAACCCCATGTCTATCCATGTGTGTGCTAAAATACGTGAAAACCGCAGCATTTCTTTAAGGTTAACCCCCATGTTTTCATCCATTCATATTTGCAGGTCAACCCCCAAATTGTTTGTTGCAAAAAAAAAACACAATTTTTCTGTTGATTAAACCCACCATTTCTGGATATGATTGGTAGTCTGAAGCTTAAACATCACTTTGAATTCTAAATGTTCACTGTATGTTTTTTGGTTGGTTGACCCTCATGCTTTGTTAGTTCAACAACCCCTTGATGCTAAAGCTCTCCCTTAACCCCCAATAGTTTTTGTTGGTTAACCTTCCCTTTTTGTTCGTTCAATTCCTTTTCTTAAGGTTAACCGTGAGGCCAAAATCTCCAAACAATCCATTGTGGATGGGTTAAACCAGGTGAGGTGAACCCACCAATTTTCATGTTGAAATCATGTTAAAGCCCCATAAATCAACCATTCACCAACCATTCACCAGCCATTCACCAACCATTTCAGTGGTGTCCCGCTCCAGGCTGAACACCGGCGCCACGGTCTCCTTAGTGCCTGGCGCCGCCCCGCGCACAGCGCCTGGTGTCGCGTGCTTCGGCTGCAGTTGTGGAGGGATATTTATCTGGTTGGTGGTTTGGAACCATTGATTAACTATGGTTTATGGTAGATATAACTATAATTAATGGATATTAATGGGGATTATATGGGATTATAATGGTTTATAAACCAACAAACACTGGTTGGTGGTTTGGAACATGGCTGGATGATTTTTCCATTCAGTTGGGAAGAATAATCCCAACTGACGAACTCATATTTTTCAGAGGGGCAGGTCAACTACCGAACTATATCCCTAAATTTAGGAGGAAGTTCAGCATGGAACTCCAGTGAACTCCCTAAAAAATGTCCATTCCTGACTTTCCATCGACATTCAATATTCAAGTTCGAACATTATCTTTCCAACATCCCGAAAGCCACATGTTCGATCAGTTTTGACTGTATATCTTCAACTTAGCAACATAATCTTCCTATTTTTTTCTATATAGCCAGCCACATTTGATTACCAGAGGGTACATCCCATTAACTATCCCATTGAGTATCCATTGTTGTCACTTCACCACCACAATTAATTGATACTATGTTCCCATTGAATCTCATAATTCTTAATCACCGTTGTTAACCACTTTTTCCCAAATTTTGGTTGGTTAAATCTCTATGAATCACCATGATTCATCCATTTTCCCCAAGACCATCGCCGGGTTTCATCCCATGGTAGCGCTCCCAAACCGTGCAACGAGCGGCAAGGTGCTGCTGTTGATGTCCACGCTCTTGGCGTCGGGGGCCGCGGCGGAGGAGGCGGAAGTCTTCATTCAGGCAGGAGCGGCCTGCAGGGTGCGAAATGGCGGATTTGATCATCAACTTTTACTGGAATTGAATGGGATCTAGTGGGATTTTGTGGGATTGAATGGGAGAATATGAATGAATATGATAGTCAACTACACCCAAAAGGAGATTTTGGAAGTACAGTACTTGTAGTACTAATGAACATCTTCATTTCCAAAATGGATCTACATGGCTGATGATACTTCTAATAGTCGTCATCGCCATCGTTATCCTCACTCAGTCTCCACGGCCTGATTATGGGGAAAATGTCGTGCCCTGACTTCGATTCCTTCAAAATTCTGGACCCCCAATACAGGGGGCAATGAATGCGATTAATAATAAAGTGATTATGTAATATGTATAAAACCATATAAACAACCAACAAAAATATGTTCATGGGAGAACCCTCATCAAACATGCTGGAAAATTCCCCATTTACTTCGATCCTTCATTTGTAATCAAGGAATTTTCCATTGCAATGATTGCTTGGATTTTTAGGGTAGATCCTTGAGATTCCACCATATTCCACCATTGGATTAGGGATGATTTTTAGGTGTCAAGGCTATCCCCCCGAACCCAGAGTCACAGGATCATCACAGTACATGGTTTGTTATTGGCCCAATTAATATATATATATATATGCCATGAATTGGATGATGTGAATTGAACATTTTCAGGAACCCCCCCAATACTGTTAAAAGACATTTAAAAACCTGTGGCTTCCTGCAGATTCTCAGATTTTCCCGACAATACCAATTCATTGAAAACCCTACGTATGGTTGGTTTTCTTCCGACATATATAGTAATATAATGTAATATATATATAATTATATATATATATATACATATGTATTATCCTATACTATCCCATACAATTACCATATAATCACCATACAATCCCTGGTTTTCATCACCAGCTCGCCGCTGCCAGGTTTACCGCAACCGCTTCTGCTATGTCTTTCAAAGTGCCCTGCAATCAGGACGATTAGCAGCTGCTCGCCTCAGCGGACCGCTGGTTCCAGCCCAAACTTTTCAAGTTGTGTAGCTATATAGGGATTGTATGGTGGATATATAGGGATTCTATGGTATTTAATATATTTTAATATATGGTCCTTATATCTTGAAATGCGGTGAAATTCGAAGTTCATGGTGAAATGCAATGAAATCCTCCGATTCTGGAATCAGCCGGTGCCGGCATTGTCGCATTGTCCCAGTGTTGCTGATTTCGAGCTCATAGTTCCCAGATCCACTTCCTGCACGAATCGTCAGACCGTCATCATTTACCCTCTGGTAAACTAACATAGCTGTTGAAAATTGCCACTTATAGTGGATTTTCCCATTAAAAATGGTGATTTTCCATAGCTACGTTAAATTACCAGAGGGTATGAAGATGGCTGGCCAACTAAATCAACTCCACTCTCCAGATCTCTCAAGTATATTCCCTGTGATTTATTCATATATTTACCCTCTGGTAAACGTTTACATAACGAACTGGACAATCACCATGCTATTTTCATGGGAAAACTCACGACATTTCGACTGGGCCATTTTCAATAGCTTTTTGTATGTTTACCAGAGGGTAAATCCCATGAAAGATCCCATTAGATCCCATTAAACCACCATAAATCCCATGGAAAATCACCATTTCATGCTTTGATGCTTACATGGCAAGGTCCTGGAGGAAGCAAGTTTGATGGGCCGTGTGCTCGCTTTCATGTCGCATGAACTCAGTGGGAGTTGGGGATGAAACATGGACTAGAACCATAATTAAGTTGGGTTGTATCATGGTATGATCATGTTATATCATGGTATAATATAACCATATATTATTGTAACATGATAATACTACCAACCATATATTATGGTGGTATCATGGTATTACCCTCTGGTAAACGTTTACATAACGAACTGGAAAATCAACACCATGCTTTTTTTTGGGGAAAATTAGCGACATTTCTATGGTGATTTTCCATAGTTATGTAAACGTTAACCAGAGGGTATCACGTTATATCCTACTAACTGTTACTAACTTATTTATAACCTTATAACCTTATATATATATATATATCACCATAGTGACCATGTTTGGTGTCATCAAAGATGGTGACAATCCGCCGATGATTTTCCCATTGAGAAGCCTCCATTCGTAGGGGATTTCCCATTGCCTGGGGGTTGAATGGGATGACAATGGGCTCTACTGAGTAAGCTGGATCCATTCGGGGATGCCAACTATACATTTTTATAGACCAAGCATTTCTGGTGATGGGGATGGATGGGGATGGTTTATGATTGGCTTTAGCGCATTGTCCTTCCCTCTCCTTAAGGTTGTTCGTGGGGATTGGCCTCTATCTTTTGCGAGGCAGTTGCAATGATTCGCGGAAGTTGACTCACAGCCTTTTTCGGCGGTCATGATATCCGAGCGCTTTTGATGCTTCATTCTCCATCATCCTCATTACTGGGTCAACCTTTGTTAGATACTTTATTACTTTTTTTTTGCTATCCATGGTATAATGTACATACTAACCAGCTAAACATTATATATATATATATATTTGTTTTTTTCCCAGGTATCTAAGATTCCACCATGATTACCCGATCATGCCTCAATTCATCCAGATACTGACTCATAGTATTTAGACCCTTTTCAGAGGATCTGCTACAGTACTTGCCTTGGCAACATGCATTTGCTAGGATATGGGTGTGTGTGTGTAGACGGTTATACCATGTTATACCTCAGTTATATATATATATAATTATATGTATGGAAGATCCCCTACTATAATCTATGATCTACAGGATTATATTCCCCATAATGTAAGATCCATTATATATCATGGATTATATGGATTATATATGGATTATATGGATTATATGATAATCCCATCCATATCATCTATTTTTTCAGATCTATGGGATCATATGGATTACCCTCTGGTAATTTGTTACATAGCTATTGAACATGGCCATAGAAATGTCGTGAGTTCTCCCATTAATAGTATGGTGATTTTCCATAGTTATGTGACAGTTTACCAGAGGGTATAAACCACAACGCTCCCTCCGTGGCCCTTTAAACCTCAGGTCACAACGCTCCGCCACCGCACGGAGAATCGCGGAAGATGCCGCGGCGCAGGCGAAGCGGGCGAAGGGGTGAATGATGTTGGCCCGGTATTTTCTGGGAAAATCATGGGAATCAGCTTTTTTTGGGTAAATTATGGTGAATCTATGGTGAATCTATGCTTAATAATGGTTAATAATGGTGAATCTATGGATAATATATGATATATGATAATTTACCCAGACCTCTAGAAATGGAGGTTTTTCTATGTTCTGTAGTGTAGATTGATAGATTGATAGATTGGTGGCAACTTTTTGGTCAGTGATGGTTTATTTCTTGTATAAATGATGCATTTTATTGAAGAGCTTGACCTCTTTTGAGCATGGCAATGGAAAATGGAAATGAGAATTAATACTTCATGGCTAATTGCCATATTTCTGATGGTTTCTACTGGGGCTCAATACCTCAATAATTAGCCATTAGACATTTGGGACAATAAACATGTGGGTTTAATCAAGCTTGATTAATGGATGTACAGTAATTATTACAAAATGGTCAATGTCTCTCAATCTGGTAAACCCAACACCATAAACCCCTAATCTTGTGATGATGAATACCCACTTATTTCTGGTAAGACGAGGGATGGTTGGTGCTATTGGGACCGCATTTTTTGTTTAGAGACGGGAGTACACAAGTCACACACACACATAGATATATATATATACATATTGATATATATATATACACACATATATATAGATATATACATACATATATATATATACACATATGGAGATATATACATATATATATAGAGATATATACAGATACATAGATATATATATACACACTTTTTGTTGCGACGTATCTAGATAGTGTAATCGCTTGTCTGTCTGTCTGGTGATGTCCCCAAGCCTGACATCCGTTTTGATTCGGGCCTCGACTCCCCCGATCTACGAAGCTGGAGACCAAGGACCATCAGTTCTCTGCCCTCTTGACGGTTTTCTGCTTGATTTTTCTGCGGCTTTCCTTTCAGTTTTCACATAATCAACATGTTTCTTCAATCGTTTTTGAATATATATATAGATAGTGTGTATGAATGTATTGGCATGTATTAGCAAACTTTATCTGATCATGATCCAGATCAAGCCAAGAAAAGTAGTACGAGAATCTTATCAGTCATACTTAAGGGTCCCATATATTTATACACACATATACATGTCACATAAATTTATTCAATTAGTTCGTTAATAAAAACTCGTCATTTCATACATTCATTGCCCATTTCAGGGACCCAAATTTGATATATATATATATATATAATATGTATATATATATATATATAATATGTATAATATATATATATGGTCACCCCCCCCCTACGACCCCCCAATGTGTCATTTGTATTGTTATTTACAGCATAAAATGCGTATTTTTAGTATTCCATTTTTGTCTTCTTCGTATATAGTCATAACAATACAATATCTTAAGGCACTTTGGGGAAGGCCCCATAGAAACACAATTGACCGCCGACCCAAAATCAAAAAAACATCGGGAAAACAAAAAAAAAAAACAAAAAAAACAAAAAAACAAAAATTTTCCGACTCCTCTGGGGTCACTCCATGAAAAAAACAAAAAAACCTTGAGAAAACCAAAAAAACAAAAAAAACAAAAAAAACAATATTTTCAGACTCTTCTGGGGTCACTCCATGAAAAAACCAAAAAAACCTTGAGAAAACCAAAAAAACAAAAAAAACAATATTTTCAGACTCTTCTGGGGTCACTCCATGAAAAAACAAAAAAACCTTGAGAAAACCAAAAAAAAACAAAAAAAACCAATATTTTCAGACTCTTCTGGGGTCACTCCATGAAAAAACCAAAAAAAACTTGAGAAAACCAAAAAAAAACCAGAAGAGTCTGAAAATATTGTTTTTTTTTTTTTTGTTTTTTTTGGTTTTCTCAAGGTTTTTTTGGTTTTTTCATGGAGTGACCCCAGAAGATTATAAGAATATGAAACTCATAATTTCTCCAATATTTCTTAAATGCAAACACTGTCTATCACTCATGCATCTGCCAATCCGTAACTGAACTGTTTCAAATCCAAACTACTGCCTTGACCTGTCTGTCATTCATGCATCTGTCCAGCTTCAACTCAGCCATTTCAATTCCAAACTGCTTCCTGGATCATCGCATTTGCTTCTTCGTTTTTTTTTAATTGTTTCATGGAGTGACCCCAGAAGATTATAAGAATATGAAAACTCATAATTTCTCCAATATTTCTTAAATGCAAACACTGTCTGTCACTCATGCATCTGCCAATCCGTAACTGAACTGTTTCAAATCCAAACTACTGCCTTGACCTGTCTGTCATTCATGCATCTGTCCAGCTTCAACTCAGCCATTTCAATTCCAAACTGCTTCCTGGATCATCGCATTTGCTTCTTCGTTTTTTTTTAATTGTTTCATGGAGTGACCCCAGAAGATTATAAGAATATGAAAACTCATAATTTCTCCAATATTTCTTAAATGCAAACACTGTCTGTCACTCATGCATCTGCCAATCCGTAACTGAACTGTTTCAAATCCAAACTACTGCCTTGACCTGTCTGTCATTCATGCATCTGTCCAGCTTCAACTCAGCCATTTCAATTCCAAACTGCTTCCTGGATCATCGCATTTGCTTCTTCGTTTTTTTTAAATTGTTTCATGGAGTGACCCCAGAAGATTATAAGAATATGAAAACTCATAATTTCTCCAATATTTCTTAAATGCAAACACTGTCTGTCACTCATGCATCTGCCAATCCGTAACTGAACTGTTTCAAATCCAAACTACTGCCTTGACCTGTCTGTCATTCATGCATCTGTCCAGCTTCAACTCAGCCATTTCAATTCCAAACTGCTTCCTGGATCATCGCATTTGCTTCTTCGACATGGCTAACGTGGACGTCAATTTCGTGGAAAGCTTTAGGCATCAACTTGGTGAAAGAGATGGTATCTTGTCTTATGAGGAGGCAATCGTGCAAGTGTCTGGGCAACGGCTGCTCGGACCTCAACAAAAGCCGCTCAAAAGCAACCGGCCGAAGGGTGATGTGTGCCTGATCGACTTACCCATCAGGGACCTACATTCACATGGTGGCAAACTTGAACAGTTTGTGGACATTATCCAAAATCATCCTGTCGAGGGAGAGATTAGCATCAATGCCGACTTCCTTGACAATCTCTTGTACAAGCATGCTGTCCAAGCCAAATACTCAGCTCTTCCCAAACCATTCTGCTTGAAGGCAGAGCCCAAAGTTCCATATAGCATGCAGTTTGTCATCGTGCCGTCCTATCTTCCTCCTGATGAAGATCATGCCTATGTCGACATCTTCAAGCACGTTTACCTTCACAAGAACAAGATCCTCAGCAGTGAATGCATCTCCTGTTGTCACGGAATTCCTGTTCGCTTTGACTGGGGCTCTCAGGTTCGTCTCGGCCTCACAGGTATGAACTGCATGCTGGATCGCGTCGGAGGCATGCAGGTGCGATTGTGGACAATTCAGCCCAAGTTCGAAAAGAAGGTGACTTTAGATCAGACTGCTCGTGAGGCAGGGTATCATGTCATTCGAGACCATGGTCCGCGCTCCAACAACAGGAATCAGTTCATGGAGTGGACCGATGAGCAGGTTCATCTTGCCGGTGGCCCCTTGGAAGGATGGCATGAAGGAAAGGTCAAGGAAGCTCTGCACAATTACTATTGCGGGCGGCAAAATGCCAAAACTTTAGAGTATTGGCCCCTGACCTTGAAGAGTTTCAGTGCATGGTTCCTAGATGATGTGATTGTGCACATGCTACCCTCCATGCGACAGCACTCAATCACTTGGATTGGACGCACCCGCGTCGGCAAGTCGGTTGGTTCCAAAACAATCCTCTTCGCACAGTCCCGCTTTGAGATCACTGAAGCAGACCGAACTGACTTGACCCCATCCATCGTGACGGCCAAACATTTGGATTTCTTCAAAGCCGAACCCATTACGAAATTCAAACCAGGTGTCTTCGACGATGGCATGTTGCAGCGCATGGACAGCAGCTTTCTCAAAGCCTTCTTGAATCCATCGGCTTCTTGGCTTCCAATGGTGCTTCCTCCCTTTCACATATGCACTACAAATACTAAGTAAATGAATAGATAACGAAGTAAAATAAATAAATATTCAATATTAAGTCACATGAAAGAAAATAAATTAAAGAAAAAATAAGAAACAAAAAATATAAATCATCAAGTGTTATGGAAACACATCGTGCCTGTGTCTTCTACTTAACAAAACAATGTCAACTGCATGTGGTAGCTGCCTGGGTAACATGTTGCTAGCTGTCCAGTCTGTCGCCGATCTTCACGCTTGCAACTGCTCAGGAAGAGGATGCGACTGTGTGGGCTCGCTATTCATCTGCTCAGTTTGATCAAGGAGCTGGACGTCACGCTTGCAACAATCCGTACAATGATGTGGTCGAGGAACAGCTTTTCCAAGAGATGCAGAAGAAAGGGGCCAGCAGCATTTCTCATAAGGATTTCCTCGACATCATCGCTCCTTCCTTCACCGCCGTCGAAGACAAAGAGGACATGGCCGCAATCCTGGCGCGGACCCATGTCATTCTCCTCACAGAGAACGGAGTATATCACTGCGTCTCCAACACGCAGAAGGTGGATGTGCCATTCATCCAATGGCCTGAGGCCTCCATCAAAGATATCTTGGCTGCAGAGCACAAGCCGATCTTCAAGGCATACAGACAAAATCCTTCTGGACATTCTTTGCCCGAGAACTATCATGCTGATGCCATTTGGTCCCAAGAACTACTTCGCAAGCTATTGAATGGTGAATCAGTGCCACGAACTATTTCGATTCGGATGGGCAACCTGTTCTCCGCAGAAGTCTCGGAAGTACAGCAAGCACCACGTTTACTGCCTGCGTCCGAGATGGCCACCAAAGTGAAGAAAGAACGTGAGGTGAACTTCTTCAAAAACCTCAAGCGCTCAAACTTTGGCATCATTGACCTCGACAGCCCCTCGCCTCCAAAGCGGGTCCGTTCGACATCGGCCCCTTCAGTCCCCAACCCAGACGATCTGCCCGGGATGTCCGTGGAGAACGAATTTCCTGAAGTTGAAGAGACAGATGAATTCAAGATTGAACCTGAAAAGATGGTAGAGTTGGAGATGATGGAAGATGCCGATGCCTTTTACAACGCAGAGAAGTGAGTGAGATCTTAGGAGACATTGCTGTGAAATTTTGTTTGATACTCATGCTGCGTGTGTAGAGTAGTCTTGGTCAGACTGTCCCAATCCAGAACAGTAGCGAAGCAAGGGGTGGAAAAAATGTCCCGGCGGCCTGCTTGACACTTGCATCACATCAATATGTATGTGTAAACTACAGAATGAAACATAAGCTTTCTTGCACATACAGAAGCAAACTTGCTCAGATGTGTGTCATGACATTGCCTGTTCGTTGGATTTTCTGCATGGTCTGCCCCACTCTTATTTGGAGAGACATTTCAAATCAAAATTGCCATCCATCCGCTTGTCCTTGCACCGTCCAGCCGTTTGCATTCCTCAAACACTTTCGTGCTCGCTGACAGTTTTGCTTCTGATTGACATCATGCCAAAGAAGATCATGAAGGCTGTGAAGAACAAGCCCCAGGTTTGGCCAGCTCCAAAGAAAGGAAAAGCCCGCACCTTTATGAAGTCCAATGCTCCCATGAAGAAATGCAAGCCTGTCCCGTATGTCCGGCATCCAGGTGTGCAGACCAAGTTTCGAAAGGAAAGGATTCACTTCGGTGTGTCAGTTCAAGGCCTCATCTCTATGCGTCCTCGGGCTTTGTTCCGTTGTTTGCAGAAAAATGGCATTCTCCTCGACTGGAGAGGCCAGACCTGTCCCCATTGTGGCGCTGGGAGTCTCCAACCTCTGCGCTTCTTCAAAGACAGAAAGGTTTGGGCGCACAAGTGCACAGCCAAGCTTTGCAGAAAATATGTTCAGCCACATGACTTCCATCCCATTTTCCATCATGGACGTGGGGCCAGCTACACTCCCTTGGGGCATCAAGCAGCTGTTCTATGCTGTGCGCTTGCGGGCGTACCAGCAACCTCAGCTCCCGTCATCTTGGGCATGAATCACAAGCCCGTCTCGCGCATCTACAACAACCTTGAGATTGCTCGCAGCCGTCATGTCCTCCAGAAACAGAAGGAAATCCACTTCGGAGCCAGACACAAATGGTGTGATGTTGAGGCGGATGAAGTTGATATCGGCAAGGAAGTTGACTTACAGCACAAAAGGGCCAAGTGGGAGCAGTGGGGTGGCATTGTCGAGCGGGGCCAGCCTAGCACCTTGGTTCTCTTCCGCCTCCCTCCAAAGACTACCGCTGTGCGCTCGCCAGGTCCAGGCCCAATCACCAAGCGAGATTGGAAACCCATTGCTCATAAGTTCTTGGAGAATCGTGATGTGATCTTGCATACTGATGGTGCCAAGACCTACAAGATGAAATTGTCCGGCGTGGTGCATGACAACGTAGTGCACAAGAAGAAGCAGGTGCTCGTGAAGGGAAAGCCTGTGTGGGTGAAGCCTCATTACACCAAAGTGTGGAAACACAAGTTGCCAAATGGCAAAAGCGTAACCGTGAAAGCAGGTACGCAAATCATCGACCGCTTCTGGGGCCATCTGCGCGCAGCTTTGAAACATGCTCCGCGTAAGGTCGGGTCCATTGCGCTTACCCGTAAAGTTCGAGCAGCGCAGTGGACGTACTGGCACCGTTCCCAGAATTTTTGGGATGCCACTGGGCAGATGTTGCAGGATCTGCGCCTTTGATCAAAGACTGGCTGTGCAAAAAAGATTCACCGCTTTGCATTCTTCGCTGCAGTTGCTCTTCTCCTGTCGTCAAACATGAGTTCATATATCTTACTTCCTTAACACAATGGCATTTGACATGTGTCCACCTTTCTCTTCTGTTTCAAGAAGAATCTTCAAAGCTACAACTTACACTGCGCAATCTTCACCAAAAAATTGCATGCCTGCTGTTTAACCGTTAGTTTCTGCTTTTTAACGTCATAGTCTTTTGACAAAAAACAAAATGTAGTGTAATATAGTGATACGATGTAATACGTATAATTTGTCTAATGTACAATAGTCCTCTTTGCATGCCCCTAGGTTATATGGGGCTGGCGGTGTGTACTGTAGTTTTTTCGCACTAGTCTTCGCGGTCTGGACAAATATCTATAACGCTCGAGCTTTTTGGCTTGTCAGCTGACTTCTCCTGTGCCCTCTTCAATTTCGCCTCGCCTCGACCCAGGATCTGCGCGTTTGATCAAAGACTGGCTATGCAAAAAAGATTCACCGCTTTGCATTCTTCGCTGCAGTTGCTCTTCTCCTGTCGTCAAACATGAGTTCATATATCTTACTTCCTTAACACAATGGCATTTGACATGTGTCCACCTTTCTCTTCTGTTTCAAGAAGAATCTTCAAAGCTACAACTTACACTGCGCAATCTTCACCAAAAAATTGCATGCCTGCTGTTTAACCGTTAGTTTCTGCTTTTTAACGTCATAGTCTTTTGACAAAAAACAAAATGTAGTGTAATATAGTGATACGATGTAATACGTATAATTAATCTAATGTACAATAGTTCTCTCTTGCATGCCCCTAGGTTATATGGGGCTGGCGGTGTGTACTGTAGTTTTTTCGCACTAGTCTTCGCGGTCTGGACAAATATCCATAACGCTCGAGCTTTTTGGCTTGTCAGCTGACTTCTCCTGTGCCCTCTTCAATTTCGCCTCGCCTCGACCCAGGATCTGCGCGTTTGATCAAAGACTGGCTATGCAAAAAAGATTCACCGCTTTGCATTCTTCGCTGCAGTTGCTCTTCTCCTGTCGTCAAACATGAGTTCATATATCTTACTTCCTTAACACAATGGCATTTGACATGTGTCCACCTTTCTCTTCTGTTTCAAGAAGAATCTTCAAAGCTACAACTTACACTGCGCAATCTTCACCAAAAAATTGCATGCCTGCTGTTTAACCGTTAGTTTCTGCTTTTTAACGTCATAGTCTTTTGACAAAAAACAAAATGTAGTGTAATATAGTGATACGATGTAATACGTATAATTTGTCTAATGTACAATAGTCCTCTTTGCATGCCCCTAGGTTATATGGGGCTGGCGGTGTGTACTGTAGTTTTTTCGCACTAGTCTTCGCGGTCTGGACAAATATCTATAACGCTCGAGCTTTTTGGCTTGTCAGCTGACTTCTCCTGTGCCCTCTTCAATTTCGCCTCGCCTCGACCATGTCCAACCAGCAAGTGAGCAGTGGCTCTATTTCAGAACAGGCGACGGAATGTGTTCCAAACCCTGCCCGGCCTGATGGGAGGGCCATCCATTACGGAGATTTCTCGCGTCAGCGTAGTAGTTCACCTCCATTTGTTGGTGTCCGCAACCCTGCGCGCCCCGGGACGGAATGTATTCCAAACCCTGCCCGGCCTGATGGGAGGGCCATCCATTACGGAGATTTCTCGCGTCAGCGTAGTAGTTCACCTCCATTTGTTGGTGTCCGCAACCCTGCGCGCCCCGGAGCTGGTGCCATAGATTATGGCAGTTTTGGGTGTAAGAGTCGCTCCGGTCCTCCACCATCCGATCGCACCAATCGTCTGATTGGAGGATAGAAATTCCCGTAAACAAATGCAATGTAAAATATACTAGTCTTTCAAAATTTTTAAAAAAAATGTTAGTAGGAAAGTCTCAAGCGCAAAAATTTTCCTATTAGCGATTGGTGCGTAGAGGCAGTTTTCACAGCAGCATAAGACCTCAGCTTAGCAAAAGTGATGCTGCTGCGGCAGGGGCGACTCGTTGGTGACTTCAACGTGGTTCTGTGCAGACACAAGTCAAGCATAGTGAAGCAGATGGCGGGTTGAGGGGGGTCGTTGGGGGGGGGCTGAGCATATATATACACATCCATATATAATATGTATTCTTCAAAACTTTCAGGGAATCCCAACGAACTGTTATCTGGCGCTACAAAAATCACGAAACGCTCTCGCTTCGCTCTCCATCCGAGGCCATGATCTTCGTCATGGTGAGTTGTTTGACCGAACGCTCCACAGCCTCGGAGGCCGATGGTTATGGGTGGCACCGGATGGGTGGCACCGGGCAGCACCGGGCATCCTGGAGATTTTCGGAGACGGGAAAAAAACGTGAGAAAATTGGGAAGATCGGTTGAAAATGTTTGAAAATTCCAGATTCTATCTAAGATTCTATCTAAGATTCTATCTACTTCATGATGACTATATATCAATATAGATAAGTGGTGATTTGATCAGAATAATCCGAGGTGGATTCAATAAATTGATGTTTCTAATGGCAGTCATTCCTGTAGTATTTGTGACTATCCATCAGTCAACTGGGGTTCTGAGTCGTTTGCCTCCACAAATGGGTGAATTTTAGTATCTATATATATTATCTACCCTCTGGTAAACTAACATAACTATGGAAAATCACCATTGTTAATACGTAAATCAACTATAAATGGGCCATGTTCATCCATGTTCAATAGTTATGTTAGTTTACCAGAGGGTATTCCTTATTTGGCACACACCAAGAATTGACATTTCCGCAGATTTTGTTGAATATAAATTCCTGCTTGGATATCACAACCCACAATGGGGGATGCCTATCAACCAACCAGTAAAATGGTTGTGCAATGGTGCAGCTGCACAATTTGTCAGAGTCAACCTGAATGGCACATGGCTGGTTACTGGACCCATTTCAAGCCGAGAATATCCACGGAGAAACTCAACAATCAACTGAAATCACATAGAATGAAACGCATGTTGACTTACTTTTCAAGAAAAAATGCTGAAGTTCCCCCATGGACCTCCCTTTTTTTTCGCCATCTCCGTTTTTCCCTGGCAGGTGTTCCTGCCCAGCAGTCGCGAGGAACGCCTGGCTGCACAGGTCGGTGGAACCTGGGGAGATCGATGTGTACAGCGGATATGGGGGGTACTCCCCCAATAGTCATGATTTGATACTTAAATGGTTCAATGGATTATATGGATTATATGGATTATATGGATTATATGATAATCCCATCCATATAATCTATTTTTTCAGATCTGTGGGATCATATGGATTACCCTCTGGTAAACTAACATAGCTATTGAAAATGGCAATTTATAGTGAGTTTTCCCATCAAAAATGGTGATTTTCCATAGTTACGTTAGTTTACCAGAGGGTAAATGGTACCTTCCCAATTAAACAGCCTATCAATGGATTGGTTTAAGGGAAAATTTACAGGAAAACCCTATCTTTAGTGGGAAAATCTATGGTTTCCTGTTAAGATTTTCCCTTAAACCAATCCATTGAATGGTACCTTCCCAATTAAACAGCCTAGGGCCTAGGGGTTTATGAATCCAGGGTTGACATTATACCATCTGGTAAACGTTTACATAGCTGTAGAAATTCTCAGCATTTTGAGTGGGTAAATCAACATAAATAGCTATAATATTAATGATAATCAATAATACGTAGTACTGTCAATAATAATGATAATAATATCAGTTTATCAATAATAGTAATAGTGATATATAATATACAATATATGATAATAATATAATAATGATAATAATGATAGTGATGACAATAATGATATTAATACTGGAATATTCTCTTGTTACTTGACGGTTTGATATGGAATTTCACTTTTTGTTATAGGTAAACCACATCATATCTTTTTATCATCGAACCAAATGGTCAATTTTCTATAATTATGCCAAATAACCAGAGGGTACCGCACAAAACATGAATTCAAGAGCTGGGCGACCCCAATTCTGATCTATTTTATTTCTAATCTAACCTCTAGTTATTTACCAATGAACAATGTCCGATCTATAGACTATAGAAGGTTTATGAATGTTTATGATGATTTACCTATTAGAAATTGTGATTTTCTATAGCTACGGTAAATAACCAACGGGTATTTTTCAGTGATTATTAAGATATGAGGTTTAACAGTTAAACAAATGGTTTAATGAAAAAATAGAGGGGTGGAATAGGATATTGAACACCCACCATTTGGAGATCATATCCCATGGAAAACCATGGATGGTTTCAAATTCGTTTTGTATTCCACTTAGTAGGGACAACGATGATGATGATTTGAATGACAACTTGGGAACATGCTCATGATGTCATATATCGTATATCTCAATGAGATATGAAGCTACAACATGCTAAAGACTTCAGACAATATCATAAAGTATATGCACCCAAGCAACTCAAGACTGGTGATCAGTTACCTGTCTCAGTAACACATCGTTTAAATCATCGATTTGGGAGGGAAACATGCAGGAAACCATTTTTGAACATGGGGAACATGATGATGAACCATTGAGATTTGGGGCCATTCAACCTAATTCAAAACACAAAGGCACATGAAAACATCTGAAAAATCCTCAAGAAATCCGCAACAAGTTTTTGTTTGGGTCCGAGAATGGCTTCAAGGGGTTAATCTGCCGGAAAATTCCTGGTTTCAGGTACCGCAGGTGGCGGTGGATGGTGAGACCACACCAGCGCAGGCGAGAGACCGACCAAACGTTAAGGTCTTTTCAGATGACTAGAGAGGCCCCGCCAAAAGATAGAATTTGGTAAATGGTGGTTAAGTGATCAAACTAGTCTTCTGTTTGGTTTCCTAGGGTAAACTAACGTAGATGTGGAAAAACCACAGTTTGTAGATCATGTTCTTTCAGAAACAATGGGTTTTTCACATCTACGTTAGTTTACCCTAGGGTAACACCAGACTAAAATAGTGATTAAGCTACTTTTATGTTTTTGTTTTGGGGGGCGGGGTATATGTTCATCGACTTACTTTTTCCTGTAAATTGATTTAATGTTTTCCGGCCGTTCGAGCAGGGGGCCATCACTTCCCAGCAATTCACCGTTGAAGGGACGTGATCGACAACAGTTGACGCGATCTATGACATACATGGTCATGTATAAATATGACTATGTAATACTATGTAGTTATATAAAACATAATGACCTAATATGACTTACAGTTAGTTGTATAATCATGCCATTTTTGTTATTCATGGTTACTAACTGTAGTTCCTTACCCTTACCATTGCCAGTTGCCCGGTAAGATCATCTCACCAGGTTCCATCCGTCTTCCATCAACGAGTGGAATACCTGGGTCTCTTGGAGTGAACCGCTTGGGAGTCGCGGCACATGACGATCTGAGTGTAGACCACAGAGTAAAAAGATGTGAAAAATGGATCAATACCTATGAAAATACCATTTTTAGGGGGATGAACATCCATAAATCCCAGCTATTTTGATGTGAACTACAGGGGTACTATTGGTTTTGACACACTGCCATATGTGAACAATTGCAACAGCCATCGATCATGATTTGGGGTAAACAACATTGTTTACCGCAGAATTGGAACCGCAAACACTGGGATATTAGATACTGTAGTAATGTATCTGCCAATGCCAACGTACATGCAACATACATACGGACACGATGTGTTTTCTCGACCGTTCTGCTAGCGTTGGTCGATCCATCTTTGAATTGGGGGCCTTGCTCCGCACCTTAGCAACTAGCAGTTGACCAGACTACCCTCACACACAAATACATCAAATACAGAGAATTTTATTGTTGAGACATACTCCGACATACCCCGCTTCTACCAGAAGCCAGTTTCATTGATGGCACATATATTTATTATACTTACACACACAATTCTTGGACGGATTTTAGTAACATGACTGCGACGCCACTCTAAATCATGTTTAGTAAGATTAACTATCCCCCAAACTCCATATTTCAGGTTGGCGAACCATTATAATTTATCCACATACAATCAATTACAATCATATGTCCCAACCCCCATGAACCAACAAACCGCATAGTCTGCCACGCTGGGGTAAGGTTTGGAGCTGTTGAGGACGGGGCCGTGGAGTTGGTGCTTGGAGAAGGTTCTGAAAAGACCTTGTTCCCTTGAAACAAGACGGGGGGGTGGGTGGCAAAGTGCCAGAGTCAAAACATAGGTTATATAATATTATTGTATATCCATAGTAGGGGAATATTTTTTTTGTTATACCATGAATCCCAACTTGACCATGCCACATAGGTCGATGGATCTATTTATCACCTGAATGATTCGGTGGGGAGATGTTTTCCTCACTGACCAGAATTAGTCCATTTTCACCAAGGTGAACCTTCTAGATTGATGACCACAGTCATCGAGAAAAACATGCCCAATCCCATATATTATCCATATATATATAATTTTACTCTGGTTGTCTATATATACATATATATATATACACATTATATCCCAGTTACATCGAATATTCATAAGGTGAATCCCACCTCTGATCTCGGTCTAGGAATTTGCTGTTGGCCTTGCTGCGCATTTCGCTGCTGGACAGAATCTGGGTGGTTGACCTTGGGAACTACGCTCATCTGGTTGGTGGTTTGGAACATTTGGATTATTTTTCATAATATATGGGATAATCCTTCCCATTGACTAATATTATTCAAGATGCTTAAAACCACCAACCAGTAAATGTCTATTAGGTCATTTCTTTGGAGGCAAGACTTAAAGTCCCAGGAGTCTCAGGACAGAACGGTAAAAAGCTTGGCTCGGGGACCTCCGAGGTCGCTCCCTCAATGGTTGGGCCTGGCTCCGGCCACTGCTGTCAAGGCAGTGGAAAATGGGTGGTTGTAAGAAGGGCTGCTCTGCTTTTGAGGCCCAGAGAAAGCCATGTCGATTGATGATTGTATGGGGTTATACTGAGTTATACTGAGTTATACTGTCCAAACCATTGATACATACTATATATACATAATGTTACATATATATATATAGGTATAAATATTGGGGAATATCACCATATATCACAATCCATGCACTGGGAAATTTGCTTCGCCAAAGCATGGACTTGGGACTTGGGAAAGGCCAGTTTTTGTTCACGTCGCCTCCAGGGACTCCTCTGGGTCGGTCTTTGTTGGGTCTTTGTTGGGATTTGTTGGGACCTATGAGCCACTTCAAAGAATTTTGATCAACAGCACATACTGGTTGATATAAATGGTCATGTAATGTCAAGTATAAATATGAGTATGTAGTTATATAAAACATAATCTGGTTGGTGGTTTGGAACTTTTTTTTTTATTTGTCCATAATTGATAATCCTTCCCATAGACTTTCATATTTTTCAAGTAATTATGATACTAATCTGGTTGGTGGTTTGGAACATGGCTGGATTATGACTTTCCCATCATATTGGGAATGTCATCATCCCAACTGACGAACTCATATTTTTCAGAGGGGTAGGTCAACCACCAACCAGTATACTTTGTTAATCAAACACAAATTGTTTGTTGTGTAAAATAGACCGTAAAAAAAAATAATAAATGAAATCCAGTTATGATTGTTTTGCCTCTACGGATGGCTAACGGTATTTACCAACCATCAATATTTGTAATATATCATCCAACCACAAGTACTGTTGTCATCCAATTGAATCATACCAACCATAGATGTCATCCATTTCTATCATGAAACTGTCATACCAATCATAGACATCCATATCCATAGATATCCATAGATATCATATGATATCATCCATCTCCATAGGATCCATAGGCTTTTCTCCCTGGCGCTCGGCCCTGGAGGCACCCGACGGACTTGGGATGGCCCAAGGATGGCCTTCAGCATATCAGAGCGTCTTCGGGCTGAAGGATGGAGGTCCGACCCTATGGGATCACCTAAAATTTCTAGAAGATGGTTCTGTGGAGATTTAAAAAAAACTGTGGCTGTAACATGTTGTAACTTGGAAATTAACCCTTTTTTTTGGTTTGACGATCTCTTTAAGAAGGCACATGGAGAGATAATCAGAGCGAGGCAGTCGAATGTTCAATTAAGCTGGATAGCTTGGTATTGAATCCTTCCAGACAAACCAGATCAAAGTCTTATTTTTTTGGGATTCTTGCATGGACAACTGGAACGTATTGGAAGTCCGGATCTTTGGACTGGGTGTTAAACCAAAAATATGTTAAAAACACTCTACAACCTTAATTTTCCAGGTCATATTCGGCTATGGATCAATACCTATACCATTTTGAGTGGGTTATTCACATCCATTTATTTACCAGCTATTTTGGATGTGAACCAAAAAGGGGTACTATTGGTCTTGACACACTGCCATTCCAACATCTTCCCAACGGTGGCAGGCCCCACGTTGAACTCGGAGGATCCAGTGAGACTCTGGGCCTTGCTGATGGACGTTTGGAGCCCAGGAGTTGGCCAGTTGGATCATCGATCTATCCACATTCCAAGAGATCCTGGGCTGAGCGGATAGCCAACATGAATGATAAATGATATAAATGGGGATGGGTCAAAACCCTGGTACCTAGTGACCTAGTGAACTTAAATAAATCCTAATAAGATTTGGATCATATCCTAATAAGATTTATAGTAATCATGATAAATCTACTATAAATCTACTATAAATCCTAATATAAATCCAACATGAATGCCGCCATTTGGATCTAGCCATCTCAATCTTTACCAATCCCGACTTCGACAGCAAGGTGGCTTTGGAAGCTGGTCGCAAGGCGGTGGAATACCTCGACACCTTGCGTGGGCAGCGGGAGGTGCACGGTAGGGGGTGTGAAGCATCGGTAACCAACGATCAACTACCAATATATAGAAAAATATATGATAAACATGGTGAGGAGATGTGAGGAGAATAATAGTGATCAATTCAACCAAAAATAGATTCATGTATAATATATATATATATGATAAACAGTGTGAGTAGATAGTCTTAGTTGATATTGGATATGTATCCAGCAAATGGGACCACCATGATTTTTTTCTCGAATCTTTTCTATGTTGAAATAGCTGGAGAAGAACGATCAAATAGCATGACAAGAAAGATCGTGATGAAATGGATACATAATAATCATACTTTTTCAATGAATGGATATATGAATAAATATTTTGACTATTCTGGATACCATTTCAGAATCATAATACTTTTTTTCCAAATGCCGACAGGGGGTCTAAAAATCAGACAGAAATCCAAATCGGAATTCATTCTTTAGATTTCGGATATGTGAAGCTTTCAGTACGAAGCATTTTGTTTTCCCTATGTGCCATGGTCAAGAGGATTGTATAGCTGCGGCATGGTCAGGATGGTCAATCGTAAGGATTTATATCACATAGATAGCACTGAAAATTGCGATTCATATATTCATATAATTTGATATATATATATATATCACGAAAGGTAGCTCCAGAGGGGCTACCTTGAGTTTTACTTTACGAAGTAAAGGGGAGGGCGGCCAGCCCCGTTACCTGATTCTTCAGGAGATTGCTAGTCATTTTAGTACCCCCCCCCTCCACACCTCCCACGCACCCTAAGAGCAGACTCAAAACATTGTAATTTACAGTATTTTTGTTCTTTTCGGATCAAGAAACCACATTTTGCTACATGGTGAAACCTCCGTAAATACCAGTGTTTTTGCTAGGTGCTGGCCAAAAAACACTGTAAATACCGTGCTTTTTACTACCAGAGGCAAAAAAACATCGTAAATACTGTGGTTTTGGGCTTCCGACCCGCCAAAAACATCGGTATTTACGGTGTTTTTTGCTCCGAGAGTTGCAAAAACACGCGAAAACACCACCGATTTGACGATTTTCGGCCACTACGGAACCGAGCAAAAACGCTGCAGGGGTAACACCAACACCAACAACAACAACACCAACAGCAACAGCAACAACAACAACGACGACAACAACAACAACAACAACACCAACACACAACGCACAATGCACAACGCACAACGCACAATGCACAACGCACAACGCACAACGCACAACGCACAACACACAACACACAAAACACACAACACACACACAACACACACAACACACACAACACACACAACAACACACAACAACACACAACAACACACACACAACAACACACAACAACACACACACACAACAACACACAACAACACACCACAACACACAACAACACACAACAACACACAACAACACACGCAACACACAACAACGCAACAACGCAACAACAACACACAACACACAGCAACACACAACAACACAAACAACACACAACAACACACCACAACACACCACAACACACACAACAACACACAACAACAACACAACAACACACAACAACACACAACAACACACCACAACACACCACAACACACAACAACACACAACAACACACAACAACACACAACAACACACAACAACACACAACAACACACAAAAACACACAACAACACACAACAAAACACAACAACACACAACAACACACAACAACACACAACAACACACAACAACACACAACAACACACAACAACACACACACAACAACACAAACAACACACAACAACACACCACAACACACACAAGAACACACAAGAACACACAAGAACACACAACAACACCACAACACACCACAACACACCACAACACACCACAACACACCACAACACACAACAACACACAACAACACACAACAACACACAACAACACACAACAACACCCCACAACACACAACAACACACAACAACACACAACAACACACAACAACACACAACAACACACAACAACACACAACAACACACAACAACACACAACCACACAACAACACACAACAACACACAACAACACACAACAACACACAACAACACACAACAACACACAACAACACACAACAACACACAACAACACACAACAACACAACAACAACAACACCATCAACAGCAGCAGCAGCAACAACAGCAACAACAACAGCAACAACAACAACAACAACAGCAACAACAACAGCAACAACAACAACAACACGAACACGAACAATACCAATACCAACAACACGACCAACAACACCAACACCACCAACAAACCCAACCACACCAACCACACCAACAACACTAACAACACTAACAACACCAGAAACACTACCACCACCAACAACACCAACACCACCAGCACCACCAACACCACCAACACCACAACCACCACCAACCCCAACCACATCGCCGAAGCCTTTCAGTCGCTTTTAGCAGACTCCCCTTCATACTTTTGGAAAGAAAATGGCCGCGTCGCTTTTACCAGACTCCACTTTATGTATTTTTCCCTCCCCTCTCCCCTTCATTTTTTCTTCGGTTCCTTTCTTGCTTACCTACCTTTCGTGTTCCCCCTCTCAAGTATTTATTTATTATATGTAGATGTATATATGTGTATATATATATATATACACCTATATTCACATATTATTTATGTAATTTTCTGCATATATTTCATAGGATTCCCATGGCATGGGATCACCCGTGACCATGGCCCAGCCGTTCAGCGTCCATGGCGGCAGGAGCTGCACCGCTTGCTGATTGCCAGCTCCAGTAGTGGCGCAGGTGCAGGTGTCATCCATTGGGGATTGTTCCCATGATCAGCTCATGGCCATAGCAACCCCAAACAAGGTGGATTCAATGGATTGGTTTTCACGGGAAAATTTACTGGTTTAAGCCCCATATTGAATGGGAAAATCGATGGTTTCCTGTAAATTTCCCTTAAACCAATCCAATCATGGAAAGATGTGGAAAGACTTACTGGTGGGTGCTAAACGTAGGGTTGCTGGATGGGTTGCTGGATGGGTTGCTGGGATGAAAAAATTGATTGTGGATTTGTGGATCATTCCCGAAAATTCCCTGCGTTTAGTTACGCACCAGTAAGAAGATGTGGAATCCTAAGATGCTGATCCATTACTCTGAGATATCCTTTTTGGGGGGTTTCATACAGTGGGAACTCATATAATGTCAACCCCGGATTAATAAATCGCGGTTGATTAATCATGGGTTCCCCCCCGAAAAGTGATATCCCATCTACCAAAGCGGCACCCGGATAAAACAACCCAGGTTTTTTTTTCTCACCATTGCAATCTTGTTCTCCTAACTTAGTAACTACCAACAAAATCGCAAAGCGATTTATCACTTACTATATATACTATTTTAGTTTCGGGTTTTACCAAATTTACAAATTCGATCTTTCTTGGGGATTCCAAGGAGTCACATTGTCCCTGTTGTGGCATTTTCAGCGGTTTGGGCTGAGCACAGGCGATCCCTGGTTGCCATTGTCTTTATCCTTGGTGGGTGTTGGTGAGTGGCGAATCCCAGCGATGGGTGGATGAAAAAGGATCATAAAACCTTCCCAATTGATCCCAATTGGATGGTTATGGTTGGGTTTATCATGGTTTGCTACATCTCAATCAAGCTCTCGATGGATCGGTTCTGATGATGATAGATCCCGTGAAGGGAACCATAGAATGGTCTGATGTCTGAGTATCAGTTACACCATGACTCTCGCGAACACGTTGGGTATCAGACTGCTGAGCTTAGCAGTTGTCCCATCTTGGTGATCAACGCATGTCATGTTCACGTTTTGTTTGGTGGAATTGGCAGCAGACCCCCTCCACCACCAACGTGGCTGCCGCCACTGCCACTCCCACTGCCGACATCATCCTAAACATGATCCTAGACATCATCCTAAACATGATCCTAGACATCATCCTAAACCTAAACATCATCCTAAACCTAAACATCATCCTAAACCTAAACATCATCCTAAACATTATTCTTATCCTCATCCACAGTGACAGCGTCATGGTCATCGTAGTCGTCACCATCAGCGTTTTTTTCCTTTTTTTTGACATACGTTGAATCCATTACCCTCAGCAGGTTTCATGATGTTCTTGGTCCATCAATTTTTCGGGCCTTAGGGATACACAACTGGAACATATACAATTGCAAACCATCGCCAGTTTTTTTTTTTACCCAGAAGTCCGACGGCCCGACTCTGGATGGTAGTTATATCTTTTATAATTATATAAAAATTATATATATATAATGATATATATAATATCCTGCAATCCTCCAGACTTTGTGGACAAGCCCTTTCAAGCGGGGAGTCGATAAGTTAAGAACATCTCCCAGCCAAACTACTTGCTGTTGCTACAGAATCCAGCAGTAAGCACCCAATCTTGACACATCTAGCTACGTCCTCCGTTTGCCCAAATTCTGACCACCCCCGTCCAAAACAAAAAGGACACTGATCTGAGAATCTTCGCAGTCTTCGTTGATGATGGAGGATTATGCGATCCACTATGGAATCTATTGGGGATAGCATAATCATAGCAAAAATTCATGGATTATGAATGATTATGATAGCATAATCCAACCAGCTCATGGATGATGGAGGATTATGCTATCATAATCATTCATCCATGAGCTGGTTGGATCCTGGTTAGATCCGGTTCTTCAGCAACCAGATCCAGCCAGATCCCCATGGAATGACATGGTGCACCGAAAAGGTCCACTTCTGATGGTGCACCTCCGAGCCCCAGAGGTGAGCGAGAGCTGATGGATTCTTTGACTTTAAGGATCATTTAAGGATCTAATTTATGTCCCAAAAACTAGGGATGATTTAAGTTAAGTGTTGTAACGAACTTTTTTTTTTTCTAACACTTTGGTTTCTTCATGATGAAACACATACGATATTGTTGCAGTGGCTCTAGTTTCCCAGTGGTTTTGTGCAAGAGTTGTGGAATCATAGGCAGTCTTGAACTTTGACGCTGCATCCAACTATGGTGCCAGACTTATGGCCTTTTCTTGAATTTCTGCAAAACAAGCAAGAAGTCTGGGGGGCTGACCGGCTGACTGTTTGGTAATCCAAGCTGGGGAGGGTTTCTCTGCAGGAATGTAGACAGAAGAGGATATGGGTGTCGACATTTCCCATCGTTTTTTATAGTGGATGCGGGTATAGTTACAACCCCATAGAAAATATTGGGCCTCGACTTCCCTCCAAGCTGCAAGCTTGCTGCAGGTTTTTCGCCTTCACATTTGGCTATGGGGCAGGGTGGCCAATGTGGGGAGTATGGGAGGAGTGGGCAATGCATAGACTTCTCCCAATGGTTTTGGGGTACCCTATATAAGTGTAAGAAACACCCATTATTATCCCAGATTATCATATTTGCAAGAGCCCGTGAATAACGGGGCCTGCGTCAAACTTGGATTGGGGGCCCAAACTTGGAGAGTGAAGATTTTGCACATCTCTCTTGTTTGCTACAACTTACAACTTGTTAGTTTCTCAAAGTTCAGCATGGCAACCATCCTTTTCAAGACGCCAACGTTGACCCACAGCCATAGAGGTTTGTATGCTTGTTCAACAATGAGGATACCAAATTTGATCTCCAAAATCTCAACATCTCATAGTAAAGACCTAAGTACTGTAGTAACCCACATTGTGGGTCAATTGGGAATGTCACCCCGGGATTCGTTAGCGAAATTCGCATCACAACTGGTACCCCGCAACCTGCAAAAAGAAACGGAAAAAACACAAAATAACCAGCAAAATATCGTTGATTTTTTTAAAATACCACTCGAATGAATCATGGAATTACTGTACAATACGAATAAGTATATCGATTTCGGGGATTTCGGGGCCGAGGCTCACGCCCATGGCAGCACCCCACAGCCCCGGGCGAGCCTCTCCGTGGCTCGGTTTCCATGGGTTTCCCTTGGGATTTCCTAAGTTTTCTGGGGACCTGGGCGTTGGGATTTCCATCTATTTGGGTTCAGATTCACCCATGACAAGCCGCTTTTTTTAATCTTTTTTCAGGTCATGTTTACAGTTTGAGATTCACCCAACAACCACCCAACATTTTCAGGATTGAACCCAGCAAGTTCTTTTTGGTCACTGCAACCCCACAACAAAGGCACTTTGGACCTGATACAAGGAGAGATGGGACAAGGGCGGCATTGAGGAGTGGTGGATGCGCAGATGAATCAGATGAAGCCAATATTCCCAGCGGTTCAGATGGTTTCAAACTAGCAAGGGCTAGAGGTGAATGGATGGTTTGAAGGGAACCCTTTGCGAAAAGCCATGATTTTTGGCCCTAAATGTTTGGGCGTTGCAAATATGCTTAAAGAATCTTAAAGCACTTTTGGGATGAAGGAAACTTCAGTGCAATCAAGTTGCGGTGTGGTTGTCTGGGTCGTTGGGATCAGGAGCTGACGTTGGCCTAAAAAAATCAAGCATGCGGCTGAAATCACACCCCTTGAAAGCAAAGCTTTGAGCTTTTGGGTTGGAAGATGATATTCTACTCGAAATGACAGTTGTGGGGTTCCCCTCCAGAGAAGATCCACTCATCATCAAGTCGCCGCATCACTCACAAACATCCAGCCAAATCACCTTAAAATGATTTGAACATCACCAAATTATCCAACAGCTTGCTGGTATCATCACAATGATTCAAAATCCACTTCAACATTCTGATGATTTTCTTAGCTTCATGGATCCAGGAGCAATGGCGGAGTGGGAAGCCAGCGGGGAAAACGCCCGGCGTCCCAGATGGCGCCCAGGTGCCGCTGGGAGGGGAAAACCATCGGAAAACCATCGGTAAATGGGGGATTTTCCCATCTTTTCATACATTTTCCATCTACCCTCTGGTTATTTTCCTAACAGTTTGCCATGGAAAGATCCACCATGCTATTAAGAACGGTATAAACCATCTATTTCGATTAGGGCCATCGAAAAACCATGGCTATGTTAGTCATAACCAGAGGGCAGCCGTGATTTCCAGAGGGTGGAAACCCAGCCTTCCGAGGAACCCTGCGTTACAAGTTTGCTGCGCGGCGTCCGCATACCGCGTGGCTCGGCAAATGGTGTACTTCGATGTGGCCAGGCGATTTGAAATTGGAGTATATCATAATCGGATATTATCCAGTTATTATCCAGTTATTGTAGATGTTATTATAGATGTTATTAGCGGTTATATCCCAATACATCCCAGTTATCCAGTTATTAGATGAATAATAAGCGGTTATAACCCAGCTACTGACTACAGATCGGCTAATTCTGGTGAAATCTAAATAGGGTATATACGGTATAAGTCATTGTAATTTCCATAGGAAACCAACATGTAATCAGTCAGTGAAGGCGCCAAGTCGCCCATTTCCTATTTCAGGAGGCGGAACATTTTCTCACTGGGTACAAGTTGAGGGCTGAATGGTAGATAGACTGCCATTGGATTGGTTTTGTTGGGACAATCTACAGGAAACCATGGTTTTTACCATGGAAAATATCGGGGATTCCAATGAATCTGGGAAAAGTCAGATCTTTCCTGGAGTGTGCACACTTTGTTCCACTATAACTGGGGTGCGGACCATATTGCCATTGCGGGAACTGGGGAATTCGATCATCACTGAGATCAAGGGATTATCGGCTATATCACGTTGATTATAATTTATCATATAGTTAGTTATAACATGTTATAACCTAATGTACATAGAATATAAGATATTGTATATAATAATAAACATATCATATATATATACATATATATATATATATATACATATACATATATGCACTGTATGTCTCTTGACATCCCATGTACCACAAAGATTCCCAGGTTAGGGAGCCAGCTGGGGTGCGCCACACCAGAGGGTATCAGCCTCATTGAGTCAGGGTGCCCAGGGTGCCTCAGTGCCGACAAGAAAACATGGAGAAAAAGGGAATCCGGTGGAGATTTCCACAACGAAACACAGGCTTTTGCATCATTTGCTAAGTGTGTTTGGATATCAAATGCTATTGATGTTGAGAGTTTGTTCATGATTTCAAAAGCGATCACTGAACTCAGGAATTAACAACTTATCCTTCTAATATACTGACAACAGCACCTCATCCCTACGAAGGCAACAGATTTGAACAATGTAGTTTTTTCCTATGTTTCAGAGAAGGCGGGAACCTATCCATCATTCTGGGCTGTGCCTGCTGTTTGGATAGCTGATCATGGATTCCAATTGAGGTGATGGAAATTTTCCATTCTCCCATGTTTTTTTCAATTGGGGGTATTACTACCCATGGACTCCATGGACCTTCAGAATATGTTGCACTACTTGCCGCTTCATCCCACATTGGTTCAGGGTCGCTTCAGCCCAGTTCGTTGTTTCAACCGGGCATCGACCCAGGTTGAGGAAGTTGGCAAGCAGCGTCTTGGAGCTCTCCTGCATGTTGTTGTGCCGCTTCTGCCAGGCGGTCTCGGCGAAAATGCAGGAGATTTCGAAGAGCCGATTTTTCAATAGAACACATCATGTGGTAAACCCAATGTCATAAACCATCCCTTATATCATCATTAAATTATCATTTTTATGGGTGCTAACGATCATCTCCAAATGGTAGGCTTATGACATTGTGTTGACCACATACGCTGTGTTTGTTGGAGGATGAATCAATGATGAACTTGAATGATCCATCATCATTGGTATATATTATGTTCATCCAAACTTTTATGCTTGTATATACTGAATGTTACTGAATGATAATCAATTATGTATATCAATGTTCATTCTGAGTGTATATACACACATAATATATACATCTATCATTGGTCTATCATCATCTGGGGATCCTGGCAGCGAGCAGGTGACCAAGAGCGGCATTTCGCGGGGCTGCCTAGTGGTCCCACCATGTAATGGGTGATAATCTGAGGCTAGTTAAGCTAGTTGTATAGGGAACCCGTCGTTGTAATGACATTAAATGGGAAAGCTGATAGCCACAGGTATATTCACCGTACATGATAGCTATATTCATTCCATCTCAGACGCTGGCCCCCGCCGCAATCCTTCGATGCTGGCCTCCGCCAGGGCACCCCGCGGTCCCAGCATTGGTATCCTGCATGGGCTGTTGAGTGGGGCATCCCAAGTGCTTGACGCAGCCTGGCGGATTATCCAGAATGGGACAATGGGAACACCTGGGAATATCACCTGGATGAGATCATCTGGGGCTTTTCTGATGTGTTTTATCTATGTTTTATCTATGTTATCTATGTTTTATCTATGTTTTATCCATGAAACATGGAAATCTCATCCAGAGATCATGGTTCATAGGTTGAAAAAATGTCTGGCTCTTAATCGGTTTTTCACGACCTGGCGGATCCGCCGGATTTTGTCGGTTTTTATGGCATTGTTTGATTCTACCGGAGGATGGTTGGAAAGGACATGTCCTAAGTTAGGTAAGTTGGAAAGTCACTTGGGATTGTTTGATATCGTTGGGATTGCCAATGGGTATTTTAAATCCCTGTTCATGGATTGATGACCATCCCCAGATATCGTTTGGGATTGTTAAGGTATTGGGTATTTCAGTCCCTAAGTTACTGGGTCAACCACCTGGATGGATACGTCAATGCAAGTTAACACGGATGCACAACGGGAGATATTAAACCTTGAGTTGCTTTTAGTGGGGGCTAGTGTTAGTGAATGGTACAGTAAGTGCACAATCCATAGCTGGGTAAGTTGGCCATACTGCAGGAAGAGCCATAAATCTCATCATATCTCATCGCTGGAATTCAAAGCTGCCGATTTTTTGTCTCCAGGATGATATAGATGATATTTATTAATATTTATTATTTAGATGATAATTTATAGATGATATGGATGATATATATATATATATATATCATATCATCTATATCTATATATCATCTAAATTATATATATATATGGATGATATATCTATATTATCTATATAGATGATAATTTCCAGGTTTCCAAGCGTTTCGGCATCTTTTTGGGGACTGAACCGCGCATGGTGCCGCTGTGATCCAGGTTTCCTGCACGAGATCCTTAGCTCGGACTCAGGCCGGTCGGAAGGTCAAGCCAATGTTTTATGCCAAGAAGGGCCATGGAGATCCTTATCAGAATATATGATAATATTATATATATATGTATATCTGGGTAAATTATAACGACCTCACTGTTCTCCCTCACTGGAAATCATAGTTAGTAAGGGGAATCATCCCAAAATGGCCTTAATTCAGGTTAGTGGAATATTATAATTTACCCATATATATATAATGTTATATTTGTATATTTATAGATGATATTTATTTTTGATGTAGTACAAGATGATTCAATTCCTGGAATGTTGAGAATAATTAGAATAAACATAATGTAGAGTGATAGAAGATGATAGAAGCATCAGTTCGTATCATCAGAATATTCAAGATTAATATGACATTCTTCTAAGGTGTAAGATGGTGTAGCGAATTGTCTTCCTAGCAGTCCTAGCATGGATGGTCGGTTTTTTGGTTAAAGTCAAGCTTGGATCTTCCAGATTCTATACACTCAATCAGATTGAGCGTGATACTGTGGAGAGTGACTGTTTCACCCTGTCATTTTTTGTTTTCCTTTACACAGTGTAAGGAAAAACCACCTCACCTATCTTCGTTCCTCTCATTGAAAGCTGAACTCACCAAACCTGCCCCGCAATTTTCGACATGGAATTTCGGTCAAATCCTGGATACCCCGGTTTCACAATTCGATGGTAAATCATGTGACATCCCCACAATCGTTCCCCACCCAAAATTTGGATTCGAGAATTCGATTCCGTGAAAATATTGGGGACGATCATGATCTCTAAACTGATCTCTGAACTGGGAATCTGCATAAGCCATTGTCAGGGAAAACCTTGGTAAGGGGTCATTTTTTTTTTAATAAACCACATTTTATACCCACTGAATTCTGATATAGTCTACTTCTTAGGTACAATAGTTAAATCCCATGAAATCCCTCTCTTTGTTTTATGACTTCGGAAACTCAAAGAACCATTCAAATAATCAATATATAGATACATAGTAAATCTATATAGTAATTATAATATATATATATATTTATTAGTATATATATATGCTTATATGCAGTCAAGATTAGCCAAGAAGAATCCAGTACCAGCTTTTCTCAAGGCAGCACTTGACAGGTCTAGACCCAGAGACCGTCTCCTTCCTTGGAGCCTTGCACGCCAGGGCCTGGGGGCCCAGTGACCCCGGCCGAGCTCAATGATTGGCTGATAGGGATTGAGTTGCAACCAGACCTCCTGTTTGATCGCCAAGGAACAGCAGCTGGGTACAGAGGCCATGTCCGGTGTTTTGCGTGATCCACAATTTGTTATGAATATATGTATACAGATGTATACAGTATATATATATAATATTATATAATTTATAGTACATTACATATATGTACACATATTATATGCATGCATATAGTTGATTGAGTTGATTGATGTTGATTGCTAAATTCCCATTTTTGCTTGCTGAACTCAAGGATGTTGGGGACATGTATATATTCATTGTTGGTTAAATCCTGAGCTCGTTGGTTGAATCCCCACATATGTTTTTGTTTGTATACTATAGCTCATTCGACACATTTCAACCCCAATCTTAAGTTGGTTTAAAACCTATTGTACCATTATATAATATTTTATATCCTGTGTTCTAGTTGACATCTTGTTTTGTTTAACCCATTTTACCATATGAATTCCCCATTCGTCGATTCGTTCAACGGCGCTGAAAGACGAAGAAATTTCGCCAGGCCAAAGTGCTGCAAGATGCAGGCGCGCCTGGCAGATATTTTTTCGTCAGATTTTCAATGGGAATATCATGTGAATATCATGTGAATATCATGTGAATATCATGTGAATATCATGTGAATATCATGTGAATATCATGTGAATTAGGTGGTATAAACCATGATATTCCCATAAAATTTCATTTAATATCATGTGATTTAATATCATTTAATATGATATTACCATATTCCCATGTTGATTTTTACCATATCATGGTGGTTTCACCTATTTATGGGAATATCACCATTTTTCATGTGGGTAAGTAAAACATCCAGTATACCATTCCCAGTCATGGGTGGTTTCTTATTGTCTTTTAACCCTTGGATATCATTGGAAATATCATGGACATATTTAATGGGAAATAAAACGCCAAGTATACCAGGTAGTAAACTAACGATTGAATGGGAGAATAGCACCCAGTAAACTATAGTAAACTAAGATAGCTATGGTATGCCCATTGAAGAAGTTTTACATAGAAAAAATATATATATATATAGATATAGGAACTACACGTAACGTAACTATCTTCTCACGAAGTTTCTGATTGTTGGGACCTCCCAAAAGATGCAACCGCCACTCCCCAACTGTGACATGGCTGGTCAACTTTTGAGTAGCAAAGTGGTTCTCAAATCCGTGGGTTTTCTGGCTGTAGTTCCAGTGAACTAAGTGGATATAGAACAACCATAGTTAAGTTGGGTTATATCCTAACTCACTCGGGGTTTTATAACCATTGTTACCCTATGTTACCCTCTAGTAATCAAACGTGGCGTGCTGGAAAATCCACCATTTAGTTCGATGATTTCCTCTCCTTCAACCATCATTGATAGTGCATGTCCAATATTGTCCAATTGCTATGTTTGACTATCGGAGGGAATAGCCATTTGCAACCTCAACTGCACCCACTTTTGTGGGTCTTGAATTCTCATCGAGTTTCCCAGGCAGCCAGCCCAATCCAGCGTTCGACGGCGACGCGTGGCTTCTGGGGGAAGCGTGAGATCTTATGGCGCGAGCGAAGAAAATTCATGGGTTGAAACACTCACAATGGCGACTTAAGCACCAAAAAGTGGAAGTTTACCACTCAAAGTGGTGAGTTAACCACTCAACACATGAAGTTAAGCACCGCCCAAATTGTGATTTGTTCATATGTTCAACAGCAGAATTTAATCCAAGGAGTTAACCAACAGCAACAGGAATTAAACTGTTCAACAGTAGGATTTACTATGATTTATTGCAATCAGCAAATTTGAGAGTAATTGGATTGGTTTTCCTGGAAAATGTTACAAGAAAGTATGGTGGATCTGAAGAAGTGCAGGGGGTTCGAGGGTATGAATGAAGTGATACCCTGGGACATGGGGTGGGGTCAAAATTCAAAGTTCTCGAGGATGGGCGTGACAATTTGAAGCCAGCAGATGACTTGTAAATCTTAGTAGCTGTGTGAAAATTCTTGACACTACATACATTATAGAGTAGATATTCTGTATACTTAAATTGGGTATGTAAACATTTTTTTTACGGTGTGTACAAAATACGCAATATAGCATGTAAATGAAAAACAGCAAAATGTTTTCGGAGTCTGACTGAGTTTTGTGGTTTTGTGCCACTTCCTCTTCACCTCCTACCACCAGATTTTGGTCTGGAAATGGCTTTGGGTCTGTCTGGAAATGGGGTATACCATGGTATACCGCCAATAGCCAATAGCCACTGGTAATTTAACATAGCTATTGAAAATGGCCCATAGAAATAGTGAGTTTTTCCATTAATAGCATGGTGATTTTCCATAGTTATGTTAGTTTACCAGAGGGTATAGCCACTGAATAGGGAACAATTATGATGAACCATTGGGGACAAACATCAACATTTGTGGTGGTTTGTCTGAAAGCCAAGGGGCTGAGGTGAGGTGAGTCATGAGTGACGTTGGTCATCCCCCAGTTGATTCCGATATAATTCTAATATAATTCTAATATCTAAATGATGTTTCCTAAGCCTCTTACTGTATATACTATGAAACTTATGAAACTTATATGAAACTACGCATACTTATGAAATTATGTTTACTGATGTTTCCTAACAGTTTACCAAAGGTTTCCTCTTATGTAGTGCATACCCGCAGTTCCAAGCCTCTTCAAGCTTGCAAGTTCCCATTGTTTCATGTCGCAAGCCGCCTTTTGTCCAGATGTCACACAGCTCAGCAAGGCTTTTCTTCCATGTTAGCTGGGTGGATTCTTGCCTCAATGATCCATGCGATCCATGGATGGGTTGAAACTGCCAACTGGATGTGTTCAGTCAAGCACCAGTTGAAGAAACAAAAACTCCAGACATCTCAAAATTCGTGACTTTCAGCACCTTAGTTGGCACTGTGGCAATTCAGAAGTCACAGACCTCCAACCGGGTTACTTCTGGTCTCCTGCCAGCTGTGCCATAGATTTCCCATAGATTTCACAAGCGGAGCATGCGCACTGAAGCATGAGCTGGTTCCGCACGCCTGATGGGAATCAGGTGTGGTCGGCGCTTTTTTGGGGATGGGATCATGTTGGTGTCTGGCTGAAGCAGGGGATGCTGAGGCACCAGATTCATCTTCGTATCGGGTTCAAACCAGACATGACTATGGAAAATCACCATGTTCAATGGGAAAACTCACTATAAATGGTCATTTTCAATAGCTATGTTAGTTTACCAGATGGTATCAAGACTTGAAGTATATTCTTTGTATTGGTGGAAATCTGGCAGAAGTTAAGGTTGAACTAGGTCAACCATCTTTGTTTTCTGAATGGGTTCCCTCTGCGGACATGATTGGTACATGTTGGTACATTGGAACCCTTTCAGGGTCACAAGTGGATTGTGTCTGCAGTGCTCTGCTAGCATTTCTTTGCTGCTTGTCGTGGATTGCTTTTCGAGAAAGAATTTGAATTCATGGCTGCACCAGAACAAACACCGCAATAATCCGCAATCAAGGAATTGGTTGAAGGGACCATTTAGAGGATATCTGTGGGTAACAACCATGATTTCCTCCCACTTCTTTCTTAAACCCAAACCATTGACGATTATACTGGGCTTTTTCTCAAAATCTGAGTGATTATAGATCCACTTTTTGAGTCAAATCATGTCAAATCCCTGGCAAATTTTCCCAAAATCACAGGGTGCCCTGCTGGAAAGCGGCAGGTTTGGGTGCCGCGCGAAGAGATTCTGTACACCCTTCGACCAGCACCTAAGGCTGGATAGCCCACCTCATCACCTGATCACCCAGTTTACTCTTGGGGCTCTCTGGGGTAGCCAGTGGTGTTTTTTGAAAGGTTGATACAGGTGGTGTACCCTAGATAGCTAAGGGTTTATGGTGATTGGGTTACGCTTCTTTGGCACAAAAGATGCCAAAACAAGGCGCAGAATCCAAGACTTGGTCAAGAAACGGTGCTCTGAAGACCTTTCTAAAGCTAAATGGAAATCACCTTTCACCGTCACCCATTATTTTTTTGCAACATTGGGTCAAGAAACGGAAAACCTCCAAAGCTTCAATGGTATAATTCTACATTATTATACTATATATTGTATTACATGGTTTTGCAAAAAAAACGGAATGTAAAAAATCCCACGATATATCATCACGTCTCCATTTTTCAGACGCTCACACACAACAGCGCCTCTGGGAGTCTGTCGATCAGGATCTTTCAACCAAGGAGGCGGGGAAGGAACCGGAGGACGGCTCGCCTCCTTTTTTCGCATGAGTTGAGCGTTGATGTTCCGTTTTGGGTTAAGAACCTTTGATTTCCAGAGAACATCCAGCGCGAGGCACTGTGAATTGGTAGATTCACTGAATTTTGCAGCCCCGAAATTCAGGTCATTTGTGAGCTCTGTTCAACTTATCGCCGCATTCGGAAGAACGAGCAGTTCTTCATTTTAAATACCCAGAGTTATGATCCTTGGAGAGCCTAAGTTCCCTTATCTATCCGTGGTTGTCAAGTTGTCAAGTCATTAAATCTGAAGCTTCTGAAGATTATATAAGTGACTTTCAAGCTGGAATGGTTTACTAAAACAATCTAAAACATATCTCGACGTATTTACGTGTTTTTTTTCAATTTATTCCGTTTTTGGTGTGCCTTAGATTTTGACTCCCGCTGGGTCCCAGCTGTCCAGCTCACCTACCTCTCACTGGGGAGCAGCAAACCGGTCTTCCAGGACAGGGTCAGGAGTTTGGACTGGCAGCTGTTGGTATTGGGATCCCAATGAAGCCTGAAATGTCAGTGCCTAGAAGAACTGGATTATATTTGGGTTATATGGTTGAATACCAGAGAGAGAGAGAGAGAGAGAGAGAGAAAAGATATCCCATGAACTGCCCATAGGTATGGCTCAGGTATGAGGTGTTACAACATGTGTTTTCTAACCATCGAGTAATTTCAAGAATCATCCTAATAGGTTGGTGGCTGAACCAAAAGGTGGCCAAAGTGATTGCATACGGATGGTGGCAACGCCAGTTCACGGAGCTTTTCACGGAAACCTTCAGAAAGCCCACTTATGGTTTTGCTTAGAGTTGGGAAGCCATCTCATCTCATCTCATCATCACTGGCGTCAAAACAGCCCGTTTCTTTTCCACTGAGCTAAGTGGAGGAGTGACCAGAAATGATGAAAGTTGCTGTTTTTCGCGTTCGGCAAAAGCTAGAGGGAATCACAGTTGGTGGTTTGGAACATGGCTTTTATGACTTTCCATATATTGGGAATGTCATCATCCCAACTGACTTTCACTCCATCATTTTTCAGAGGGTATACCACCAACCAGTATAGAATCACAAGGGAATCACTGTTGTTTTTGTTTTTAGGCACTCCACTGCCGCTGTTTTTCGCAGCTTCATCCAGGAGATTTTCGAAGATGAGACCTGGGATGGAAGGAGGGGGACCAAATCATTTGGTCAAGTGTGGGCTTCACCTAGCTACCCCCTTTTCACAATAGTTACCCTCTGGTTATTTAACATAGCCATGGAAAATCACCATTTTTAAGAGGTAAACCATCTATAAATGGGTCATTTTCCATGGCTATGTTAAATAACCAGAGGTAAATACATATAAGATTATTATATAGATATAAACTTATAGATATAATTAGATGTAATTAGATGTAATTAGATGTAATTAGATGTAATTAGATATGATTAGTATATCAATCTATATCATAAGTCGTGCCATTTGGGGACCTCCGAAAAAGGGCACATATTTTTTTCACTCCGCCGTTGCCAGGAAGAGGCGCCATGCCAGAAAAGCCGTCGGCAAAGAACGGGGCTATCTGGTGCGCCCGCGACGGGTCTAGAGGATCTGGCGGCCGATCTTTGGAGCAGCTCAGAACTCTAGGAATTATCATGAATTATGCCCCCATAATATCCGAGTTATGCCCTTGTAGTTGATGTGGTTGGGATATAGAATTGGATGGGGATTCGGGTATATCGATTATATTTGCATAGAACAATTGACTCACAGCCATGCCATGAAAAAGGCAAGGTCCAAGCAGTTGTGGGCAACCCTGCATAGGAGATTGTTTTCTTTTTGTTCACAGAGGCTCATCATATGTTCAAACTTGCCCCACTAAAACTGATTGGTTTCCAAAACTGCTTCATTGGGGTGGTTTGAGAGAACAGAATACAGGGAGCAGTGAACACCGGCATTTCCTGCAGAATTTCCTTGCAAGTCTGGGATTGAATGTCATCTCCGCAGCGAATCTACAGTGATGTAGGGATGAAGATTTCCCTGGCGGAACAGTCACAACCTTCACCATCAAAGGATTATTGGTCTTAGATATCTTGTGTTTGGTGGTGTTTACAAACTACCCACCACCAATCTACATATATACGTATATACGTATATACATATATACATATCTACATATCTACATATCTACATATCTACATATCTACATATCTACATATATACATATATATATATACATACATATACACACACATATATATATACATACATACATATATACATATATATACATATACATATACATATATACATATATACATATATACATATATACATATATGCATATATACATATATACATATATACATATATACATATATACATATATACATATATACATATATACATCTATACATCTATACATATATATATATACATACACATATATATACATATATATATATATTAATACACAATTATATATATATGTATATATGAGTGGTTTAGTGTTTGATAATACCTATGTTTGCATCCTTCTTGGAATACTGATCTCCATTGACAATGAGTATGGCTTGCTTCCACTAAACATTTTCTTCAGATGCGAACAGAGTCTTGTCAGGTACGAGTTGAAATGGACGCGCAAGCACGTGTGGTTTCGTGGTTCAAGGCGGTGGCTTTTTGTCGTTCCGTCCTGGAATATGAGAGATCTGGGTCTGTTCGTGCTGCAATTTGGATGATTCCTGCTTGGGTATGTGCATGGCCAATAGCTATAAACATGTTGATCATGTCAAAGGAACATAGGTGAAACAAAATTGAATGAGCCTTTTCTTCAGAGGTTGAAAGCGTATTTTTTGATGATCAGTTGGTACACATTCCCTGGGGTACCTCAGTGAGACTCAGACATGGCAATTTTCGTCTCGGAGGCGGCGCTTCAGATCCTTGTTCGCGAGCAAGTGCGGGACCTGAGATGACCATGACTTAGGAAACCGTGGAAACCTGCAATCATGAACAATCCCAAGTTGTACTAAGTGAAATTGGGTACACATGGTACACCCCGTGGACGTTTTCGGGGATGTGTGTTGATCCCCCTTTTCATGGATCCAAAATGGTTGTTTACTTGGACGGTTTACTATTGGGTTTAACCCATGAATATTGCAGAAGGCGATTATCCACTAAAACTCTGGACTTGATCAAATCAGAATGCGGATTTACATCACTTGAGATTGTGATTGACTTCCCCAAGCTGTCATGCTATGCTTCACACACCAATTCACTCATAAATACATATACACACAAATACATACTGTATTATGTATATATATATACATAATATATATATATACACACCCCAATATAATATATGTCATACCTCGTTTTTCCCGCCAGCTGCTCCTGAAAAAAAACAGGTGGTGTCCAAAGTTGACCCCAACGAGGCGTTCAGAACGGGTCAGCGCAGGCGCTTCTTGGGACTGATGTTGGAGGTGTTTTTCGTGTTTTTTTAGGGACAAAACCATCCAAATCATCCAGATGTGGTTTGATCATGTTTTATCCAATCTTTGGAGCAGTTGGCATGACTTGACCACCCAGGGAAGGAGGGCGGGCAAGTCGCCAGGAAGCAGCGCGGCCAACACAATGAATGCCACGTGGAAACCCTTCGGAGGCCCCAATTTGATGCAGAAATTCCATGGATTGCAGGTGAGTCGATGTGGCTTTCGATATCTTCACTCATGCTAAAAAGGAATGCCCAGGGGCTACTTTGACAGTCACTTTGACCTTAGAGTGCAAGACGGGAGGGACATTGGTACAAGATGGTACAGTTATAGCCACAGTTGTGGCAATGGGATGAAATATCTCCTGCAACTAGCTGGTTATACTATATGTCACTTAACAGTTTTTTTTCAGCCACTTACAAGTGGTTATGGGGCCATAAGATGGTTGAAGTCGACGCTTTTCTGTGCGACTTCCACAGGTGCCACCATGGAGTGTGCGGGCCTGGATTTCAAGCGCCCTGGCTGATCATCCCGGCAGCTGGTTGGTGAATTCATCAGGAAGTTGAAATCCAACGTGCTCACTTTCACCAATCAGTTGAGAGCAAGTAAACCCTGGTTGAGTAAACCCTGGTTTAGTAAAAAGGTTGAGCACCAATGAAAGTGCTACCACTACTTTCATCAAGTATTCTTTGAAATAATTGTCTAGTCTGAAGTAAACCCTGGTTGAGTATGGTGAGTTGATTTCTTGCGCTAATACATGATGGAAGATCAGATCCCATATGCTAAGCAGCCGAGATCCGAATTGGTTCTTCCTAGGATACCCAAGAATCCCATGCTGAAAACCAGTTTCCAACAGATTTTCGCCTGAAGATATGGCAAATTGTGAGCTTTCTCCCCGTTTCTCAGGCGACCCTGGAAACTTCTCGCAACCACGGCAGGTACGGGTCTCCTCCAGTGAAGCTTTCCAAGAGATCAACCTCTTCACCAATCACCAGGCGAGGCGATAGGAGAGGTCGCCTGATTTCTCCGGTCCCAAAAAAAAACCGGTTTTTCACGACGGAAAGCCGGTGATTCATGATACCCACCTCTCAAAAAAGATTTTGGTTCAATCTAGTGCCAGAGTTTTTTTTAGTTCTATATGAGATATCAGATGGTCTCCTCATATTTGAGCGTGTCACACATTGGGAAGGGTTCCCAGAGCATGATAAAAATAACCAATAAATTTTCAGGCAACTCCACTGGAATTGCTCAAGAGGATGTTTTTTTTTTTTAATGGCTTCGCATGGGTTGATCCAGGGGAATCTGATATCTATCTCAAGATACCTATCCATATCCATATTCCATACATTTCCATACCTAATTCAATCTATGTATCTACTGGGAATCGCATATATTCTATAATATTCTATGTATTTCTATATCTAATAATCCCCACAGCAGCTCCTATATTCATATATATCTAATCATATCTATAATCATATATGAATTAGATCTATAGATATCTATATTCTATGGATTTCTATATCTAATCATATCTATTATTCTTTATGGCCCCACGAAGCACAGCAGATCCTCTTCCCACAGGTCTTCCGTGTCTTCGTGTCTTCGTGCCAGGTCTTACCAGCCGAGACATGGGACCACGCCTTGTCAGAGGAGCCCCACGAATTCCGTAGCAACGAAAGATGGAAATGGGAGGACTAGAATGACTTTAATCACGATTATAAAGACCAGTATAAATATTATATTTGATGATATTGTCCACATATTTCCACATGAACTTTATGAATGGTAAAATTCCACGAAAGATACCATCAACCAACATTATTTTATGTGGAATTTACATGAAATTACATGAATGAATTCCCATATTATGATGTTTTTCAATGTTTGTCCATGTCAAAAGTCAAAATTGAGGATATCTTCAAACACAACAATTTGTCAGGATTGCTGGCAGTTTACTATCCTTCCAGTGTTGATTCTTGGGACCAAAATGTAGAGCTCTGTCAACATGGTGAACCCACCAATTGGCGATGTACCCAAGGCGAACTGCGATGGAATCCATATGGAAACTTGATTATAAACAATAATGGGTACACTTGTAAGCAACAAGGAAGAAGAATTCTCGTTCGGACCGCAGTACCCGAAAATCTCATGGTTGATTCTTTTTCCCATGTTTATTTGGCATTATTGGATATGATTGGCACTTTGAGAGCATTTGAGAGGTATGTATCCCTGTATCCCATTTTGAAAAGATCAGGTTTTTTGTTGCTCATCTCGTAAAATAGCCAGCTTACCTTACGTTCTCGCGGCCAATCTCCACCGAGTCCACCGAGTTTTCGAAGGCCTTGCATCGAGCCTATGGCCGGGTCTTTTTCGCAGAGGCCGAGGGGAGCTAACCTGGGGAGATGTTGCGGATCTATGGAAGATAGGACTATTGGCTGTTAGAAATAGTGGATTGAAATGTAGTCAATGTACCCTCTGGTAAACTAACGTAGCCATAGCAAATCACCATTTTTCATGGGTAAATCCACTATTTCTATGGCCATTTTCAATAGCTATTTTGACATAACCAGAGGGTAGTCCAAGCAAATCATTGTAGCCAGTGATATTCCAATTCCTCAGGGGTCTTATGAGGTACAGATGCAGTCACGGGGGATCCCCGCGCATCCACGCGTTGGCACTGGGATGATGATGGAGCGAGGGATGCGCTGAAGTGGCTTTGGATGACTTGACTTTAGATTGGACTCAAGATATATCTGATGATATATGATGATGTATGATTATATGATGGATTGTAATGGTATATGACGATGTATGACGATGTATGACGATGTATGACGATGTATGAGGATGTATGACGATGGATGATGATGTATGAGGATGTATGATGATGTATGATGATGTATGATGATGTATGACGATGTATGATGCTGTATGAGGATGATGATGATGAGGAGGAGGAGGAGGAGGACGACGACGACGACGACGATACAGGTACTTATGATAATTATTGATAACTAAAGGATGTGATGGTACGTAAAGGATGTGAGTCAACATGACATCAAGCTCCAATGATCTCACGATCAGCAAAACAACCAAACGGCATCAGGCCGATACCCGAGACCTTGAAGATTCACCAGGCGGGGACCATTGTAGAATGGTGGAAACGTATGTTTTGATGGAAGAAATCCTCTGCCTGGGGGTTGAAAATTCGGATCTTTGGGGATGGAACATGAACAGAATGGATGAACATATGGGACTAATATGGGTTTCTTTGCTTCTATTTTTGTAGTGCAGATGATAATAAGAAGTGATACTGTTGGATCGATTGTTTGTCAATGCTTGTCAGTCGCAACATTTCTATTCCCAGAAGTGGGATTCAACGCCTGATTCAAGAGGTGAAATCTCTGTTTGTATGGGATGAAATAACCTATAGGGATGAAATAGACTTAGACATAGGCTTTCAAGAGACGAGAATCGACACCGTGTGTAGTTTTTTTTTTCTGTTTTTACCTGAACCCATTTCTAGGTTGCATCATGTTGCATCATGTTGCATCATGTTGCATCATGTTGCATCATGTGTACTTCTGGAGATCCAGGAGAACTGGGACATCCAGTGGACCCACATGAGGCGGGGACAGAAAAACTGCAGTGTTTCTTCAGCTTCCGCCTGGGTTGCAGGTCAGACATACATACCTTGCTAGCATCAGACATGCAAGGACTCCCCTTGTTCGGGAAGGTGGTCCCAGTCCGCCATAATTTCTAAGCCACCATGGGTTGCCGAAAGCTGAAGGAGCGAGTAGATGTAGATTGTGAATCGTCTTCCTGTCCATGCTATTGGGTATCAGAATCCACATGTAGGAGTACTCAAAATGATTTGCCCTCAGAAGCTTCAGAGTGCAATAGGGTACGGTGCGGCACAGATGATGGTCATAATTTACTTTCTGGTAAACTAACATAGCTTAGCCTTAGCTATGGAAAATCACTATGTTCATAGGTAAATCAACTATAAATGGGCCATTTTTTCTATAGCTTTGTTAGTTTTCCAGACGGTAGAAGTAAACAAAGCAATCAGCTGCAGTCCGAGGCCGCGAGTGCCTCTTTTGATCCTCACTTTAAGGACGAAGAGGCCGGGGCTCACGGGAAGTCAAAGATGGATTGTTTTGATTACCCTCTGGTAAACTAACATAACTATGGAAAATCACCATGTTTAATGGGTAATTCCACTATTAATGGCCATTTTCAATAGCTATGTTAGTTTACCAGAGGGTAGAATAACCTTCCACATCCTTTTGCTATCTGAGATATCTATGGTTTTTGGGCCAGAAAGTTTGACCTCCAAGTACTGGTTTGTTACCTGTGAAGAAAAATCGTGAAAAACATGAGTACATACCCGATGGATTTCAGGTGAAACATCTTGAAGGTTGGGATAGCGTCTTCCTACGCTTTCAGTGACCTTGCTATCCGCAGTGACCGACATCTCCGTCCCTGCAGTATCTCCATCTTTAAGCCGTAGCTGCTGATTGTGTTCCCATTTCTCCTTCAGCCCAATTTTTGTTTGTTCAATCATCAATAGTTTTGGTAAACCAGTTTTTAACCAACTAACCCCCCAGTTGTAGTTGTTGCTGGTTAAATCATGTTAAATCCCATATGGTATTGGTTCAGCCGCAATTGTGCTCGGTGAAATACCAAAAATTGATTTAAAAAAATGCTGGTTATATAAACAATATATCAAACATCTACTCCGCTTTTCTACCTTTAATTTGGTTAAATCATGTTTCATCCGACTTTCAGCATTTGAAGCCTGAATTTTGATGGTGACTCCGTGACTGCACTGCTCAACGAGGCCTGGCTTGCGAACCTCCTGGGACGAGATCTACTGGAAGGGGCTCCTGGAACAACCGGAGCTGGAAGATGCGATGCAGAAACTGAGAAAACTTAGTTTCAAAACACAGAAATATCAGACCAGTTTGAAGATATTTTTGTCAGACCAAACCAGGATTCAACCAGCAAGACTGGCAATTTTGGTCGCCACGAATTGGGAATCAACGAGGAACAATGATTCTATGAACGCGAAACACAGAGTGGCAGTGACCTCTTTGTTGAGCCTAGAGACATGTGGATTTCACCAACAAATTTGGAGAACAGGATTGAACCAGCTAAAATATGGCTGGTACAGTAGCCCCAAACCATCCAAATCCATTCCAAATCCTGCAATTGGGATAATTGATGCTAATTGGGATATGAAGGTATGAAACAGTCCACATTTGAGGGTACCCTCTGGTAATTTAACATAACTATGGAAAATCACCATGTTTAATGGGAAAACTCACTATAAATGGCCATTTTCAATAGCTATTTTGACATAACCAGAGGGTAGGTTTTTTTCCCCGTGCCCTCAACCTAACATTCGCCCAGCCGCCAGGCAGACGATGTGGCACCATGCTCAGAGGTGCCATGCGTGTTTTCGCAGCTTGATATTCATCGATATGAAGCGTCCAATTTAGGGGTACCCTCTGGTTATGTCAAAATAGCTATTGAAAATGGCCATAGAAATAGTTGATTTTCCCATTAAACATGGTGATTTTCCAGTTCGTTTTATTTTTTTACCAGAGGGTACCATCCATCAAATTGACTAAGTCAGTCATTTTTGGAGGAACGTTAAACTTACATGCACCCTGAGAGTTAGCCATGTTTAGAGGAAAGTAATCTTCCAAGCGACTATTTGGCAGGGTTGATTTCTTAGTTGGAGGAAGGGATAGGGAGGCTATCCAATTTTGGTTTCCCATGGTTCATAATCGGGCCAATTTCGCCAACTGGGTAGCCTCTGTTTTTTTTTGTCGGAGCCCTCGTCCTGGTTAGGTGAATATGGCCCAAAAAGTTTGAGAAGTGTTCAACAAAATCTCAAATATGGGGTCAATAACTGTTCTATATTTTGATCTAAGACTGGTGTTCAAGCTCCAGAGATCGGGGGAAAACTATGGAAATATACACTACCAATTTCTGAAAGCATGCCAGGAGCCACAAACCAGTGCTGTGCTGCCCCGCACGCGACCACGTTGGGGAGACATTTGTGATGACGAAGTCGATGAGACCGAAGTGGGAAAACCAAGCTCTTCATTTTGGGTGGGATGATTTATGTTGATTTATCATTTGAATGGCTAGCAGCACAATTGTAATCCCTTGTTGATCAAATTTTAACTCTCCTTAGAAAATTCTCAAGTTTTCCATAGTTTTCCACATTTGATATCTGCTTGAAATCCGCAGTTCTGTCAATTGTTGTGGCTGAAGTCCAAATTTTACATGGCAAAAATCGCCAAATTTTGGCTGGTGAAATCTTCGTCTCATGGCCTCAGGCTATCCTCCCCTGGCCCACCACTCCTGCGACTAGCGATGCCGCTGCCGTGGTGAATGAATCGGTTGAGACGCCGCCGGTGGCTGAAAGCCCGGGGCAGCGCCGGGTGCGGGGCCCTGGTGCACCAAGGATGCCACAAAAAGGAATAAAAAGATGGTTGCTATACTTTTGGTTTGACTATGATAACTATGATTTTATGGTAGTAGAATGTATTAGATATGATATATATATAATATATATATATATATCGTATTGTATAGTCTTGTAACTTAAGAGTTGTAATCCAACAAACATAGCAGGGGAGCACCACATTGCATACTATTTCAGTGGTGCTTTTTACATGTTTTTCGTTTTCAAAAGAGACTGGGCTAAGGATCAATTTGCTGATTGTCGTGGGAAATTTGCCGGGTGGAACATGTTTTTCCAAGCCAGAGGATGGCGAAAATTTTTCAAACCGCGAAAAAGAACAGGCTGGATGCAGCAAACATGTCCGGTGATATATTAAAATCATGTTTTCTAACATGAATCTTCGTCCCACTCAAACATGTGTCTCTCTTCAGTTGATGAACAAGCATTTTGCAAAAAGTGAATCAAGAGTGGGACAAAGTTTCAGGGGCATATATCACTTTACTCTACTTGCATTGATGTACATCTAATATTATGGTTGTCTAAAGTCTAAAGTATGTTTGAATTGCCATTCCATGTTTTAACATATTGATAATATCTTGATTTATTTGTTTATCAATCGACCCATCTGACAGTCTATGATTCTATCAATCAATCAATCTATCTATCTTTCAATCAATCTAACTACCTATGCATCAGTCTACCATCCTTCCATTCATCCATCCTTTCATCCGTCTATCCATCCATCCTTTCATCCATTTGTCTATTTGGCCAACTATTCGGCGAAGAACAAACAAACATATAGGACGGTATACACACATGTAGCTGATAACGTATGATGTGTATTTACTTTACAGAAGTTCATAGAACAGTTCATATGTCATGTCATTATATATGTACATACATAATTACTATACATTAGTTCTACATTGTCTCTTACATACTGTGGATGGTTGCGAAGTTCAGCACCAGTTGATTTGTGGTAAACATCCCATGTTTTATAGGGTTCAACCTTCCAAGGTACTGCAGGATGGGAGCCGCTACCCAACTCGACCTTCCAGGGCTTCCACTGTGCAGATGGAGGCGCGTGCGATAGGCGTATTGAGCCACAGCAAGATGTCAGCTGGGAAATATATAATATATTTACTTATATCCGTGCATATATGTTTATATATATATAAGTATACATAATCATGTGTATATATAATTATATATATAGAACATATCATGACCACAAATATCTGGATGAATTTGATCGCGAAGTTTCTGCGGGGAATCATCCCGGCGGCCCCAAGGATTTTTTTTGCAGGCCAGATGAAATTTGGACCATAGACGGATCATCGGGTTTTCCATAGTTTTCCATGGTTTTTTCATTATCCATAGATATCAACTGATTGGTGGTTTGGAACATGAATTTTATTTTCCCATATATAGGGAATAACAATCCCAGCTGACTTTCATATTTTTCAGACGGCTAGGTATACCACCAACCAGTATATATAATATGGATATTCCATTATATCGTGGATATATCTGTGATATACCAGTAGTACCGCACAAGGCGGTTGCGGAAGTTTCAAAAATAGGAAACCTATAGGAGAGATTGGTTGTTGTGAATCAGGGATGGCAGAGCGAAGCCACTGATGGATCGAAAGACGATTGATCTCTCTCACTCTTTCTCTGACTGTCTACCTACCTACCTATCTATCTAGCTACGTATCTATCTATCTATCTATCTATCTCTCTATCTAGCTATCTATCTCTCCCTCTCTCTCTTTCATTTGATTACTCTATCTATCTATCTATCTATCGATCGATCTATCTATCTATCTCTCTCTCTCTCTCTTTCATCTTTCTACCTGTCTAGCTGTCTACCTGTCCATCTATTTATCTATCTATCTCTCTCTCTCTCTCTTTCATCGGTCTATCTGTCTAGCTGTCTACCTGTCTACCTGTCTATCTATCTATCTATCTATCTATCTATCTATCTATATATCTATCTGTTTGTCTGTCTGTCTGTCTGTCTACCTATCTATCTATGGCGCACCTAGCTACCTACCTACCAATCTATCTATCTATCTATGTATCTATCTATCTATCGATCTCTCTCTCTCTCTCTCTTTCATCTGTCTCTCTGTCTAGCTGTCTACCTGTCTATCTGTCTATCTATCTATGTATCTATCTATCTATCGATCTATCTCTCTCTCTCTCTCTCTCTTTCATCTGTCTCTCTGTCTAGCTTCCAAACGTGGTCGGAGACCGCCAGTTTTTAACACTTTTGACTTCAGAATGTGCTTCGCGCCACAACGGCGTGCACTTTTTCGACATCTTGACTTCCAAAAGTGGTCCGGACCTGGTGTGTTTTGTACATTTTGACTTGGAAATGTGCTTCGCGCCACAACGGCGTGCACTTTTTCGACATCTCAACTTCCAAAAGTGGTCCGGAGCTGAAGTGTTTTGTACATTTTGACTTCGAAATGTGCTTCGCGCCACAACGGCGTGCACTTTTTCGACACTTTTTCGACATCCGAACCTCCAAAAGTGGTCCGAGCATGGTGTGCTTTGTACATTTTGACTTGGAAATGTGCTTCGCGCCACAACGGCGTGCACTTTTTCGACATCTCAACTTCCAAAAGTGGTCCGAAGCTGAGGTGCTTTGGACATTTTGACTTGGAAATGTGCTTCGCGCCACAACGGCGTGCACTTTTTCGACATCTCAACTTCCAAAAGTGGTCCGAACCTGGTGTGTTTTGGACATTTTGACTTGGAAATGTGCTTCGCGCCACAACGGCGTGCACTTTTTCGACATCTCAACTTCCAAAAGTGGTCCGAACCTGGTGTGTTTTGGACAGTTTGACTTGGAAATGTGCTTCGCGCCACAACGGCGTGCAATTTTTCATCTCTCATCTGGCCAGCTGGCTCCGCACCCGCCGCTTTAGCGAGCCTACTTTTCGAGCCTCCGGAGCCACAAATCATTGGAAAAACAGTGTTTCGCGACTTTCCTACCTTTTCGCGCATCTGCATCTTCTTTCTTCTGACTCTTTCTCTTCTCTGATCTTCTCTCTTCTAATCTTTCTCTTCTCTCTCCCTCTGCCCTGCTCTGCTTTTCATCTGTCCATATTGTCGGAAGTTTGACTTCTAAACTTCCTTCGACTATAGTGATATACTTAACATTACTTAACCATATATGGATAGTAATATTTTGGATCACTCGAATCTGTCAACTTCTTTTAGGTCATCCCACAAAGGGGTCCATCACAGGCACATGACCTGCCTCGAAATGTGCAGCCGAAGCGGAGGCTGACCGGTGATAAAAAATGTGAGGTACAGCAACATGTAGATAATATATTTATATATATATACATGAACAACTAGTCACTACTATATGATAAATTATTTATGAACTGCATATGTCTATATATATATATATATATTATATTATATTGAATGCACAGATGGTTAGGAGAGACACACACACATGTAGACAGTGTGGGTTGATATGTAATTCTTGTACGGGTAATATTATATCCCTGTATATATATATATACACATGAGATGTTGCGGATATATTTGGAACTTCAGATTTCTGTACATAGTTTAAGTGTCAACCCCAGATGAGCCTTCAACTTCAACCAGGATCCATAGAGCTTTGGCTCACAGTGGGGGTACAAATAGACCTGGAAATTGGGCCAATTTTTTGGGTCAATAATCTGGAACCATACAGACAGGAAGTCTATTTTCCCCTCCTTCATCTAATCTTGTTTGTCTATGCGCTCATTGGTCTCATGATTCAGTTGGATAATGACATGTGTTTGTCCAAAAACTGAGGTATATCTTGATTTATGGCCATTTGAGTAGGAAAAATAGGAGGTTTAAGGCCACTCAGATGCATATATCGCCAATATTTCTTTTTCAACATCCAACAATCTATTAAGATTGGGTACAAACCCATCATTCCACCTATCTTCTAACCCTTATAACACCCATCATTTCACCTTGTCATTTTGCCAGTTTTGCTGCCTTGCCATGCCAGGGCCAGGTCCAAGTCGCAGGTTCGGGGCATGAATTCTTGATAGTCGTGATCAGGGTTCACATTGTTTATTACATTCTATATACATTTATTACATTTATTACATTCAAAATTCATTGGATATCCTATCTGGAAATAATGGGCAAGTCAACGTCCCAGAGCCTCCGCGAGCCACACGTTTTGCGAGGTACGAGACAGGATCCTCATCATTTTTTTCCAGCTAGTCCACGGTAAACATAGAAAAACATGTGGAAAATCCATTGTTTTCCAAGAAAGATGATCTACAAATGGTGGCTTTTCCACATCGAACTGTGAGTTTACCAGAGGCTAAGTTTGACATCGAATTTGCCTGAAATCCATGGGTGGAAATCCATGGGTGTCAAGTGTCTGAACCCAGAAAATGATCTGAACAACCACCGCAATACCTGTATAATATAGTATGAGAAACTAACATATAACATGGATATCCACCATATAAATTCAATATAATATGAAAATGATTGAACATGAACTACTTTCATGGTGGACTTGCCCTTCGCTTAAGTGAAGTCCTGGATGGCCTTGTGACTGCCAGGCGAGGGACACCCAGAAATTGAACGCACCAGGCGAGTTGAAAAGGAACAGCAGACGTGTCACATCCTGCGTGGCAGTTCAAGACTTTGGAATCGAAACCAGCTGGTCTCTCTAAGGGTAAATTAGTTGAATATGCTGGTAAATTAATTGTTCAATTACTTGTTCAACAGGAAAACCATCGAACTAACTAATGACTAAATCTGCAAGTCTCCATAGAATATATAGCAAAGCCATGATATCTTCTTGAGTTTTTCCCTTCAACCAAGAGTTGGATCGACCTTCTGTATCTGAGATGGGCAATTTTGGTGGGTCCCAGGGGCAATGAAATAGTGACCCATAAACGCTTTAGAACAGGGGAACAGGATACTATGTATCATTTGTATGGATACTATATCCCAGTAATGAATACTAGGATACGGATACAATATATATATATATTTATATTATGATACTATACCCCAGTTTGTATTAATCATTGGCATTCATTGGCTATATGGATACTATATTATATTATATTATATTATATTATATTAAATTATATTATATTATATTATATATATATCCATTGATGGATACTATATATATATATATATATATTTACATACATAATATATACTTATATATATATAATATACATGCATATCCCAGTTTTTCACAGTTCTTAGCTATCATTTAGGACTGGGGATGTCCTGGGATGGGTGACCCGATGACCAGGGCGGATGGCGGCGCCGTCGAGCCCACCCAGGTGACGGGAAGTGACCGGACAGTTAATGGATTCTGTATGTATAGTCATAATCCCAGTCAATATAGCATACATAGATCTGGGTAAATTATGGTGAATCTATGGTGAATCTATGGTGAATCTATGGTTAATAATGGTTAATAATGGTGAATAATGGTGAATCTATGGAAAATATATGATATATCTGGGTAAATTATAACAACCTCACTGTTCTCCCGAGCCCTGGAAATCATAGTTAGTAAGGGGAATCATCCCCAAATGGCCCAACAATTCAGGTTAGTGAATTATTATAATTTGCCCAGATAATTAGCATATATATGTTTTTTGTTTTTTATCACTATACTAATATTCTATGTGAATATATATATATATGTATATATATGAGCCACATTCTAAACCCTTGCGTTCATGTTTAGGAAGGGGCCCCTTGCAAGGGTGTGGCGTGAGCAAAACCCTGGTGAGCGTAAGCCAGCGTAAGCTCAGCGTAAGACAAGATATCCGCGTAAGCAAAGCCTGTGTGCGCGTAAGCAAGACCTAAGCAAAGCCGTAAGCATGTCCTTATTTGTTGCCAGGATATAAGACATTTGGAACATGGCTCATATGTACATCTATATCATCTATATACATATTTGTATAACACATGCAATTTAATTTCATGATATATATATATATAGATAGATACATATACACAATGTACGTACGAACAATGTATGCAATGAACTATACTAAACTTGATTTAATTTGTTAAAATAATAAAACCTTGTGTTGTTGATTTGTTTTGGAGGTTTGAAATATAGCTTAGACACATGGAAGTTTTTGATTGGATAATTACACGACATTAGGCAAAGACTGCAGCTCGCAGTTTTCTATCTTCACCCTGACTCGTTCCTTTGTCTCTGCATACAAGTGGTGGTATACCAATGTGTCAGGGAATGTAAAGAATCCCCAAGATTGGCTTAGCACACCCGATGGAACCCGAGTTCACCCCACTTGCAACCGGCGAGCGGCTCCGTGGTGCCGGGCACAGAAAAACGTGTCGATTTTATCCTTGTTGATTGGGATGATATATTGCCATTTGCTGGGCACATCTTTATAAATTATAAAGGGGTCTCACCCCCCAAACAGTACAATTATCTCGGTACAGTACATTCTAATGACGTCACTGCGACGTGATTGTGCACAGTCTATGAGCAACTATTTCCTATTTGTCGTTCAGCTTGGTGTACCATGACATACGCAGAATTATGATATCAGATTTGATTGAATTTAGTCAGAGTATATATATATATACGCATATATATATATATACGCATATATATATATATATGTATATATATATGTATGTATATATATATGTATATGTGTATATATATATACACACATTTGTCTTAATCATCACATAATTTACCCATAATTTCTCAAAATTAATGGATTCCATTGCTGGATGTCCAGCACTGCGGAGGCGGAGCTGGGAGGTGATGTCATCGTTGTCCCATGGGGAACCGCCTATTGTGGACATTGATGATGCAAGGGTACCCAGGGCCCACCTCCAGATGAGACCCACAAAAAATGAGGAGTTGAAGCAACTGAAAAAGCCGATTCATGCGAGCGAACTTTTGGATTTAGGTAGGCAAGTTGGTTGATAACTATAGGTTTATGATGACATCTACACTTGGATGTGTTTACAAACCAACTGCCTAACGTTGTACCCATTGAGAATCTGACCCGGCAACAGTAAGTCCAGGTTTTTGTTGGTTTCACAACCAAAGACCAGAAACCAGCCGGAACCAGTTGGCCAAATTTTCAATATAATTAGCTCCTTCACCTACTATCTGGTTTTGACTGAAAATGGGTACTTGGGAACATTTGATGCTTTCCATATTAATTAGAATAGGTACCTATTTGATGCTACAATATTATCATTTTTGTTTCATCAGTGTTTTCCATAATCATCACAACGGCCATATGAAAATCATCATTTTCCCACATTTTCCCCCCCAACAGATGGCCCTTTTGTTTGATAATCCCATACCCAACAGGCGCTATGCCGCAGATGTTTGAAGTTTAAAAATGTTGATGTATTGGACTATGAAGTGATGCATGCTATAGATATACAATGATATACACATCTACAATCATATATATATATATATAATTATGTATGATATATATATATATATATATGATACATATATATATATGTATATGATATATCATATATGATATATAATATATATATGATATATATATATGATATATATATATATATACATATGATATATATATGATATATATATGATATAAATATATATGATATAAATATATCTGATATAAATCATTGTAAATCTATAATTTTGTGCAACCGCAGTCCCCTCAACGTTGCTCTGTCATTGGCCGCCTCAGGTGACCCTGGTGTCATGGACGGACTTGGGATGTCCAAATCCCCCCAGGTTGGCGGCGGCGGTGTGCTACTTGAGAACATATAAAGGTCGCATCAGGTCGGATACCCTCTGGTAAACTAACATAACTATGGAAAATCACCATTTTTAATGGGAAAATCCACTATATAACATTGACCATTTTCAATAGCTATGTTAGTTTACCAGAGGGTAGGTTCTACCATGTTATACCATCCATTTCTGGCATAAAAATGACTTTCCCATCATATTGGGAATGTCATCATCCCAACTGACGAAGTCATACTTTTCAGAGGGGTAGGTCAACCACCAACCAGTATCTATATTTTACTATACATATTAAACTCGATATATATATATATACATGTAAGATATTTGTATCTAACAATGTAGCAATATAGTAATATAATATAATATGCCATATATATATACAGAGAGAGAGAGAGTGCAGGTTTCAACTTCAAACACATTCTTTTCCTGAGCAAAAGGTCAGAGGCGTATAATCCACAAACAAGAGAAATAGATAGCAAAAGCATCAAGTCCTGGGAGGTGAACTCTGCATCCTGATGGGCTTTCCAGTCACCAAGCATTAACCCCCATTGTTGAGTCCCAATAAATCTCTGGGGAATCTCCTCTTTTTAGGTGGACATCTCACATGGGTTTGTCTGAAAGTTTAGGGGGACGATTGGACGATTTTCACCAGTACACTTGCCATGAAATGGTGGTGCAACCCCGACTTGTCAATCCGCATATGAAATTGAATTGTTGGTGATATATCCCTCTACTATTCCACATCATCAGATCCACGTTTGTCCAATTTTTGGATCAAACCATTTAAATGTCACTGGTGTCCCGCAGCCCCTGTGGCTCAACGAAGTTTACCCCGACACCTCTTGGTTGACACACGGGGGGTGCCCCCGTGACAGCCAAGTGTGGGTCCCAAAATACGCGACCCGCAGAAGGTGATGGGAGAATTCCTTGGGGTTAATAGGTCGGTCGCATCCATAGGTGGTGACCATTGGTGACGCCCTACTTATGGCTAAGGAGGTTTTTAACTACAATGACAGGGGTTTATGTATATAGATATAGATATATATCTTTGTTCACATTTGTCTATTTAATGGGGTTGATAAACGAACTTATAGCTGGGCAGGAGCTTGTAACATTGTTGCCTTCACAATCGTGGGATTGGCGGAAGTCAGTTTTGATCAATGGAAATCACAGAAAAGTAGGAGGAAATACGGGACCATGTGCAAGCGAACTACTTACATACTTTGCAGTTTCTGTCCCCTCACAAATAGTGAATAGTGAGGGTTCATAGGGCCCAAAAGATGTGCTGATCCTAGTGATGACGGTAAGTTGGTGGAGAAGCGGATGTCTGACTGCTCACGCAAAATCCTTTTGAAAAAGAAACACGTGATGCGTTCTTAGTTTAGCAGGATTCTACATGTCGTATTTTTTGGGGGTTCTAATAATTAAAAAATATACGGGTGTGTTTCAAAGTAGGGCATACCCAAATTTCATAGGATTTCGGGATACTCCATTTTCAAACAAACCTAGTGTGGTAAACCCAATGCCATGAACCATTCCCAATCACAATTTTTATGGATGGTATTATCCATTTTGCAAATGATAGGTTCGCTATTTGGTTTCCCACATTCTATACATTACTTGGTTCCATATATCCATTATGGTCGGTGATATACCCATTGTTAAGCATGATTAATTATCCAGTATCGACAGATATTGACTATATTATCATATAACAAAGCTGTATAGGTCATATAAGTGGATCAAAAAAAGGTGGATCCACTTAGCCATAATTTAATATATTATCCCCAAGTGGATCAAATATACGCTCTGGTTATTTAACATAGCCATGGAAAATCACCATTTTTAATAGGTAAACCATCTATAAATGGGCATTTTCCATGGCTATGTTAAATAACCAGAGGGTAAGTCATTACAAAGCTATACAACCCCTGGCTGTCTGAGGTGAGGGGCCTGGCCGAAGGTATGGCCGAAGAGGATCCACTTCTTCGGGCCAAGTGCCGTGGCGAATTCTGCCTTGCAGATGGCGAAGAAATGGTGATCTATGGGATTAAAATGATGAGTTACTGCGATTCATGAGGATTCAATGGTGATTTAGTGGTGATTTATTCCCGAGAGCGTCTGAGCGCAGGGTTCTTCCAATAGTGGGGGTCTGTATCTCATCTTCTCATCTTCACACCTTCTCATCTTCACACCTTCTCTCACACCTTCTCATTTTCACATCTGCTCATCTTCACATCTTCTCTCACATCTGCTCATCTTCACATCTTCTCTCACATCTTCTCTCACATCTGCTCATCTCATCTTCACATCTGCTCATCTTCACATCTTCTCTCACATCTTCTCTCACATCTGCTCATCTTCACATCTGCTCATCTTCACATCTGCTCATCTTCACATCTGCTCATCTTCACATCTTCTCTCACATCTTCTCTCATCTGCTCATCTTCATATCTTCTCTCACATCTTCTCTCACATCTGCTCATCTTCACATCTGCTCATCTTCACATCTCCTCTCACATCTTCTCTCACATCTGCTCATCTTCACATCTGCTCATCTTCACATCTGCTCATCTTCACATCTGCTCATCTTCACATCTGCTCATCTTCACACCTTCTCTCACATCTTCTCACCTTCACATCTTCTCTCCTTTCTCTCTCCTTTTTCTCTCTCTCGCCTTCTTTATCTTTCTCTCTTTAGGCCGAGGGTGGTACCGGCGGTGAGTCACGAAACGTCAACCCTTCGCACGAAATGAGGGTCGATCGGCAAAAACTGAGGGAAAATTGCGATTTTACTTGTCCTGGAGCAACCCTTTCGCACGAAATGAGGGTCGATCGGCAAAAACTGAAGGAAAATTGCGATTTTTCGTGTGCTGGAGCAACCCTTTCGCACGAAATGAGGGTCGATCGGCAAAAACTGAGGGAAAATAACCCTTTCGCACGAAATGAGGGTCGATCGGCAAAAACTGAGGGAAAATTGCGATTTATCGTGTGCTGGAGTAATCCTTTCGCAGGAAAAGGGGTTTGTGTGTACGAGCGTTTCTGTGTAAAGATGTTTGTGTGTAAAAGTGTTTGTGTGTACAAGTGCATCTGCGTAAAAGTGTTGTGTGTAAAACCTTCTGTGTGTAAAAGTCTTTGTGTGTAAACGGGTTTGTGTGTACGAGTGTTTCTGTGTAAAGATGTTTGTGTGTAAAAGTGATTGCATGTAAAATTGCATCTGTTTAAACGTGTTTGTGTGTAAAAGCTTCTGTGTGTAAAAGTGTTTGTGTGTAAACGTGTTTGTGTGTCGGAGTGTTTCGGTGGAAAGATGTTTGTGTGTAAAAGTGTTTGTGTGTACAAGTGCATCTGTGTAAAAGTGTTTGTGTGTAAAAGCTTTTGTGTGTAAAAGTGTCTCTGTGTAAAAGGGTTTGTGTGTAAGAGTGTTTCTGTGTGAAGATGTTTGTGTGTAAAAGTGTTTGTGTGTAAAAGTGTCTGTGTGTCAAAGCGTGTGTGTGTGTGTAAATGTTTCTGTGTGTAAAGGTGTCTGTGTGTAAAAGCTTCTGTGTAAAAGCTTCTGTGTGTGCAATCTTCTGTGCGTAAAAGCCTCTGGGTGTAAAAGCATCTGTGTGTAAAAGGTTTTCTGTGTGTAGAAGTGCATCTGTGTAGAAGTGTCTGTGTGTAAAAGCTTTTGTGTGTAAAAGTGTCTGCGTGTAAAAGGGTTTGTGTGTTGAAGCGTCTGTGTGTAAAAGGGTCTGTGTGTGAAAGTGTATGTCTGTAAAAGCTTCTGTATGTGAAAGCTTTTGTGTGCAACTCATAGATTACAAATCTGCGATAGTTTTTTCCCCCAGACAAGAAGCGTTGGGAATTCACGAGCAACAAGAACAGGGATGCGAATCATCAGCATCAGTTATTTTTTCCAAGCTCGTCCACATGTTGGGAGCCTGATATCCCTGTCACCACCTTGGATTCCAAACCTTCCCAGAAACGGTTGGTTAGTATATCCTCCAACAAAAAGTCGGTGAACAGTGCATTCGTGATGGCTGAATTCCAGATGTGACGTATCTGGACCTCGGAAGTGAGCGGAGCAACGGACAGGAGGATGAAGAAGAATTCTTTCTGTGATGTATTGTAAGATTTCTGGTTGGTGGTTTGGAACATGATTTTTATTTTCCATTTCATATATGGGATGTCATCCTTCCCATTGACGAACTCATATTTTTCAGAGGGTTAGGTCAACCACCAACCAGATTTGACTTGTGGGCATGCAACCATCAGTAGTTCTGGAATACGCGACCGAGCGGCTCAAATCCAAGTGATTGAAATGGCTCAATCTCCCAACAGCTCGTCAGGAAATGAGCAACTAATAGTAACTATATGGTCGTTTAAGCATGATGGTCGTTTACATCGGTTGTGATGATAATGACCAGGGAATCCATAGGAAACCAGGTTTTTCATGTTTTTTCTACGTTTGACTTCAAATTTTGGATGGGTCTCTCAAGTTCCACGGTTTGATGGACCTGAATCGACCGACCTCACCAGATGCCGGCGCTGCCGGCGCTGCCAGCGCTGCGGCTGGTTATGTGTCGGCTGACGCCAGCTGTGAAGCAATTGAAATTCAGGTGTTGTGCCTTGATGGTGAAGGATACAACTTCACTCTGAGCGCTTCCACCCTGGGGCATGAAGTGCGGCAGAACATTTCGCAGCGACTTCCTTCAAAGAAGGGGAGAAGATGTATGATCCATCACAAGAATTCACCGCTGCTGCTTCACCAAACATTGCAAGAGCAAGGCATTGTGGGTAAGACGGCAACACTCTCTTGCACATTTGTTCCTACTGATTTGTACAAATCACTTTGCTATATCCGTGAGGTCCCGATCTCTGAGCAAGAGAGCGCACTTGAGGGAGTGACGCTTATAAAAGGTGCCGCCACAGGCAAGTATCTAAACCACCTTCCCGGAAGTCTTGAGACCTTGGATTTTGGATATTCATGCGACCAGAGCCTAGCAGGACTACGCTTGCCAAACAGCCTTCAGCGCCTCACATTTGGATATTCATTCAACCAGACTCTGGAGGGAGTGAGCTTGCCAAACAGCCTTCAGAGCTTGACATTTGGCGAAGAATTCAACCAGACCATGGAGGGAGTGAGCTTGCCCAACAGCCTTCGAAGCTTGACATTCGGCTTTAAATTCAACCAGACCCTGGAGAGAGTGAGCTTGCCAAACAGCCTTCAGAGCTTGACATTTGGAGGTGAATTCAACCAGACCCTGGAGAGAGTGAGCTTGCCAAACAGCCTTCAGAGCTTGACATTTGGCCGGGAATTCAACCAGACCCTGGAAGGAGTGAGCTTACCCAGCAGCCTTCAGAGCCTGACATTTGGCGATAATTTTAACCAGACCCTGGAGAGAGTGAGCTTGCCCAACAGCCTTCAGAGCTTGACATTCGGAGATAGATTCAACCAGACCCTGGAGGGAGTGAGCTTGCCAAACAGCCTTCAGAGCTTGAAATTTGGCAGTCAATTCAACCAGACCATGGAGGGAGTGAGCTTGCCAAACAGCCTTCAGAGCTTGACATTCGGCCTCAATTTCAACCAGACCCTGGAGAGAGTGAGCTTGCCAAACAGCCTTCAGAGCTTGACATTTGGATATTCATTCAACCAGACCCTGGAGAGGGTGAGCTTGCCAAGCAGCATTCATCACTTGACATTTGGCGATAATTTCAACCAGACCCTGGAGAGAGTGAGCTTGCCAAACAGCCTTCAGAGCTTGACATTAGGATATTTATTCAGACAGACCCTGGAGAGAGTGAGCTTACCAAACAGCCTTCAGAGCTTGACATTCGGACATAGATTCAACCAGACCCTGGAGGGAGTGAGCTTACCCAGCAGCCTTCAGAGCCTGACATTTGGCGATAATTTCAACCAGACCCTGGAGAGAGTGAGCTTGCCCAACAGCCTTCAGAGCTTGACGTTCGGAGATATATTCAACCAGGCCCTGGAGGGAGTGAGCTTACCCAGCAGCCTTCAGAGCCTGACATTTGGCGATCATTTCAACCAGACCCTGGAGAGAGTGAGCTTGCCCAACAACCTTCAGAGCTTGACATTCGGAGATAGATTCAACCAGACCCTGGAGGGAGTGATCTTGCCAAACAGCCTTCAGAGCCTGACATTTGGCCGTAAATTCAACCACACCCTGGAGAGAGTGAGCTTGCCCAACAGCCTTCAGAGCTTGACATTTGGAGGTTCATTGGAGGGAGTGAGCTTGCCAAACAGCCTCCAGAGCTTGACATTTGGCCGGGAATTCAACCAGACCCTGGAAGGAGTGATCTTGCCCAACAGCCTTCAGAGCTTGACATTTGGCCGTTTCTACAACCAGACCCTGGAAGGAGTGAGCTTGCCAAACCACCTTCAGAGCTTGACATTCGGCCATGAATTCAACCAGACCCTGGAGAGAGTGAGCTTGCCAAACAGCCTTCAGAGCTTGTCATTTGGATATTCATTCAATAAGATCCTGGAGAGAGTGAGCTTGCCAAGCAGTCTTCAGAGGTTGTCTTCCGGCTGCATTTCGGTGAGCATGATGTGATTTCCAGCCTTGTATGTCTTTAACATGGCAACAAAAAGATACAGAAAGTGCGTCATGGATTTCTAATACAGGGCCACAAGATGTAAGAATCTGCTGGTCGAATTCATTGCATATCCGATCCTCCGGGAGCCTCGAAGATTCGATTGAGATGCATCCCGCGCTGCCCTGCCCTGCCTTTTTGTGTGTCTTTTTGGTCAGAGATGTTCGTGATTGTTCGTGCATTGCTGATGCTTTCTATTGTTTGAATATTCCCCTTTCTATTATAGTGACGGACAACTACTTAGAACATCATTTGGAAAAAAAATCTGAAAATCGTCACGGCCGGGATGTTCTAAGTATGGGTTTCAAAAAAAGTAGTTAGAACATACCCAAAACCTATACTTAGAACATTTCCAAGCTATACTTAGAACATTTCCAAGCTATACTTAGAACATCCCAGTGGGGAACCAATGGGAACCATACATATGTGTATGTTCGAAGTATTTGTCCGTCGCTTTTAACATCATATGTGTGTGTGTGTGAACAGCGGCAGTGGTACACTGGTACACATATAGTTCCACACATTTCCACAGCACAGTTCGCAATGTGGGTTTCCACGGCACAGTTGTCCATTGTATACATGAGGCATCTCCAAAACATTCAAAATTATACACAATACATTAATTCATTCTAGCTCATTTTAGTATTGAAACCTATGCTTTTTGACTACCCCCTGTAGGAAACCCACAAATTACTAGAGACCTTCCCATTGCAGCGAAGACTGCTTGGGATATTGTTCCCGAAGAAAAGGTATAGAATGCTGCAGCAGTGAGGGGAGAAAGTGTTCTAAGTATGGTGTTCACGAAGGTATTTGTGTGTATATATGCAGATTTACCAAAGTAACAGAACATGTTCTAAGTATATGTGTGTTTTAATGTTCTAAGTATGCAAAAATCAATGGAGATGTTCTAAGTATCTGTTTTTCTGATGTTCTAAGTGCGTACTTAGAAACATTTCTGATGTTCTAAGTATGGTAATTTTGATGTTCTAAGAGGAGGTTTCGAAATTTTGGAAAAATGATGTTCTAAGTACATGTCCGTCACTATAGTGCTTCTGTTGAAACTTGTTTGGTGTCCCTGTGGCATGTTCGTTGCCTCAACACATCCTCCCAGAATTGTATGAAGGGAACATTACAGGAAACATCGTATTTAATAGGTAAAAAAAACACATTGTTTCCTATCAGTTTTCCCTTAAATCTATCCATTGACATCCTCATTTCTTCAATAGACATCCCAGCTTCGAATAGTTTTGCTTCATGCCGCTGGATGGTCCGCTGGGCATTTTCCGGCCGAGGGCCATGTTGACCTCTGAAAGCAAGGTGGAGGACGGGCCGAGGGGTCCAGCAGTGCTTTGCTGCATGGGTGTGAAAATGGGGTGTTTTTTTACCCAGAAACTGCATCAAACTGCCAATTTTATCCAATTTTGATATCACTGCAACAGGCACTCAAACATCCTCATGATCTATTCTGATGCCTCTAAGTCTGAGAAGCATGAGCCCTTGAAGAAGGTCCAAAAAGATCAAAAAGGATGGACATGACTGATAAACCATTGGCTTTTGGGTGTTTCAGTGTTTCCTTCAAAATTCGTGAAACAGGCCCTGGTTTTCGATTTCACCCCCATTTGGCCATGAAAAAATCAACAGGCCCTGGTGCAGCAAGGTCCATGGAAATCCTCCAGGAGGCGATGCGGATTTCCATGTTGCCTTGGATCACCTTCTTGGGAACGTCTTGGCTTTTCCTCTATTGCAGCTAGGCGTCGGTGAATGTTTCCTGTATGGCGTCGGAGTTGAGAATCAAAGAGGCCTAATAGCAGCAGATACTGTACATTTGTACATAAATTTTGGGTGAAGAATAGGGGAACATCAATGATTTATAAAGTTGATCAAAGGAACATCAACGACCCGCCAAGCCGTTCCTGAAATGTTGAAGTTGAAGGCTGGGTTCAGTCGATTTTTGTTTGACATGTTAGACATGTTGACAATTGAGGGGTGGTTTCAAACCAGACTGGTTGGTGGTTTGGAACATTTGTTATTTTTCCATACATTTGGAAGTTCATAATCCCAACTGACTTTCACATTTCTCAGAAGGGTAGGTCAACCACCAACCAGCAGAGTTTGGGCGATTGCTTGATTGTGTGATCCCACGGCCCTGGGGGTGGATCCAGCAAAACGCAAAACCCCTGGACCTGTTGCAAGGAGGCTGATTTTTCTATAACCAAATAGCTAGAAAATTGATGTATAGCAGCCCCAAAATAGATAGAACTTGTGGGAAACATGGAGATACGTACTTAAAGTATTACCATCTGGTTATTTTCCTAACAGTTTGCCATGGAAAGATCCACCATGCTATTAAGAACGGTGTTTACCATCTATAAATTTATGGGCCATCGAAAAACCATGGCGAACTGTTAGGAAAATAACCAGAGGGTAACCGCTGTAACCTCCTGGAAACACAACGTATTTCTATCGATGGCTACCAGAGGACCATCCATCTTCACGTCCCGGGATCAGCGGGTGGTTTTTGCACCAAATTGCCGGATTTATCATCGCCAATTGAAATTGCCATTTAAACTTGCCATATAATATATCCACCGTGTAACAAGACACTTTGCAAATATATATATATATATATATATATATCATTGGTCGAAAAACCCATGATTTGTGAACATGATTTCCCACTATCCATACTGGTCCATAGTCCATTCTTATCCGATGATTTCACACAGTCTTCCAAAATTATCCTAGAGATCTCCGACACGATTCTCCCAATCTCCCACAATTTGCCCATCCATAATTTCTCACATTAGATGAAGAATTGTATCCAATAATTCTCCCAATCAATTGCCTCTCCCATCATTCTCCCAATCTATCCCATATTTTATCCCATATTTTCCCAATCAATCCCATCCCAGGTTACGAACACGTGCCATCGTTGGTCCTCCTCCTACTGGTTCTCTGGACGCTGATGTGCCTTTGCACCTTGCTGGCCATGCAGCTGAGACCGAAGGTGGCGCAGGGCAAGCATGGATTGGTGGTGGTCCTGAGCTCCTTGGCTCAACGAAACCTCCGAAACGGCCAAAGGGAGAGGTTTCTTGAGGCCCAAATTGTAATGTCAATGGATTGGTTTAAGGGAAAATTTCGCCGGAAAGCCCCCAGGTTGCCAGGTTGGTCCGGAAAGCTCCAGATTTCCCTATGAGTACAATCTAATCTTATTATAAGAATGTACTGTAGATATGGGTAGAGTTGGATAGAAATGAACGGATGGCAAAGGAAACATTAGGCAAACTTGGAAAGGACCCTAGCAAAAGTGGAAGTAGAGGCGGGGTATCCCCACAATTGCAACTCAAAAAGTTTCCGTTCCACCAACCCTTGCCATGTGCTTCTGGGGCATAGTGCACGACATATTTCTGCATATCTCCTGCCCACTGGACCCACTGGACCTAGTTACACTATGTTACACTCCAGGATTGGTGATGTGAGTGGCTCAACCAAAAACATCCGAGACAAAAACGATTTTGCTGAATATACCATTTGTGTGGGGTGATATTTCATGATGTCCTCAGTTTACAATACTTCAACGTTTTCCCTTCCTTGCAAGGTTAACAACCACCACGCCTGGGTTAGCTCTCCCTTGCAATACCAAACTCTGAGGCCTTGTGGGCGTGTCTTTGGGAGTCCGGGGCCCCACAGATTAGCAGGCGCCGAGAATGAACCCTGAAACCAACCACTGTAGATCTGTATATGGTATCACCAACAAAGGTGGCAAGGGTCATGTGGTACTCACGTCCTGCAGTTGTAACCACAGCCACCCACAGCCAATGTTCATCATTTTTGGGGCATCCTACTTGATGTTTATACCTGGCCCTCAACTGGGTTGCTGAGGTCATGTTTGGGTACTGGAACTACAGCCGGGCTGGTGGTGCTTGGGTCTCAGCATGTCGCAGCGAGTAGCCGTGATCAGCGGCGTGAACACCCTGGAATTATCCCCAGAATCTCTGGAAATATGCTGTAAAATGTGTATGTGTGTATATATATATAAGACAATCCCTATCACCAGCATGACATTAAATGTTTGCAATCCCAATCTACCACTAAATTTCATTGTATACTTCACCGGTTTCTTGCTGAGATCCGTAGCAACTAGTCGCTGCAGTCCCTGCAGGTAGGCGATTACTGGGCAGCAGGCGGCACGATGGTGCACGATGTGCTGCCAGAGTGGGTCCATGATGTTTGCACACATCCAAAGTGTGAAAGAAATAAGAAACAAGAGTAAGAATATGAAGGAAAATTAAACATAGTCTAACAATGGTGGTAGTAACCAACAAAAAGGGTGATGTGAGTGAAGTCATCAAAAGCTTTATGGGTCTTCACCGTCTTTGCAGTTTTTCAATTTGGTTTATGGATGTGGATGTTTTTGGATGGCTAAACCACTCTACAACTATATATCTCCCCTAAAGGGTAATAGCTGCACGTTTGGATGGTTGTACATTTTTCTAGTAACTTTGTTCTGGATGGACTGAGCTGGCAGACGCGCACCGCGATGCCGGGGTGTTGGTCTTCCAACAACACAGCAGGCTGGCCGCCGGGGAAGTTTTCCGCGTTGGGGTGTAGTGAATGGATGTTAACTATGGGTTAATTCATGAATCTGGTTGGTAGTTCCTGGTAGAATCTGGTAGACTTTGATACTGGCGTATTTTTCAGAGGGTTGACAGACCGGGAGCTTCAAATGGGAATGGTATGGCTCAAAATGAGTGAGACTTCAAGGGCCCAACTGCAATGGTCAAGGGACCAAGGGGCCCAGGGTTTGGGTGACTAGAGTCTATGGTAAGAATGAGCAATAGACATACCGACCATAATTCAACCAAAGTAATCCTGGAAACCAACTTGCCTACCTATAGATGCTATAGGACCCAACATCGTAGGGGTTGTTGTCACATTATGGTTATAAGTATATATAACCCTCTCCATTTCTTTGCAGAATCACCTGGGTTCTCCAAAAAGTTTCAGGCCCGTATCAGATCCATCAAATTGGATTACTCTACATGTTGACGCCGCATTTTTCTGGTGGAACCCTGTTTGGTGATACTTTTCATATGTCCTCATTGGTCCGGTCCAGTTATTCAGTTGACATTGAAAACAGGCCAGATGCTCGCTTGAGCACTGCCTATGTGGCCTGGGGTCAGTCGATTTCTCAGAGAGCCATGTATTGACGAAATGATGGGGTTGCGTTCCCAACTACAAAATGGACTTAGACATGTGGTGATATGAATGAATGGTACTTTGTGTTGTTCGGGCGGCTTGTAAATATCATGAAGTGCTTCTGTTTCCGGAGGGCTTTGTGCCGACATGGCAACATGCATGTGCATCTTGCCGTATCTTGCCAGACTTCAGCTGGTTCAGCAGATCCAATTTTGTCAGCAAGATGAGCCAGATATTCCCCACATGTTTGGGTGCAGAAAATAGGCTGTACGTGGTCAACGGCTGAGAACACATTTGAGAGTTTAGAGAAGTCCTTGGAGTATGGGTCACGTTCGAAAAAATCCCCCGACCCGGAGATGTCGCTCATTTGCTGATATGGGTGTGTCTCAAAATGAAGGATATATACCGCAATAGATTCGCCATTGTAATGCAAGCCTTATTGCGATATCCTTCCACATTTTGATACAACATGGTACAACCAGAAATGGGTAGGGCTCAAAATTGTTGACCCCAGTTCATTCTCAGTGCAAAACCATCATGAACCATCCAGATCAGTCAGTTTCAATACCAATCACACTCAACCGTCCCACTTTTTTGGGCTACCAATGACAGCTGGGGCCTATTTATTTTGGGCCGCGTAATCGCGCCATGAGACGCCTGGGCCTTCCGAAAGCCCGGCGCAGGGCCTTTCCGGGTGACCTGGAGGAAGAGGGCACAGAGAACAGGTTCATAGCTGGTTGATGGTTTGGAACATGACTTTTATTTTCCATTTCATATATGGGATTATCCTTCCCATTGACGAACTCATATTTTTGAAGATGGTTAAAACCACCAACCGGATAGGATTTTCATCAGATTTTCCTTTCATAGGATTTTCGTAGGATCCAGGCGTGTTGTTTTATAGTTTTTTTTTATCTTAGAAAGGTGATTGGATGTGATTGGTAGTTTGAAGTGATTGATCCATGTATTTTTGCATCTTGTCTTAACATGATTATCCTAGTAGAGTTTTGGGATTGAAACCATGGTCCCTTGAGGTTTTAGGCACCTGGAGTGGTCATGACGTCATGACCACTTCACCATCCCAAGCTTGGATCAGCGGTAATCTGCTTGGTGCTTTGGAACATGGCTGGATTATGACTTTCCATAGCTTTCCATATTAATTGGATTGGGAAGTTCATCATCCCAACTGTTACTCACTCCATGATTTTTCAGAGGGGTAGGTTCAAACCACCAGCTTAACATGGTAGTACACGGTAATAGTGGCGCCATTGCTGACATGCTTTTTGGGTTTTTGCCGCAGTCTCCTGGGTTTTGACAAAATTTCCCAGCAAAGAATCGGATGACTCCCCAAGTGACCATCGCGTGGATGGGTGGACCACCCGACTTGAATCCCCGACAGTACCTTGCAGCTATCTGCAGTTATTGAGTATATTAATGTATATTATATATAGGATTGGCCACAAACATAGTGCTGTGATACTAATCATGTATACTGTAATACTAACCATGTACAGAATACTACTGTAGCCCCCTAAAGATAGTAGTAGTAGTAGTAGTAGTTGTTGTTGTTGTTGTTGTTTTAGTTTGCACGCTGTGCAGCTGGCAGTAGAAGCAGCACGCCAGCCAATGCCACGGGGTTCGTGGCGAAGCTGCCAAATCTTTTACTCATGGGATGAGTAACACATCAGAAGGGCGATGGCCCAGGAGCCCAATTGCCCACATCCCCACACGCAAACAGTCGGAAAATTATCCGGATTCGAGTGCCGGTTAGCAGCAAAAATCGCCGGCGATCGAGCTGCCCCCAGCAAGAGGGTGCGAAAAGAAGCATCCATATCCCTGTTGTAATGTTCTCATTTTAGGGAAATCAAATCCTCCAAAGAGATATCCATATCCCTGTTGTCATGACGATCTTGATTGAGAAAATAAACAAACCTGTACCAACGCCAGCCACAAGGAAGCTGATGTTGGATGAATCGCAAACCATCCTTACCAGGTAAATTCAAGTCAATTTTTCAAAAGGTACCCTGAATTTGCCAAACCCAATTGGAGGTGACCTGCCAACCCTTATCGGACAGCCACAGTTTAAGGAATCCCAAACCAGACCGCGCAAATGCTTGAGGGTGTGAACAACCCCCCCTAAACTGGTTGGTGGTTTGGAACATGTTTTATTTTTCCATATATTTGGGAATAATCATCATCCCAACTGACGAACTCCATGATTTTTCAGAGGGGTAGGTCAACCACCAACCAGGTTATTTTGATAATTATGACCTTTGACATCCTTTTGCATACATATACCATACATGGATCCTATGGGTAAAGATCTATTTTCTGGCGAGGTGTCTTTGCACGATGGGGACACTCTGAGAGCTGGCCTGATGGGACTCCGAAACCTTTCCGTGGCAAGGTGCCTTTTGGCGTTTTTCACGGGAAAATCTATGGTTTTTCACGGGAAAATCTATGGTTGAAGCAGGTTGAATTTCCATGAATTTCCATGGGTTTTTAGCCCCCAAGAGGATTTTACTCTACTGAAATTGTCTCAAACCAATGCTGTCTTGTGGTGGAAAGGTATCCAAGATCCCGAAATCAAACATGGCAATGGAAAGCAGTTTTCTTGTGGACAATCTGGATTCGCAAGGTTATACTCCCAAAGGGTATACCCCACGCATAGCCTGATATGTGGGCGCTGCCCCTAAAGATTCCAGACTAAACATTTCCCCCAAAATAGGGTGAGGTTCCCTGCCTCTTTGTAGGCTGGAAGTGGGATTTCCCACTGGGCAAGAACCATTTGATCTGGGTAAATTATAACGACCTCACTGTTCTCCCTCACTGGAATCCTGGTTAGTAAGGGGAATCATCCCCAAATGGCCTTAATTCAGGTTCAGGTTAGTGAAATATTATAATTTACCCAGATTTGATTCATCAAAATGATGGGTTTCATTCTTAAAGCTTCATGCAATACAGGATACTGCTATCTTCCCTCTGACACGTCCTTGCTTACTTGTGCAGGGCTTTTGGGCTTGCAGGAACCTAGAATATATAACCATAGTAACCTGGAACAGATCCTTTATGGGCATGAGTCAATACATGTGGTACATTTTCTTGGGAGATTTTGGGATGAATCCCTAATTAGTTGCCAACTAATTTGATAAGATAGCTAGGGTAAGAGGGTTGTGATCCATATCCATTTTTTCACCAGCCAAACGTTTCGGGAGAAAATTCTTCGTACCTTGCGGCAGGAAGCTTGGAAGAACTGGATCAACTGGGATGCGCCCTTTCGGGAAGAGTCCGTGCCCTGCCTGGTGCATGTTTGGACGGTGGGCAGAGGCGAACTATTTTAAGCTTGAGCTTCTTTTATCCAGTCTGATCCTTGATGTATGTTTAAGTGTTAGAATGGAGACATATCATATCTTTAAGTGAAGGATGTTGGTAAATTGTCCATGGGTCATTTTGAGTCTGGCAAATGGCTGTTCCCTGTCTGCAAAATAACTTTCCCTGTGTGGAAGTGGTGAACCACTTTAGGGTGAACTTCCCAAAGGGATCCTGTCACAGCAATTTTGGGGCATGTTACCATGTTCTTATCCACCAAGTTGATCCGCCGCAAGTTTGGGGATGGGTTGGATCAAACTTTGATCAATTTTAAACCCTTCTAAGAAGGGTTTATTCACATATAATCACATATATTATCATATAATATCATAATATCATATATTATCATATATTATCATATATTATCATATATTCACATCCATAAATCGCGATTTTGATGTGATAACCCAGGGGATTCCCTAGGTTTTGACCCTTTTGGCCATTTTGGTCAAACCAAGCTGTTTTCACAGCACCAGATGTTGGGGCTCCCCGTTGGAGCCATGGGTCGGGCCATCCTGACACGGTCCACAAGGACGAACTGAATCGGCAGCGAAAGTTCTTTTGGGAAGTCGATGACAAGGTACGGGCAGATCCGAGCGGCGCCATTTGTAGGGTAAGGTTCGCCCATGGCCAGTTCTGGTAAAAATTGCCGTCTCAGTTTTTTGGGCCATTTGAATCTTGGATCTTTGCCTCGGCTCGACTTTGTCTGTCTGATAGGCAATCTCGTTGCAGACACTTCGCCAACTCATGTGGAAATCAGATGAAATCAATGCTACTGCGAGAGTTTTTGATACTCTTTGGATCTTTTGTTTGACCAAATCTTGAAAAAGGTGGATGCTTTATGCTCAAACAAGCAAAAACAAGCTTCTTTTCCCGGAAAAAAGAGGGTTTGTGGCGACAATCTTACAACCCATTTTGCACTGGTTGTTGCGCCGGTTTGGATCAAGAAAAACACATAAAACAGATATACTATATATATATATATATTATACCACATTATACCACCATGTTTATCCGAGTTGCTGTATCATTGATGATTGGAT